TTAAAGTAATTATAATCTGTTACGTGACGGTTGTTATCCCACTAGTGGCTCACGTGCACTAGCCCTGTATATAAAGACCTTCTTACTTAGAATCTTCTCAGTTCTTTAGTTTTAGATTCTAAGTAATTGAATTGACTCCGTTTACGACTTTTCCGTCACATAATCTTGTTACGAGGTTTGCCGTCTAGATCACGTGGAAGTGCTCCAGGCTCTCGAGGTGGTTTATAACTAGGCGTCAAGCAGGGACTTAAGTAATGACAATAATGATATGCAATTCGTAACTAATAGTAGAGTATACTAAATGATTGATCTTGAGCACGAAGCTCTACACAAAGGAAACCATCCTGATTATATAGACCTTCGTCCTCCATTGGATCTCTTGGGTCCTGAGAGTTTGTGGACCTTCGATTCGTATGGACCTACGATTCGTATCCCTGAATATGCAGGGTCCATCACGTGACTTGGATCAGACTATATGTCTGTGCTTGCTGAAGGTGGGGAGACTCTACGAACCGATTACCATACAAAATTGTATGCGAATCGGTTTGCTTTTCCACGGGGTCTAAGCTCATATGGACAGGTTGACTGTTACTACGTAACAAATCTATATAATTCTATCTTGAATTTGAGTGATGAGGTATTGATAAATAATAAATAATAAATAATAAATAATAAATAATAAATAATAAATAATAAATAATAAATAATAAATAATAAATAATAAATAATAAATAATAAATAATAAATAATAAATAATAAATAATAAATAATAAATAATAAATAATAAATAATAAATAATAAATAATTGTGACCAAAAGGGTGTTTATAGACCAGCAATTGTATTTAACTTAGAATCTACAGGTGAAGAGCACCTGTAGATGGGGATAGCTACTCTATATATACACAAATGAATAGCCTAGCCGCAATAGCTAGGCAAAAAGAAGTCATATTTATTCCTCCAATGATCTTACTTTACCGATAACCATTGATACCTAGTACTTGTCCGGATCTGATCCTCAGGTCACCTAAATCGCATACTAATCTCGAGTAATCGTATCATGTGTGGACATGGTTAATGTACCTGAGGTTTCTTATATAATAAAGGTGGGAGGAAAGCAGGGATTTCCGTCACAATAATAAATAATAAATAATAAATAATAAATATAATACGAGTATAAACTATATAAACAATACTTATAATACAATAGATGCCACTGGTATATTTTATCTTTAAATAAAGCCTTTTACATGTTACGTCCAAAACGATTAGTATGTCACATGACCATAAAACATGTGATGGAACGGTGAGGAACGAACGTTCCTAGGAACAACCAGGAACGCTCGTTCCCAGGAACGACGATTCCTAGTTAACCATAGGCACGAAGGACTATATAATCAAGATGGATTTCTTTTGTATAGAGCTTCGTGCTCAAGATCAATCATTTAGTATACTCTACTATTAGTTACGAATTGCATATCATTATTGTCATTACTTCAAGTCCCTGCTTGACGCCTAGTTATAAACCTACTTCGAGAGCCTAGAGCACTTCCACGTGATCTAGACGGCAAACCTCGTAACATTACAGTCTATATGTGACCAAAAGGGTGTTTATAGACCAGCAATTGTATTTAACTTAGAATCTACAGGTGAAGAGCACCTGTAGATGGGGATAGCTACTCTCTATATACACAAATGAATGGCCTAGCCGCAATGGCTAGGCAAAAAGAAGTCATATTTATCCCTCCAATGATCTTACTTTACCGATAACCATTGATACATAGTACTTGTTCGGATCTGATCCTCAGACCACCTAAATCGTATACTAATCCCGAGTAATCGTATCATGTGTGAACATGGTTAATGTACCTGAGGTTTCTTATATAATAAGGGTGGGAGGAAAGCAGGGGTTTTCGTCACACTATAAATCATGTAGCTTTTACAATCTATATATTGAACCTCGTCACAAAAATGTCAAAATTTCAAAATATCAAAAACATATCCCTTCTCTCTAATTCCAATCCTGAATCCTTAATTCTTAATCTCTATCCCTATCTTAAACAAGTTTATACATATATAATATTTTCGACCTTCTTTAGGAATTAATAAGAATCGTTCATTCCCTTTTTAACTTTTAATTACTCTAGATCTCTCTTTTATAATTGATTCCAGATTCCACATCCATCTGGATATACACGCGACGATATACAACGACAACAAACAGTAAAACTGCATCAATCGCATTCATCACGTTACATCACATCAAATATTTCATGAGCATTTCACCAATGAATTATCTTACAATTTTCCAAACCAAAAAGCGATCCTATCCACCCAGCAAACCCCAGCAAACCACCCCACCCACTAAAAACCAACCCAACTAAAAAAAAATAACAAAAACATAACCCCTAAATCGCACCTTCCCTCCAGACAATAAAAACGGTGAGATGGCCGAGTTGGTCTAAGGCGCCAGGTTAAGGTAATAAACTCTTAACAAACGGTTGTTCACAATCTCCTGGTCTAGTAATAGGCGTGGGTTCGAATCCCACTCTCATCAAACTTTTTGCTCTTTTGGGAAGGAGCGATGGAGGTTTGGGGAAGAGGAGGAAGGAGGGTTCTTTCTTTTTTTGGTGAGGAAGGAGGGAAGGAAGGAGGGAGGGGTGGGGTGGCTGGTGTGGTGTGTGGCTTGGGGATGGGGTGGGGTAATTGAAAATCTTTCAATTATCTCAGTGAGATTTATATACTAATAGTCAGTGCTCTAGGAATCGACCACCTACTGTTGTAGTCAGGAAAAGCGATTTTCCCTGAAACTTATTTTTGGTATGATTCCTACCAAAATGAGAATTACTACTAGGAAAACTCTGTTACGAAGTAACAGCTGATCTGTCCATACGAGCTCGGACCATTTGGAAAAGCAAGGAGATTCACATACAAAACTGTATGGCAATTGACTCATGTGGTCTCCCCACCTTAAGCAAGCACAGACATCGAATCTGATCGAAAACACGTGATCAAGGATTCCCACCGAGCTGAGGAATCCCACTATGGTGGGAAATATTCCCACCTTGATGGGACGATAGAGGGCAGTGGGATGCATAGTACGAAGGTCTATATAACTGGAAAGAGTTTCCTTATTGTAGAGCTTCGTGCTCAAGATCAAGATCAATCATTTAGTATACTTTACTATTAGTTACGAATTGCATATCATTATTGTCATTACTTCAAGTCCCTGCTTGACGCCTAGTTATAAACCACCTCGAGAGCCTAGAGCACTTCCACGTGATCTAGACGGCAAACCTCGTAACACATATCTACATACCTAGTATGCAATCCCGAGCTAGTGTGAATGGCGACTACCTAGTAGTTATTCACTTGAACTAGTCGTGATATTATGGTGACTTCCATAATCCTCCATACATTAATTATACCCAAGGAATGAATGATGAATTATTTACGTTATAACATGAAGAAAATGAGTAAATAGATCATACACTCGCAACAACTCTCTTATTATTAATCCCTAATTTCAAACTACTGAATCCACTATCAACCTCAATAATCCCCTCAATAAATTTCTCCAACAAGTGATTTCAATATAGAAATATGCAGATACAGATATCTCTAACATCGATATCAGACACCTCGAAAACTTCATCTTTTCACTATTACTAAGTGTCTCCGTCATTGGCTTCATCTTGACTTCATCTTGACTTCATCTTCACTATAGATAATCCGCCCCGTAGATAATCCATCCATAACCATCCATTAGACCTCCTATCCGCTCCGCGATTTATCCATCAGCATTTCAAAAATAATCCGCAAATAATCTGCGGATCTGATGTGCAACAAAACTTTTGTTGCACATGGGTATATCGAGTACGGATTCGCAAGACGCTTACAGTACCGAAAATTATGAAAATCAGACCAAAGAATCAGATTAAGATGAAATAAAAGCAGAGAAGAATAAATAAGAGTGTTTTTCATTCTAATCCATTCCATCTATTGAATTCAATTCAATCCAGTTCAGTTCATGACCTACGTCTTGTATATATACACGCATACATATATTAAACTACCAAACTGTCATATATTTCCTATTTTATCAACCCCTCCTCTTCTCCTCCAACCCCTTACCCACTCCCCCCCAAATCAAGTCCAATTTAAACCCTCTGATACTAAAGAGGTATAAAAGTCAATTTCCTTATCCATCCATCCATCCATCAATCAATCAACATCTCATAAAGTAATCAAAGTTCCTTCTTTGATTCCCCGGACCCAAAAGTGAGCATCGTTTTATTGATATAAATTTTTCCCATGGCGATAGTTTCTCCTTGTCCTCTTTGTCGTGCCCAAAATCTATTTGGTTTGTTAGATCTTCGATCATGTAAAAATTGATACGGCAATCTCTTTTTCCCTCTACCCTACTCCTGCTCACCGGTAAATGAAAGAAAACATACCTTTCCTCGACTGTTCCACGGCCTCTCAAGGTTGATTCCCTAGCATTCTCTTCCAACGTGCTTCTACTAATCTTCTCTGATTGACTAATTCCTCCCTGAGTAGCTTTTTCAGTCTCTTCCTGAGATTTCATTCCTTCTAGGTATTGTCTATTCATCATACGTATGCATTAGTCTCTTAAAATAAAACCAAAAAGTCAAAAACGTCAAGCCAACGAAATGAGGGGCACCAACGACGCAAACATAACAGGAATAACATACTTCCTAACGGCAAATCTTTCCTTTCGCTCTCTCTGTAACCCTGGACTATCAATTTTACTCAATGCTAATCTGATGCCTGATCTTAAGGTTAGATAGATATGTTCCGAGAAGAACATGGTGAGCAATAAACCCCATCCTGTCATGTTACTTGGTGTACCATCTGGACCAACACCATCTCCAGAGAAAATGTAAACAAGAGCAGCGGTACTAAGACTACCGAGCCAAGATAAGAAACCTAGAGCCTCAATCCATGGACCAATGGAATCCGCACGCCATGGAACAGGACGTTGAGCTTCAAGTGCGATTTTCACGGCGTCACCGCGAAGTTCAACCCAATTGTTTATGAGGAATGAAAGGCCTGTCAGAGGCCAGACGACTGAAAACAGAGATAGGTAACCGAATTGAATGACCATCTCTCTGAAATCTGTAGCAACATCATAGAGCGCAAGTTCGGCTTCATCTCTCACGCGGGTCAAGAACTCGATTTCTTCTGGATGATCCATCTCTGGTGAATAAGAACCTCTACGCCTCGTGGTACGATCTGCTTGAATCTCCTTGTATTTTCTGAAGACCATTCTCTTGGCGTATGGAATGATGACCTCAACAGCAAAATTAACAAGTTGTGCTGTGACGTTTTGATAAATAATCTGTTTCTTCAATCGATCAGGGTCAATCTGAAATCCGGCTGTTGATACTGTCATCTGTTCATCGTTTTCGGCGAATGGTTTCACTGCCATTTGCAAAATGTCCAGATGAGGAACAATAACTTGAGCGAACGGAACGTAGACAAATGCTGTGAGAAAAATTGGCACGTAGGATGTTATAAAGTTGAGGACAAAGATCTTTTGAACCATTGCCGCCTCATGTGCTATTTGAGGTCAGTGAAACTCAAAGCAGAATACTAGGTAATTACTCACCGGCAACTATTTGATAGTTCTCAAGAGCTGTCAATTTTGAAGCAATTCCGTTCAAGAGAACGGTTAATGTCGGCAAAAAGACAGTAAGAATGACAGTTGGCAAGAAGGTCTCCTATGGTTAGCTGGATTCTCAATTCAGGATTCATGTACATACCAAATATGTTTTAAATGGACCATCATAGACTTCTGAGATGAAGATTTCAATGGCAAAGCAAGATGCAATCAAACTTCCTAGTAAGACGGTAGCACAGAGTGCGAAAGGTATCTGCAGCAACTGACGACTCAACCTTTTCACTGGCGAGTAAAACTTAATTTGTTCTCCAGTAATAGGATCCGTGATCTCACTGTCGGGTTTGAAATCCACTCGTTTGCGCTGAATCTTTGATACACCTCGAACTCCCCATTGTACTGCAAGATCTGTCTCTTGCTTCTTCCAATATTCCGTGTAGACAATACACCATATGCCATTGACAATGGCATATATCGGGGAGTATTCACCAAGAAGAACCCAAGCGCAGAATCCGAATGCGGCCGGAAACACCAAGAACTTGAAATATGATTGTAAAAAGGCAAAATAGAATCCGATCCTTTCTCCAAATCTGTTCTTAATATCCTCTAAATCCTTGGTGGTTAGGAGATATTTTGTGGTGATTTCTGTGATCCAAGCCTTATTGAATGCATGATCATGGAGGGGAAATATCGACTCGACTACCATCCATTCCCCTCTCTTAGGCGTAATCCCGGCACCACCTTCAATTTTCGATTTGGTAATCAACAAATAAACCAATCTCAATCGTTCAGCCTCAGTCACTGGTTCTACCTCGAAAGCTTCATGCATATCCTTCGCCGGTGCAGTTATTCGAACTCCATATAACCAATCCTGTACTCGCGAGCGATATACTTCAGATCTAAGTCGTTCCTTGGAAGCTTTGACGAATATTAGAAGTCCAAAGTTATCTCCATTTCGTACCTCAGTCGTTAACCCAACATCATGAACAGATTCGATAAGCTTTACGAATTGTGCTTCGGCTTGCTCTTTGTCTGGAGGGGTTGCATTAGTTGTCGTCAGATTGAGTGGGAGAACCTGGCCTCTCATACCTGAAGTAGAAAAACGATAATCGATTACAAAGTCGACACTGCAAAGGAGTTGATCAGCTAATGTTTATGTGTTTGTTTTAACCCTTCCCATCTACTTACTCAAAATTTGTTTTCAAAGCACTTCCAAGCTCTGTGTTTGGCTCGGAAACAGCCTTGAGGGAAGCCATGTCGTCGAAGCAAATCTGCCCTCCAAACTTTGATGGATTGAAGTTGGCGCAGATATAATTGAGTGAGAGAGAGAGAGTTTAAAAGTTGGTAAATAAGCAGAGCCTGCTCTTCTTTGTTGACCTTGATAATATTTCATAAGCTTCATTCAATCAAGCCAATGAACCAATAAACCACTAAATCACTAAACCACTAAAACCCCCATGACGGAATCATCGCTAAAATTGGAGATCAACTGTTGGATCTTGGATTAATCCTGGTCATTTATGAATAATCAATGGAAGGCTCGGCTCTGTTAGGAAGCTACCCGGTGCCGGTTTAATGTTGATAGACCATCAAATGTGTCGATTTTATCCTAATCAATATAATAGAAGGGCAACTCTTAATTGAGGATTGTCCTAAAAATATCGTATTCCGTCTATTTTTATCAGCAGATTGTTAAATTTATCCCATCCACCATCTACTACCTGGCGCCGACATACGTCAATTCAATCATGGCACCCAAACCAAAAATCATATACCCATGGTCTCGTCGAAACAACATATACGATCCTCCGACCCCTCTTGATTCTCTCCTCGAATCTCCACTCCGCACATTGATCTTCTATCTCCACACAATTCTCCTCTATTTTCGAGGTGCATCCTTCAGACCTCCTCGCAACAAACCGCCTGTTCGCGTCGTGTGCATTTCAGACACCCATTGCAATACATTACCGATTCCCCATGGCGATCTTTTAATACATGCTGGAGATTTGACCAATGCCGGCACGGTGGAAGAGATCCAAGCGCAAATAGATTGGTTGGATCAACAACCGCACAGAGAGAAAGTGTTTATTTGTGGAAATCATGATAGTTATTTTGATCCCAAGTCGAGGAAGGAAGGAGATAGGAAGAAGAAGTTGAACTTTAAAAGTTTACATTATTTGGAGAACAAAGCTATTACCCTAAAATTCAAAGGAGGGAGGAAACTGAAAGTTTATGGATCGCCAGATATCCCTCAATGTGGTGGTTCTGATTTTGCGTAAGATACTTGTGGTCTGTGTAGAATTCGAATGCTAATTGTACCTGAATTTAATAGTTTTCAATATCAAAGACATCATGCACCGTGGGAGAATCGTATACCGAAGAATACAGATATTCTAATTACACATTCTCCTCCTCGATACCATCTTGACATCAATCTGGGTTGCAAGTCCCTACTTGAAGAAATATGGAAGGTTAAACCTCGACTTCACGTCTTTGGACATATACACTCGGGACATGGTCGCCAAGCTGTATTTTGGGATAAGGGACAAGAGGCTTATGAGAGGTTAATGGAGAGAAAGGTAGGAGGTTTGATTAGGGACTTGATACCTAGTTTAGCATGGGTAGATGGCATGAAAGTGATTTGGTATGGAGTGAAGGGAATTTTATGGCAAAGATTAATGGTTGGTCCAGCAGGCGGTAATGGTGGATTGATGATCAATGCTGCAGTTGTGTATCAATCATCGACGGACGTAGGAAATCCAGTTGAGGTTGTGGAGCTATGAATAATGAACATAATGAGAACTACATTGCTACTGCTGGTATATCATGGAGAGGACATGGAATTATAACCTCCTAATGTTCATGGCCGAGATATGGCATGTAATGTTTGAATCTGATAGCATGGCGATACACTCTAAAGTCTTGAGGAATATTGCGTATTATATGGTAGTTTGAGCTGATAGTAAAATAGAATTCCCAATGATCAATACATACCTAATGTTATGTCCAAATAATTTAAATATCTCATCTCATCGAAGCAAACAATACCTAGGTATCTAATGGCTGACATCTCATTGGTCAATTTCGTTCATCCTTACCCGTAGCTCTCCCCGCATCTCATAGGTTGGGGTTCTCCATATTGTTGATCGGAGGTACGGAGATAAATTACCAGGTACGTACCTAGTATCGAATCCATAACTTTTCTCCTTAAACATTTCCCAATGCTATCTACCTAGGGACCTAGTATGTATATGATTTTCTCACAGGTCATGCAATAGACAATAGACTACAATTGAACTTTACCCAATATCTCCAAAATTTGCATTGACAGAAATGCTCCTTTAGACGGTGAGTATATACCTACCTACCTAGGTATAAGTCAGCATACCCTAGTATCTTCTCTTTCATTCGTTCGCCATTCATCCGAAAAGGCGAATCTGAGTCTGAAATGAGAGGCTGGATATGCCGAGCATGGAATTCAGTTCCTTAATGGGACCCTATGTACAAGGTTATTCCCGAGGCTACAAGTAAGTCTATCTGCTACCATTAAATCCTAATCATAACTATTTATTTATGTTGATGATACCTATCTACACTCAGGCTCTTCTCTTCTTAGAATCTTTTTGATATTTATCATCAATCATTCTCTCTCTTGCTTGTTCTCTTTTCTTTTCATTGCCGTTGCGATTTTAAAGATACCAAAGCATTTCATCATCACAAGCTAAACGACAAAATGGCCAAGTTGACTGGTCAGGAAGTGGCAGAACATAACTCCAGAGAGTCATGTTGGGTTATTGTTCACGTATGTATTTGCTTTATCGTACAGGATGGCAATTGGCTAATCCTGGTATAGGGAAAAGCCTATGATGTTACAGAGTTCTTACCTGGTATGAAGATATATCGTACGCTGAGAAGACTCCTACTAATCGCATAAACAGAACATCCTGGTGGACCCAAGATCATTCTCAAATATGCTGTAAATATTCTCCCAGTTATCTCAATTGTATGCAGAGTTGACTTTACAATACAGGGTAAAGACGCAACAGAAGAATACGAACCAATTCATCCACCTGATACTCTCGATAAATTCTTGGATAAATCGAAACATTTAGGACCAGTTGATATGGGCACAGTCCAGAAGGAAGAAAAGGAATTTGATCCAGAAGAAGAGGCAAGACAAGAAAGAATTGCACGTATGCCAATTTTGGAACAATGTTACAACTTGATGGATTTCGAGTCGGTGGCAAGAAGAACTATGAAGAAGACTGCTTGGGCATATTATTCCAGTGGTGCTGATGATGAAATCGTAAGGGCTTCCACTTTCTCGATTTTTATACCATTGCTAATATTAGTAGACTATGCGAGAAAATCATTCCGCTTTTCATAAGATATGGTTTCGACCAAAGATACTTGTGGATGTAGAAAAGGTCGATTTTACTACAACCATGCTCGGAACGAAATGTGATATCCCATTCTATGTCACCGCTACAGCATTAGGAAAACTTGGACATCCTGAAGGAGAGGTCGTCTTCACTCGAGCAGCAAAGAAACACAATGTTATACAGATGATACCAACTCTAGCATCTTGCTCATTTGATGAAATCATGGATGCAGCAGGGGAAAGTCAGGTTCAATGGCTACAACTATACGTTAATAAGGATCGAGAGATTACGAAAAAGATTGTTCAGCATGCCGAACGTCGTGGTTGTAAGGGCTTATTCATCACAGTCGATGCTCCTCAATTAGGAAGAAGAGAAAAAGATATGCGTTCGAAATTTACCGATGTAGGATCATCTGTTCAGTCAAGCAGTGGACAATCTACGGACAATTCTCAAGGTGCAGCAAGAGCTATTTCGAGTTTCATCGATCCAGCTTTGAGCTGGAAAGATATCCCTTGGTTTCAATCCATTACTAAGATGCCTATCCTTCTTAAGGGTGTCCAACGAGTAGAAGATGTTATTCGAGCTGTCGAATGTGGTGTTCAAGGTGTTGTGCTTTCTAATCACGGAGGTCGTCAATTAGATTTCGCTCGCTCCGGTATTGAAGTTCTCGCAGAAGTTATGCCAGTTCTTCGAGAACGTGGGTGGGAGGACCGTATTGAGATTTACATCGATGGTGGTATCCGAAGATCTACTGATATCATTAAAGCCTTATGCTTAGGTGCTAAAGGTGTCGGAATCGGTAGACCATTCTTATATGCAATGAGTGCATATGGATTGGCAGGAGTAGATCGTGCCATGCAATTATTGAAAGATGAGATGGAAATGAACATGAGATTGATTGGTTGTTCGAGTGTGGATCAATTGAATCCAACATTGATTGATACCAGAGGGTTGAGTTCACATACTACTGTGGTACCAGTTGATAATTTGGTAAGTTGGATTTGTTTGATACTAAAAGATTCTTGGCTAACATTGAATAGGGTATGGCAATTTATGATCCTTTGGCGAACCCTGCGGAGAAGGCTAAGGCGAAGTTGTAGATGGGAGAAGTTTTTTGAGTGGTGTGGAATTTTATATAGATAGCGGTTTTGTATTTACTAGATTTATATGATATATTACCTAGAGAGAGAGATATATATATATATGTGCGCGTGTGTGTGTGTATACGTGATAGATTATAATAAGAATCTAGTCTAGTCTAGTATACCTCGGATCAAAAGCTCCTATATACATACTCGTAGTACAGCGATTTATATTCTCTTTACCAACCGACCGATTGATTGATCCATCAATCAATGATCATCACCCCAGAGTCCAAACAGACTAAGTAACCGATCCAAACCCAAACCGAAAACCACACCATAAATGCATTCTTTTCTTCATTCTTCCATCCCGCTCCGCTGTTTCTAATATCTCATCTCATATCCAATCATTTCATTCATTCATATACTAAGTAAATGGATAAATCTAGTATGTTTCATATTTTCTTTCTAACTATTTTAATTATTCGAATTATTCGAATTATTCGAAATGTTCGAAACACATGATGGATTTCTTTCCCACGTACTGGGTAACTATGATAGAGATAGATTAAGGTTAATAGTTTCAAAGTTGACATTCATGCATGCCCCGAGTTCTTGTATCTATGATGACTGTGTTTGGTGGTGATGATGATGATTTGCAGGGGTTTTACAGTATGTATTTAGTATGTATGTATTTAGTAGCTAGAATGTATGGTATGTATAGTGTAGTATGGAGTAAGTTAAGTGCCTAGGCATAATAATCTCAGCTTAGATGGTCTGGTCTAGCCTAGCACCTAGATGGCTGCGTCATGAGTTGAGTTGAGTGAGTGACCCCATGTTTGATGTTTGGTGCTTGATGCTTGGCTGGCTGGATAATTGGAAAATTGGAAAATTACCTCGTGTATGAATGTATGAATGAATGAATGAATGAATGAATGAGAATGAGTATGGATTGGATTGGATTGGATTGGATTGGATTGGATTGGATTGGATTGGATTGGATTGGATGGAGTAGCTGGGATAGATAGATGGATGGGTTGAATAGATGGTAAAGTGAGGAAGTATGGAAGGAATGATAATTTCCATAGAATGGGATACCTACCTAGGTACTTAATTTGTGGTTAAAATTTAGTTTGATGATTAGATTATTTATTTATTTCTTTTACTTGTTTGTAAACTTGTATACTTATCTTGTATTTATTTATCTACTATTTACTATCTATTCGAATACATATATATCTAGCTAGATTGATTCCTTGGAAATTGATTCATTATTTTTTTCATCGGATACCTACCTAGATCCAGATACCTAGGTACTTTTTATTTAGAAATTATCAAATTCCGAGGTTGGTGGTTTTGATTGAAAGAGAGATTAGAGATTTCGATATTCGATTACTTGATTACTTGATAATTCGACGACTGGGTATTTTCTACTACCTAGGTACTTATTACTACTATTGATTGGATAGGATATTGGGATTCTTGGACTGCACGACGATTTTTTATTATTGTGTTTGTTTATTACCTATTCACTGTTTCTGCGGTTTGTGCGGTTTGATTTTGGCATAGTAAATGAAGGTTGAGGGAGGGTTTGAGGATTGAGATTGATAACTGGACTCTGGGTGTCACTGCGAAGTGCGAACGTTCGAAGCTGAATTCTAGGTCGAGGTCGAGGTCGAGGTCAAGGTCGAGGTCGAGATCTGGATTGAAGAGCTAGCTACTGAGCTGCTACTTGTTGAAGAAGCGCAGAGGGAATATCTATGAAAGAGTGAATATTTGGATTAATTCTGACTCGAATATTTGTATCGAGGGATTGAGTTTAAGGTTGGGATTGAGATTGGGATTGAGATTGAAATCTTACGCCGCACATACGATATTGGATTTTGGGACGAGATAAGATATGATGAAACGATGAGATGAGGATATGAAAATATGAAAATATGACACCAGGAACGAGAGCAATAGGATGAGATGGATTGAGAAATATATGAGTATATGAATCATTACGAAACGAAACGAAACGAAACAAACAAGGCTGGATTGGATAGTGAAAGGAAAGGAAACGAAACGAAACGAATACTTGACAAAAGAACGATCGATCGAAGAAACGAGTGATAGAAGAACGAATTACGATATTTACTTTACGGCAGATATATAGAGGGGATATATGCGATAAGCAGAGGGAAGGAAGACAAGAAAGAAGAAGAAAAGAGTAAGAGGGGAGCATACGTAGGGTATTCATTTGAGAATTTGAGACATTTGGGAAGAGGACGCCGAGAAACTTTGGAATAAACCCTTTGAACGTACTTTTTTGGGATTACGGTCGATACGAAGAGGATATATATTTATATTAGTTTTGGAGACTACTTGTGCGAATAGACGGACGGAAATAATCTGCGAGTCATTGAGAAGAACGAGAAGGAATAATAAGACGCGAAGACGAAGGGGGCGACCAAGACAATTCATACCGCGGAAACCAGGTCATCTGAGGATATTACGAAATATTCACCTGCCTACCTATCCCTCTGAGATACACATACGCCAACGAGTCATTCTCCTCCTACTTAATTTATATCTATACCTATTACACACTCGCACATCCAACCCCTCCATCTCCATCAACACTCAACCTACCCACCAAACCCCCTCAAAACAACAAAAATGAGTACCTCTCTAGAGGCCAAAATAGTAGTTCTAGGTGCCCAAGGCGTAGGCAAAACATCGCTTCTTCTTCGCTATATAAAAAATCAATTCAGTCCGAAAACTACGACATCAACTGTGGGAGCAAGTTTTTTGACAAAAAGAGTTGTGGATGCCGAGAGTGATACGGTGGTTAGATTGCAGATTTGGGATACGGCAGGTCAGGAACGGTTTAGGTATGTTTTGGGGGGTGTTTTTTTTTATCTTGATTTTTGAAGGGAGGGAGTGAGATGGGGCTGTGGAATGTGGAGGTGGAAGTGGAGATGGGAATAGTGGAGGGAGGCAAGGGGAGAATGAAAGAATGAGACTGAGAACAAGATCAAGCAAAACCAAAAAGCCATGCTAACACCCAATTTCACCTCACAGATCCATATCCCGCCTCTACTATCGCGGTGCAAATGCCTGTATCCTTTGCTATAGCATCACATCTCAAACCTCCTTCAACGAAATGTCCGTTTGGCTCACCGAACTTCGTCGCAACCTTCCTGCTGATATCATTTTACATATTGTGGGCACTAAAGCTGATCTTGTGGCTAAAGATCCTAGTGCAAGGGAAGTTCCATTTGAAAGATGTATTGCATATGTTGCCGAAAATGTCACATCTGTATTAGGCGGTACACCACCTGCTACCGCACTTGGACTTGAACGTGGTCCTGGGAGTTGGGCCGGCTCAGGAGGTGGAATTTGGGGAACTGGTGGGACAGGTGCACAAGGAACGATGACTGGAATGGAAGGCGCACGTTCGCCTTCTAGTAAAAGAAGTTCGGGATTTTGGGGGATGGAGGTTGGGTGGGATTGTTGTCATGAAGTTAGTGCGGAGAGTGGAGAGGGGGTAGAAGAAGTTTTTAGAGTTATTACGAGGAAATTGGTCGAGCAGAATAATAAAATGAGAGAACAATTGATGAGTGCGGCGCAAACTCCAGGAACTCCCATGAATCCCGATGGAACGGGGATGGAGGGTCAAACGGGTTATTTTGATGGGATTATGAGGCCAGGAGGCAGTTTTAGGGTGGGTAGGGGAGATAGGAGGAGTTGGTTACTTGGATTAACGGGTGGGATCCCAGCCGGGGGAAGTGAAGTGGGGATTACAGGGGCGAGTGCGGGGGCTAATACGGGGTGGAATGCTGATGGAAGGGAGAGGAGGGATGAAGAGGGTGGTGTGGTTAAGAGGAGGGGGAGATGTTGTTGAGTGTTAGTACTGCTTGTTATGGTTGAAATGGGGCTTTAAAGAGTAGGGGCAGGCATGATTGGATTTATTTGATGCTCACGCTCACTGGTATCATGAGAGGCTTGAAACTTGGAACACTTTACTCTTTTATTATGATAGGAAGGAAGGGAGGTAGTGGAAAGTGGAAAGTGGAAATGAAGGAAGGGTTCACATACTCTTATCTCCTGCCATTGAAGACCTCGGTCCGGGTCAGCACAAGGAAGACGGGACTCTATCCTGGAAGATTGGATATCGATATTGAGGGAATTCGAAACGGAAGTCGATGTCGAACTCGAAGTCGATGTCGATGTCAGAAAGAATAAGAAAGCGGGCGCGCTCAGGAAAGACATATACAGAAAGAAAGAGAAAGAGAAAGAATGAAGGAAGAAGCAAAGAGGAAGAGATAGAGGGAGGGAGAAAGAGTTGATACCCTTTCCTATTTATTCTACTTTTTACCGTTTACTTCTTACTCTTGGGATTTAGTAGTTTAGGAGTTTAGGAGTGTTTTCATCTCAAACTTGCTCTTCTCTTCGTTAGTTAAGTTTGCACTTGGACTGGGAGTGGGAATGAGAGGGAGAGTGGAAGTGGATGGGGGAGTGCTAGTTCCCATTCCCTATATGTTGTATAGAGTTTGGATATGTTATGTTACGATAGGATAGGAGATGGACAGGAGATGGATATGATAAACGATTTCAATAAATTTCACAAGTAAATGTATTTGGATGGATGGATGGATAGAAGAAAGGGGAAGCGATTTGGAAATATAAAGAAGAATATGAATGAATGAGTACACGAATACGCATACGAATAGAAATAGGAGTAAATATAAGAATAAGAATAAGAATAAGAATACTAAGCTGTGTTGAAACTGAGTTGTTTGGAAGTAGTAGTATTATTAGATGTAGGTTAAACTAAGGATCTAAGTTACAGTAATGGTAGAATTGAAGATATTCCCAATTATGGTCCGTGCACCATAATGGTCATATGACCTCAATTCTAGGCCCATAATGACCTTAATTTCAACAAGCTGAATATAAATGTCTTTTCACATGTTTCTAGTCCAGAGGTCGGAAGATATAGGATGGAAGATGGAGAACGAAGTATACATACAGAGTGTAAATGAATAGAATGAAATGGTGATATGTATTTGCATTTGTATTGATTGCTTTTGATGTACTTGTTATAATATATTTACCTCCTCCTCCTTCTCTTCCTCGATTCCTTCCTTGTTCTCTTTCTCTGTATATGGTTTTTTGATATGTGTTATATTATATTATACTATGTTGTATTTTTATATCAATAATTATTATATATTTGTTAACTTTATTTGATTTAATATGATTTGAGTTTTATGTGATTTGATTTGATTTGGTTTGATTTACTTAAATTTTGAGATTAGGTTTGAGTGAAAAAGGTGGTTTTGTTAGAGGGGTAGATGGATGGATAGATGGAGGGAGGTAGATAGGTAGTGGTAGAGGGGGATGGGATTGGGGGTGAGATTTGAGATGTGATTATTTATGTAGGGTAGGATATAGGAGATAGAGTACTAGGGGGGGTATTGGGAGATGGATATTGGGAGATGGATATTGGGAGATGGATATTGGGAGATGGATATTGGGAGATGGATATTGGGAGATAGCGGGGGTATTGGCAATTTGGGAGATAGGATGTATAATGTGATAATTTATGAATTGAAGTCGTTTAAGTTGAACTGATTGGAATTAGATTGGGTTAGATTAGTTTGAAGTTGTTTAAATTAATTTGAATTGTATTATAATTTCATACATAGCCTAGTTAATACAAATAATCAAAAAAGAAATAACAAACACAATAAACAATAAACAATCTAAATCATAATATCATCCCCTCCTTATAGTTTAGATACAATACCCACCATATCAAACAAAAATCACAAGATACATATCTACATATACAAACCAACCATCACTTTCCTTCAAAATCATTCCATCTCATCTATAAGAATCGCAATCCCCTTTCCCTTCCCCTTCCCCTTCATCATCCCACTCTTCTTCAATCCTCTCTCAGATTCCAACATCTTTCCGATTCGACCGGTCTAGTCTGGTCACTTTCGCCATACATTCGTAAGCCACTCTCTCACCATATCAACCTAACCTACGGAGGTACTTCAAAATTTCCCTTCCCCTTACATCGGTCTCGCCGCAGTTGAAAAAAAAAAAAAAAAACGCCACGCCGACGGTATTGCTCTCTTTAGGTATTAGTGGCCGCCGTCATCGCTTAGTACTCCGTAGGACTGATGAATTTTGAGTAATTTTTCTATTCATTCTATAATAGAAATTTTAATTAATATTATAATTATGCTTAAATTAAGATATTATATTAAATCACTAAATTTAAATACAATTATAATATTCACTTTTGAAAAATATCAAGGATTCATTTCAATATCTTTATTCAAAAGATAAGTTTCTGAAAATGTAATTTTGAGCTATCCTGAGTCTTGACCAGGTATATCGCACGTACCACCGTGGCAACGGCCACTGACACCTAAAGGAGATACAAGCTGACAGCATTCACCTTGTAGTTTAAAATTGAGCTTTAGATACGTACGGCGTCTGCTGACCTACTGCATTAGTTATATTAACAGACTTTCTAATAGGAGCAAATAAGAAATAATTTAAACCATATCAGTTAAGCGCAAGGATTCTATTCCTCCGCTTAGAAAAGTGGAAGTCACTAGACGGCGCTAAGAACTCCGCACTGAATTACCCCAAGTTCCCCACGTTCGGTCGAACAATAGAGCGACCCGTTATTCTGTGGGGTTTATGCGTGTTGTCGCAGGGATAAATATTTAAAAACCCCAAAATCCCCAGTTGTGCCTGCTTCTCTTTCGTTCTCGTGTCTCTCTCAGAAATTATTAATATGAGTAACGTCACAAAAGAAAAGCCGACCTTAGAGGAGGTCGAAGCGCAGCCCACCTCCACGGGCACACCCGTCTACGATGTCAACGATGTCAACGAGAAGGTCGATTACGACAGGATGCGCGCCGTCAATGCCGAGAAGGTCGAATTTGACATGACTGTGATCCAGGCTGTCAAGGCCTATCCCGCTGCCAGTTGGTGGGCATTCGTCATGTCATGCACCATTGTAAGCTCTTGCCCATGATAGGCAGATCGATCATTTCTCTAACTCCATGATAGATTATGGAGTCCTACTGTGTTTTCTTGATGGGACAGTTCATAGCCACAGCTCAATTCGCTCGAGATTTCGGTGTATACAGCGAAAAAACCAATGAGTGGATTATCGAAGCTTCATGGCAGTCAGCATTCCAGTGTAGCGGACCAATCGGTGCCTTCATCGGTGTCTTCATTGCAGGTCCCATTACCAGCAAGATTGGATATCGATGGGCAACCATTGGCGGTCTCATGTCTTTGAACGCCTTCATCTTCATCTTCTATTTCGGCAACAGCCAGGGTATGTTCTTCGCGGCCCAGATCCTGGAAGGCATCCCGTGGGGTATCTTTGTCGCCAATGCACCCGCATATTGTACCGAGATTGTGCCACTGAGATTGAGAGCTCCAGCGACACAGATGTTGCAGATGTTCTGGGCTATTGGAGCGATCATTGTCGGCGGTATCACTTACCACTACCAATCCAAGAACAACTCCTCAGCGTACAGGTTCGTCCGCTCCCATAGATGCCGTCGAGGAGATCTGTACTAACAGTCATATCAGAGTTCCCATCGCACTCCAGTGGATGTTCCCTACTCCTCTCGCTATCTTACTCTTCATTGCGCCTGAATCACCCTGGTGGCTCGTACGTAAGGGCCGCCTGGCTGAGGCAGAGAAGGCTGTCAAACGCCTTGGACGCGCCAGTGCAAATGATGATCCCGCTGACGCAGTCGCAATGATGCGCCGCACGATTGAGCTTGAGAAGAGCGTGGAGCAACCCAGTCTTGTTGAGCTGTGGAAAGGTACCGATCGCTACCGTACCTTGATTGTATGCGGCGTGTACGCATCTCAGAATCTGACAGGCAATCTGATCGCTAACCAAGCGGTTTACTTTTTCAAACGTGAGTCCACCCATTTCCTGCAACCTTATAACATACTAACACCAACTCAGAGGCCGGCATGGCAGAAAACACCGCATTTGCACTTGGTCTCATCACTTCCGCCCTCCAGTGGATCATGGTCATGGTATCTTGGGTCCTCACTACATACCTTGGCCGACGCACCATTTATGTCTATGGTCAATTCATCAACTGTGCATTCTTAGTCGCGCTCGGTATTGCGGCTTCAGTTGGCAGTAGTACGGCGGCTAACAATGCGCAAGCATCACTTGGCTTGATCGTCTCCGTCCTGTTCTGTTTGGGACCCGCCCCTGCCTCATGGGTCATCATTGGCGAGACCTCTTCCGTTCGTCTTAGGCCACTGACAACCGGTATCGGACGAGCTGCCTATTACTTGGTCAATATTCCTTGCATCTTCCTTGCTAGCTACATGCTCAACACTGATAAGTGGAACCTCGGCGGCAAGAGCGGCTACATCTGGGCTGCCACCGCCTTGATCTGTAGTGTCATGTCTTGGATCTGGATTCCAGAGATGAAGGACAGGTCATTCCGTGAGATCGACATTTTGTTCACGCGTCATGTCCCGGCTCGCAAATGGAAGAAGACGACGGTCGATATCAACGACGATGAGTAGATGAAAGTTGTTGTTTGAAGATGCTTGAGTAGCACTCCTTCTATAGGAATTGGCGGTAGAGACGAGTTTCTTGCTGGATATTTTCCGACAAGGTTAATGATTTTCAAGATGAGTTAAAGGGTAATGATGACGTGGGAATAGGTATATATTAGGTTTGTGTCACATAGATATAGACTGAAATAAAAATAAGATTGCAAAAATCTGATTGAAAGTTAAAAGCATTGTTCTGAATATGCTACGTTGAGGTGGAAAAATGGTTCTCCCGGCGCCGGGACAACAGCATCACGTAAGTATCATCATATCATTTGAGAATTAGAAATAAAAAAGTAATAATAAATAAAAAACTATAATCTTTTTTATATTAATATATATAAACAATTCTTGTTGATATATATTAAAATTATATAAAATAATAATAAAATCTCTTTAATAATATTATAATATAAAGCGAGTTCTTGGTGTTTTGGCCGCTACATTCGGCGGGCTTCGTCGCTGTTTTACGCAGCCTCAGCACGCGCTAATAGCATCGTTCACGTGCATCAGCGCGAACTCCAACCCCACCAAAATTCATGATCCTCATCCATCACCATTTCCCGTCTCCCATTTTCAACAACACCATCCTAATTAAGACAGAGCCAAAATGGCTGTATTCAAGTTATTTAAACCGTGGTCTTCCCACTTCTCATTTCCTCGACACCTTTCTACCTCAACCAACAACATACCTTCATTTACATGCAAACTATTTTCAATTTACCTTTTCCCTTTATCTTTCAAATCTTCTAGCATTGATTATGGCCAATACTCCGAAAAAGCACCGCTTTTGTGACGATGCCCCAGAGAATATCAACCTCCAGAAATTCCTTGTACGGCGTACAATCTTCAGCAACGGCCAAAAAAACCTAAGCTCACACCAAAGGACTGCGAAATCAATATTCAAAAGCTGAATGGAGATGGTCCTCTGGCATCAAAAGATGCAGACGCCACAAAGGAAAACATCACTGGCATATGCCGCAAGTGGAAAAGGTAAGAAAACAATCGCCTACCTCGAGTTTCATCTTGCGAAGCTAACACATAACATCAGGTTCTGCGAATTCAGAAACGAGCAATACTGGCGGGCAGCTATTCAAAAGTGTAATAAAGGGACTACTATGATGTTCCTCCGATATATCTGTGAGAATTATAGGATACGCACATTCAGTTCTGTACATCAATATCTGCTTCAGTTCAAGCAGCTTTACAACCGAGTCAACGGACGGCATATGGACACAAATGATGCGAAAGAAGTTTTAAAGGTATGTTAACATGCTTTGTTGCTATTTTCTGAGATAGATTACTAATTACATAATCATAGTATCTCGACACTATCTTAACCAAAGAGTTCACTTTAAGACGAGAAAAGACGGCAAAGCCAGTGTTGGGAGCAGACGACCTTATCCTCCTCCTCACCCATCATTGGGCCCGGGACACATCTATTTTTCCAACCGAAGATCAGCGTTTGGCACTTGCAACAATCATGCTCCTCCTTATCTATACCGGCTGTCGACCCGCCGAGCTGGTTGATGCAGCCAAAGGGAAAATTGCTATTGGTCGCGATCAAACATATGAAGACGACAATTGGGATAATGAATGTGAGGGCTTGGATGAGACGAAAGATGATGATCCTATATATGAGAATCCAGAGCCTTGGGTTGATCCAAAGATCTCCGATTATGATGATAAGGATGATGAGGATATTCTTACACGAGAATATAAAGCTTTCTGTTATGAAGATATCCGTCTTTGGATTGTCCGAAATCCTACCCCTGGAGAACGCGATCTCCTTGGAATGGAGATCACTCTTGCTCATCACAAAGGAGCTAATAGAAACCCCAAACCGTACGTTCTTGATTTGATGTGTTTTGATCTTGCTAATGTAATATTCGTAGGACTACGTTCCTTTTTCACGAAGAAGCTTTACCAATTCTTTGTCCTGTTAGCCATATCTTAGCCATTGCCATCAGGGATAATGCAATCAAGGTAGACGGATTTACTCACGCCAAACCTTTTTTTACAAGCAACCTACAAGACCCTACAAAAGCAGTTCTGGTGCATTGGAAGCCAGAGAAACTCAAAGTACCGATCTTTCGGCAGGCGGTATGGACATTTGATGGTCTATCAACATCAGAACATAAGGCCCTCCGTTACTCGACCTTTGCATATTACCTTGACCGTCTTGGTTGGGCTGCCGGATTTGCACAGAAGCTAACTAGCTATTGTTTCCGTCGAGGTACTGGGAATGCTGTAGACGGTAAGAGATTTTTGCAAATACTTTGTATTCTTGTTGACATCTTCTAGGGGCAGCTACAACTGCTGTGCGTGACCAGGTGATGAGGCATAACCCTCAGACAGGAGTCTTTTGCGGATCCTACATCAACGAAAAGGTCCGGTTTATCGTTCAAGATGCGGTATTAGACCAGCCAACGAATATCGGATTTCTTCGTGCCTTTACACATATGAGTCTCACATGTGATCCGCGTGCCCCAATCGATGTGCCCGAAGAGATTTTGAAAGCCCTCCCTCCGGATCCAGAGATAATGGAACTTAAAAGAGAACGCGAGGAATACAAAAGGCAATATAGATCCTACAATCGAGCTCCACCTGAAATCCGCAAAGAATGTGAACAACTCCGTCGGCAGATTGATTCTTTACAGAAACAACGTGATCGAGCAATCAAGATAGAGTTCCGGCGAGATTATTTCGATCGTATCCATGATGAAGAATTAGAGAGGCAACTCAAAAAGGTCCCTACAAACGAATATGTTGAGCCTGTCGTCCATCATCAGCTTCCAGAACGAACTCGACTCCAAGAGGTGCTTTGTGATCTCTCGAGGGACATGAGCCCAAGCGATATCGTCAGCCGCCGGATCCGTACCATTGACTTAATGGTAGCACTCTCCTATCGACAGGAACAAGAAGTTCAACATAGCAACCACTCAAGTAGGGAATCTTCAGAGTTTTCTGAGAAACAACCTTTGTGCAAGGACCCCTTTCCCCTTCTTTGTAAAAAGACCCAATGCATTATATGTATCGGAGACAATCGAAGTACTTATGAGTATCGGACACGTACTTATGCCACTTCACACAAAATGATGAACCATGTGGATAGCCATTTGAAAGAAGTTCCGAAATTCCAGAGAATATCCTGTACTCATCCTGTTTGCCAATCGGAAGGGCTTATTCTTAAACACTTACAGCACTTCAAGAATCATGTACAAACTGTGCATGGCATCAGCCTTCGACCCTAAAACTATCGAATAAGGTGTTAGGGATTGATGTGACAACTTGAAAGGATTAATAGTCCATCGGAAAAGTAACTTGACCAGGGCTTATAGTATATGAACACCTCAGCTAAAGCATCAACTTTGACGAATACCCTCCTCTCTACTGTTCGACTACAACATCACCTTGGCGCTCGTGTTATTATCTCTACGCAGGAACCAACAATTTCTCCTTCGCTTTTGGATCTATCTTCAATTGTTATTGTGCATCGATTCACTTCACCCGAATGGTTGAACAGCTTGAAACGTCACCTTGCAGGTGCTACTTCTAATTTGCTTGATGATGACAATACAGATTCAGATGGTCTTGCGAGTTCAAGAGGAAACGGGGATAATGCGAAAAGATTGTTTGCCGAAATTGTAAAGCTAAATATTGGCGAAGCGTTGTTGTTTTCCCCTAGTGCTATGATAGATGTTGAAGTAGGTAGTAACGGTAAAGTGGTGGTGGGGAGGCTTGGTGATGGTTTCTTGAAGATTCGAGTTAGGATAAGATTGACTGCTGATGGAGACAAGAGTATTGTGGCAGCTTAGGACATCAGGTTGAGGTTTTACTTTGAACCTATTTTTAATTTATCATTCATATTTATCAAATTTCTATAATAGACAAATTCCTGGGTTATTGAGGACAGGATCCTTCTCTCTCAACATCGCACCCCTTCGTCCAACTATACATGAAGTGATGACAAAGGTTTATTTTAGTAGATGGACAAGCTAGACCTTTATTGAGGCATGACTTAATATGAAGTGTTACGACAGCGTAACATACCCTACATCATATAACCGATTAGCTAATATAATCATGTGATATGTGTCACCTGATCCGAAGCCGACGGACTTTGAGATCGATCGGCTCCCCAAGAGTCGATCGATTTCCGGGACACGAAGGTCTATTTAATCAGGATGGATTCCCTTACTATAGTACTTCGTGCTCAAGATCAATCATCTAGTATAATACTATTAGTTACGAATTGCAATCATTACCATCGTTACTTAAGTTCCTGCTTGACGCCTAGTTATAAACCACCTCGAGAGCCTAGAGCACTTCCACGTGATCTAGACGGCAACCCTCGTAACACTACGACGTGCAAGATACGAGGAAGACAAAAAGACGATCGACTAAACTGACTAAATAGATTAAGGACGGTAACTGAATGCTATAGGACATAGCGGACAGATCAATCGGATGGTTACGATCAATCGGCACCAGCTCAGAGCTATGTGTAACGATCCGGTCTGACTAGGCAAGTAGAATGTTCGTAAACTAATTGATAACTAAGTTGAGCACGAAGCTCCTAAACTATGAAACTACTCTGATTATATAATGATCGATAAAGGGAGCCCCCAGGAGCTTTCTGGCTCCTCAGGGCTCCTGGAGCTCTAGGAGCTTTGAGGGCTCCTAGGGCTCCTTATCACGTGATTTCTGATGGTGCGTGCATACACGATCTTCAGGTGACCAAGATCACATACTAATTCGATGAAATCTGATCGTGTTTGCACAAGGCCTAAGCTCCCCTAATTAATCAGTTTGCTACCATCGTAACACCATCAATCCTAATGGTGAATCGTGACATATAGACCTACTCATTATCGTACTTGCCATATTAGGCCTAACATCGTATGCCTCCAAGCCCTGTTGGTCCCCTACTCGATCCACACCCCATTGATTAGTTACTTTGAATCTCTTTCACGTGACAAACCGCCTCAATGTCTCCAAAAGCGTCCCCTGTAGTTAGGCGCTCTGCGCTCAGCCCCGGACGTAAAAACAACAATGACAATCTACACAGTAAAAGCGTCTATTCCACCCGAAAACGCAATAAACAGTTCGAGTAACTTGGAAGCTTTCGAGTCCAATTACTTCAAGTATATTTATCACAATGCCTGATCCACTTGATAGTGTTACCGCTAGAATCGTTACTAGAATCGAAGCTGTACTCCACCTTGGTAGCACAGTCCATCAATATCTAAGTAATATCAAAGACCCAATCACAGATCACAACAATATCATCAACGAGATCAACTCTATATATGAAATCCTTTCTACTTTACAAGCTAATATACAAAACAATTCAATCAATAATGAAGATTGGTCAACAATTTCTCAAAGACTTGAAGGCTTCGATAGCCCATTAAACCTCTTAAAGACAGCACTCCAGGAATTAACTACGAAATTCGAGGATACAGCTTCTACCATAGATGTTAGGGTTCTTCCATTGGATTTCAAGCAGAATGAAGCAGAGGAACTCTTCCGATTTGTTACAAAGCAGAGATCCTTACTATCTTTGGCTTTGAGGAATAACTATATTGCACCTTCGACGGATATCCACGATAATACACTCCCTATTCGTGATATCGAGGTAAGGTCTACTCCCTAAATGATATATGTAGGCTAATATCTTATATAACCAGAATACAAACCTTCATAAACGATATTATACAAATCATGATACAACTTTCAACTCGCAGTATCAAGATGATAAATCCCGATATCTACCTGAAACACAGTCTAAACGACAGAGAATTAATCGACAAGGCAATTTTACAAACGCGGGCGGATCACAATTCATTGCATCAAACCTTAATTCTGGAGGAGGGTCTATTAATATCAATACTCACACCTTGGAAAACCGCTGCCTAATCGACCTACGAACCACCGATCCACGATTGGACAAGAGACGTATCGAAGAGACTAAAGGAGGACTACTTGATAATGTATATAATTGGATTTTCGATAATAGTGATTTTCAACAATGGCACTTTAACCGAGATAATCGCCTACTTTGGATTAAAGGAGATCCTGGTAAGGGCAAGACCATGTTGCTCTGTGGTATAATAAATGAGCTGCAGAGATCGGATGAGACTGCCTTAGCCTATTTCTTTTGCCAAGGCACTGATGCACGCATTAATAATGCTGTAGCTGTTCTATGTGGCCTTATCTATATGCTTCTAGATCGGCAGCCTGCCCTTCTCTCGCATTTACAAAAGAGATATGAGAAGGCAGGGGAACAGTTGTTCAAAGATGCTAATACCTTTATAGCACTCTCTGATATTTTGAAGGATATCTTGCATGATAAGAATTTGAAGCCGACGATCTTGATTATTGATGCGCTTGACGAATGCCAAAAAGACCTGCCACAATTACTTCGCCTAATTGTTTCGGGCTCATCCATTTCTTCTCGTGTTAAATGGCTTGTCTCAAGTCGGAACTGGCCCGAAATCGAAGAGCAGTTACAACAGATCGAGCAGGAAACCCGGCTCAGTCTCGAGTTGAATGCTGAATCAGTATCTGCTGCTGTCAGGTGGTATATCCGAGAGAAGGTGAAATATCTTGCGAGAACAAAAAAATACACAACGGAGACAAAGGATACTATCGAACGTTATCTCCTAGAACATGCAAATGGAACTTTTCTTTGGGTGGCTTTAGTTTGTCAAAATCTTGAAAAAGCTCGATTATTCACAAATTCAAAGCTACAAGATTACCCTTCCGAACTTGATCCTTTATATAATCATATGATGGAACAGATAGTAGATATGGAAGATATCGAGGCGACTCAGATATGCCTTGAGATCCTGGCTATTGTAGTAATAGCATATCGGCCTCTTACGCTTGACGAACTAATGTCCCTGATGGAGATGAATAATGAGATTCCGCTAGAGGAAATAATACAACTTTGTGGTTCCTTTTTGGTTTCTCGTAACAGGAGTGTATTCTTTGTTCATCAGTCAGCACAGGATTTTCTTTCTAAAAAGGGTGCTAAAAGAATATTTCCCGATGGAATTGGGAAAGTTCATAACAAAGCACTTCTAAATTCGATAACAGTTATGAGAAAAACTCTAAAACGCGATATATACGGTTTGGGTTATCCCGGCTTTCCTATTGATAAAGTCAAACAGCCCGATCCCGATACATTAGCTTCTATACGGTATTCCTGTATTTACTGGATTAACCATTTAAGAGATGGAGATCCTGAACAAAACAGAGAACACATTCAAGATAACGGCAATATTTATGAATTCCTGAAAAATCATTTGCTACATTGGCTGGAGGTTATGAGCTTGATGGAGAAAACTTCAGAGGGCATCAACGCAATAAGTTCTTTAGAATCATATGTTTCCGTATGTTAATCCTCACTATTTTATTTTTTCTTTTGGGAATTCAGCTAATATATAATAAAGAAGATTAAAGATTCTGAACTTTATACCTTTATATATGATGCTAAACGATTCTTGCTACACAACCGAGTAGGTATTGAACAGGCGCCTCTTCAAATATATTGCTCAGCCCTTTTCTTTGCTCCAGAGAATAGTATTATTCGAAAAACATTTCAAAAATGTATCCCGAGTTGGATTTATAAAATGTCAAGGACACGATCAAATTGGAGTGCCGCCCTCCAAACGCTCGAGGGTCATTCGAGTTTGGTTTATTCAGTTGCCTTCTCACCAGATGGTACAAAAGTAGCTTCGGGCTCTGAAGATAAAACAATCCGGCTTTGGGATGCGATGACGGGCGAATCGCTTCAAACGCTCGAGGGTCATTCGAGTTTGGTTTATTCAGTTGCCTTCTCACCAGATGGTACAAAAGTAGCTTCGGGCTCTGAAGATAAAACAATCCGGCTTTGGGATGCGATGACGGGCGAATCGCTTCAAACGCTCGAGGGTCATTCGCATTGGGTTAACTCAGTTGCCTTCTCACCAGATGGTACAAAAGTAGCTTCGGGCTCTGAAGATAATACAATCCGGCTTTGGGATGCGATGACGGGCGAATCGCTTCAAACGCTCGAGGGTCATTCGAGTTGGGTTTCTTCAGTTGCCTTCTCACCAGATGGTACAAAAGTAGCTTCGGGCTCTCGCGATAATACAATCCGGCTTTGGGATGCGATGACGGGCGAATCGCTTCAAACGCTCGAGGGTCATTCGAGTTTGGTTTATTCAGTTGCCTTCTCACCAGATGGTACAAAAGTAGCTTCGGGCTCTGGCGATAATACAATCCGGCTTTGGGATGCGATGACGGGCGAATCGCTTCAAACGCTCGAGGGTCATTCGAGTTTGGTTTCTTCAGTTGCCTTCTCACCAGATGGTACAAAAGTAGCTTCGGGCTCTGAAGATAAAACAATCCGGCTTTGGGATGCAGTGACGGGCGAATCGCTTCAAACGCTCAAAAATCATTCGCGTTTAGAGGCATCCTCAGCCTTTGAACGGTACTTTGAGTCAAACCATTGGATAGCTGAAAGATTAGATGAAGAAGTGCGAAATATTTTTTGGCTACCTCCAGACTATCGGCCAACTAGGATATATTTTTGTAACGGAGTTATAGTCATGGCACTTTCCACTGGTGGCATTTTCTTTCTGAAACTTGGGTGAAAATTTCATATTATCTAAGTAAAAATCAGTTTCAATATATCCATTAATGACTAACTTATTTATGTTTTGAATATAATATCCTTTTATTTTTTTTTCTCTCTTTAACAGAGAGGTTGGGGGAAGTCTATGATTATATAGACTTTCTATTTGCTACCTTGATTCCAGTATGTTCTAGTGTAGTGATGTGGTAGTTTTATTGGTACAAAGAAACATAAAGAGTTATTTTATTTGATGCAGCTTTGAGCTAATCATTATTAGAATTAAAGGTCTGGAAGCATAAAGAGAAAGATGTAAATTCGATTCTGTTCCCAGCTTTATCTCATATACTGTATATATATATATATATAGAGTTTATCTCTGATTATGGTAGAATGCTATGATTTTAGAATACTATTATTCTAATCATTTGTTGACCTCCTGGGATCTTGGCAGCATATGCATATATATTGCATGATGCATATAAGGAGCAAACAAAACTCAACTTTTAATTCATTCTTTCCTTTTTGGTATACTGTTTGTTTGCTTTCAATATTTTGATTTCAAAGCACTTTAATTCCGAAGGCTGAATACCTAACCTTATTCCTTCATTTTTTGAATATATACTCGCAGCTTAACTGCTTAGCTAGAAAATCAATCAATTCAATCTGATGCTCTTTCTAGTCTCAAGAAACCCAACAATTATGGATCTTCTCTCAAAAGCAACCGTGTTTTATCCTGATTATCGTTTAATATTCCTCCGATTCCTATAGAACACGTTTCCTCTTAGCCTGTAGCGTTTCTAAGCGTTCTTTGGAATGTAAATTATTGTAAGTGTTGGTACGAGAAGGATACGGAAGACGTAGCACCCACGGATTACGTAGGTCCTGTATGTCTAATTGTATTCTGTCTAAAGAGCTAGCTACATATTGAAAGTAGTAAGTCTTATATAGACTTACTAAAAGAGCTAGTCTCTTTCGCGTTCGCTTAGTTCTTTATTACAGTAGTAATTGAATTGAAGTCATTCACTTCGTTCACACAGTAAGGAATGAAAGTTTTTGTGGAAGTCAATTCATCAGAATCAACATTCAATGCTTGGGAAAGAATGGGAAGATGAAGAGGCTCTAGGATATGTTGCAGCTGAAACTCGAGATTATATGTTGTGTCATGCCCAATCCTGGTACGTTTAAGGAAACATCTGAAAGGCCATTCTTGATATTCGGCAATTGGTAACACTGGACAAGAGGAACTTCAAGAAGTTGATGAATAAAAGTGAAGGTTGTTTAAGGAGCTCTGCTTGATATCCTATTATAGACTGGTATATCAGCTACTGCACCAATAATTCCAGAATAGTAAGGCTTCGACTTCGACGATAGACTCATCGTATAAAGATTGCAGCCGGGGAGCTGATTGCTCCAAACACAACCACTATATGACTATACCCAAACCGTAAGATTCGTGACTTGATCGGCAGGCACTTTAGCACTGGGGGTATAGTGAACAGTAATTTTGATAACGAAAACAAGCATTGACACCGGTTTACATCATTCCGGATCAATGTCAAAGAGACAATCTATGTTAACGTGCTGTATGATTAAAGAAATGCATGGCACTACCTAAAAATGCTGAACATCCTTGATAAGGACAGTGAAATCCCTCATCAGCGGTACGAGATTGAAGGTGCTGAGTTTTGATATGTCGATTAAGACTATCAATACGAAGGTATTTGTACTCTCGTTTCTCTGGCCCTGCTTCATTATCATTCCATTTGCAGAAGGCACAAAATAATGTAGAGACCTTGGAAAGGTTATGAGATCTTGTTGTTATATCAGCAATTAGAGATGTCGAATCTGCGTCTTCTGATAGTAGAGTATACTAAATGATTGATCTTGAGCACGAAGCTCTATACAAAGGAAATCCATCTTGATTATATAGTCCTTCATGCTTCGTGGCTCGAAGGGAGCGAAGGGATCGAGCTTCGATCCTTTCGCTCTCTTCGAGTTCTCGCATCACGTGTTATTACTAATCCTGTGACCTAATTGTTACCTGTCGTAACACTATGGTTACCCAGTAGGATCAATGCGGCTCAGTACTGAGCTCACTGATCCTTACTGAGCCAGTCACGTGATGTTGATTACACGTGAGAGTTTCCTGTTACCAGGCGTAACAATTATATAAAAAAATTAATCATTTTGATTTAAAAATTATAAGAATTTCAATAAATGTGACGGAAACTCCTGCTTTCCTCCCACCCTTATTATATAAGAAACCTCAGGTACATTAACCATGTCCACACATGATACGATTACTCGGGATTAGTATACGATTTAGGTGACCTGAGGATCAGATCCGGACAAGTACTAGGTATCAATGGTTATCGGTAAAGTAAGATCATTGGAGGGATAAATATGACTTCTTTTTGCCTAGCCATTGCGGCTAGGCCATTCACTTGTGTATATATAGAGTAGCTATCTGTCACGATTCACCATCACGTCGGACAAGTAGGGATCACGTGATGGAGCCTCCAGGAGCATAGGCTCCTCAAGGCTCCTGGAAAGGACCAGTATATAAACATTCATTATTTTCATAGTATAGAAGCTTCGTGCTCAACTTAGTTATCAATTAGTTTACCTACATTCTACTTGATCTAGTAACGAATTCACTTTCAAGTGAATACCAGTGATAAAGCCTTAACCCATAACTACCAACCGACGAACCTTAGGCAGCCGCTGCCTCCAGTACAGTATCGTTACACTATCTTCATCTTCATGTTTATTTTCATCTCTATCTATACATTTCCCCTATTTATATCCATATCAAAATCACCACACGTTTCTACAACTAATCTACAGACACGATCTCAAAGAAAAGCTTCATTTCACTCCACCCCACGCACCTCACCACACCACACATCACCTTACCTCCTCCTCCAAACCCCCATTCCCCACGCCCCCCTCAAAACCGCCAATCCCCACGCCATCCCCAAACTATCCCACATAACATTCAACTTACTACCACCAACTTCTTGCCAACCAATTGCTTGTTCCGAGACTTTTATTCCTGCTTCCACTTTTCCATTTCCATTTCCATTTCCATTTCCATTTCCATTTCCATCCGCTACCTCAACTCCAACCCCCGGCGCACTCTCAGCCAACATAAGCATTTCAACGTCAAAGATCCATCCCTCAGCATGCATATACGGAATAATATGAGGTAGAGCCGCGCGGGTAAAAAGTTTAAATCCGCATTGAGTATCGCGAATACAGGATGTAGCTGGTGGAGTGAGGAGACGAAGGAGTAAGTGAAAAGAATGCATTAGGGCATTGCGAAGAGCCGAGCGCTATTTTTCGTTAGTATATTGATGGGTATTTATAACGATGGTGAGTATGATTTGGTGATTTGATGGATAGCAAATAGAAGAATGAGAAATAGAAAGAGAAAATTACCTTAACGACCGCCTCGCTTCCCACTAACCAAGCTCTACTTCCTACTGCAACAGCTCTTCCTTCAGAATCCATCACCTTCTTCGCCCCTGCAACCAATTTTCCCAAATCCGTAAATCGACTTGCTCCATCCGCATCAGCAAATACCGCATATTCACCTCTCACATGTCTCATCCCATGCGTAACCGCACCTCCTTTTCCTCGATTCTCCTCCAACGTCACTATCCTCAAAACATCATGCAGACTATTTTTCCTCGAGAAATCTAATGCGACTTGTACTGTTTTATCTTTACTCCCATCATTTACAAGTAAGATTTCATAGCCTGTTCCTGTTCCTTTTCCTTTAGAGATCCGTCCATATGTATTATCTAGAACGGATACAGCTTCTTCCAGCATGCCTGTTAGTCGTTCTTCTTCATTGTAGGCTGGGACTACAAGACTCATTTCTATTGAAGCGGGTTCGATAAATCCAGTACTGATATCGTTTTCTGTCGAGGGGCTTGTTTTCGAAACGGAGGCTTCGCGATGCGCAACCCAGCTGTCGTACCAGCAGATTAGGGGTTTCGTTTCTGTGGTTCCTGAAGGAGTGGTTGTTGTGTACGATTTTTCTGATGGGTAGGGTGATCTTGGGACTGGAGCGACCAGTAATAGAAATATGTATATCTACAAGTACCTCATTAGCAAGAGTCTCCAAAATACCAGTCAATCCTCATCGAAGAAGCCAGCACAAAATACGATCCCGAAGATAAAACGAAAAATAAACTCACACAACCCAATCCCAATCCCACTAATCCCACCAAAACCAACAATAATATATGACCCGGCGTATTCCAAACCACCTCCAACAATTCCCCCAATATATTCAAAGGAAGCTCCAGTAACCCAGCCATATCGCAGATGAGGATATGCAAAAGAAAGTTGAGATCCTCAAAGAACAAACTCGTAAAGTCCTTAAAAGCAATTCCTCCCCTCTGTCTATTCTTCCCTCGTATCAATTCCCCAAATGCTTCCAATGCCGCAGATATATTCGTAAATAATCGCAAACAATCTGCGCACGCAATCAATTCGTTTCGTTTCCTTCGACTCTTTCGATCTTTCGATTCTTCCTCAAATCACCGTCCTCAAACCTCGAATTCTTGTTTCTATTCCTGTCGCCGTCACAAAACCACAATCAGAACTAAACAGCTCGTAGAAATCCTTCACTCAATCCACCCAATTCACCTCCTCAATTCTAGAATCTCAATTTCCAACACCGAATCCACCAATTGCAGTACTCTTCTCTTATCTCCTCTCCTCTGCAATCCTCTGCCGTGTCGTGTCGTGTCGTCCCGCGCCTTGACTTTATGTACGTATTGTATCTATCGAATGTATCGTATGTAAGTACGTTATATGTACCGTCAATCAATCAATAGCCATCCGCTATCGCAAGCGCAATCACAATCTCAATCGCAATCGCAATCGCAATCGCACAGCAAACCCCCAGCTAAAATATCACAAAAGTCAATTCGTTCCCTTCACACATCCAAAAAAACAAAAAACAAAAAGACACAGTAACCTGATCACTGCTAAAGTACACACTCTCTAATACCCTTACGTACTCCGTGCCCTCTGTCGCAGTAAAAGTACGAGGACTCAGAAAAGTAAATCGTGGCCTCGCCTTATGCCCCACAATTCAATCCATAATTCGTAGTAAGTAACTTAGTACGGGTACATTCACGTACATATGGGTGAAACACCGATTGGTTGATGCGACAGTTTTGCGTAGCCTTGTGATGTGGGGGTTTTGTTTTGTTTGTTGGTTCTGCGAAGAGGGGAAGTTTAAGGGGATGGGAGATGAGAGATGGATGGTTTTATGTATATGTTACTTCATGTGGTGAATGGTAAATACTACCTACTGCTACTAATCCTAATACTAGATGGCAAGAAAAATCTACAAAAATCGAGGCTCAAAAATGCTCATTTTCATCATGGTTTCAAAATCAATGTCAATGTCAATGTCAATATCTGTTTGACATATATGGTATCAATTCATCTCAACTCATCTGTTCCCATATTCTTCCTTCCCCTCCTCTCCTCTCCCATCTTGATCATTTCTTCCTTTTCCTCCTCCCATCCCCCCATTCGTCCATCCATCCGTCCATTCCTATCAAAATGAGAGAACTCCAGAAATCTCCGTCCTTTCTACTGTACAGGTATCGGTGATCAAGTTATTCCACAGTTTCCCTTCCCTCCCTTCCCTTTCAACCCACGCGGAAAACAAGCCGAAGCTAAAGGAACAATATAGTTATTGCTCATAGGGCAAGCAAAATTGTAGTACTGGCGCCAAATTCAAAGCAATACCAACAAAGCAATCGCGGTCACCCCTTTGGACAGTGATGTTATATGAAATCAATCACTGACATCTCATTTCCCTCCTTCGCCTAAACTCCATTTCGTGCAATTAAAAATGCGCCATTCCTCTGGAGATATTCCAATCTTCCTTTAAAAAAGATTTGCACATCGACGTAAGAGCATCTCAACTCGTACTGCCACCAGGGCTGCCACCACCAGTTTTGATAGCTGGAGATAAACTAATTGCAATTTTCTTAGGTCCGTTACCACCATCCCGAGCCTTGTTGAAGCTCTGTTTCCTCCTAACCACATTGCTATTCGAACTCGTGGAACCTCTGCGTTTGTGATTGGAAAGTTTGCCCAATTCATCTTCCTCATCCTCTTCTCTCCTGCGCTTTTCCGATGACCTTTCTGGTGGTGTAGGTGCGGAAGAAGTAGGAGTCATAACTAATTCGTCCCCACTGGAATCTTTTGAAGCAAGCGTTTTTAGTGAAGGGCTCTGGCAGAGAGGAGCAGAGGTTATATCCACAGAAACATCGTTTTCCGAATGTTCATTTTCTTCATCAGATGGATAATCAACTAAAGGCTTCGAGACGAGTGACGCTCCGTTTGTCAAGCTCCGATCATAAGATTTGTCCTCCTCATCATCCGAGGTATTGAAATATGCTTCTTCTTCGGCATCTAAGTCTTTGATACCTGAGCCCCATCTACTGCCTCTACCTGGTTCAGGTCTCCTCGGACTTTCATCTTCAGTGTCGAGGTAGGAAGTTTCCATATTCGACGAAGATCCTTGGCCGTTATCATGCTTATGTACGAAATTTCTAAAAGTGTCAACGTAGGTGATTGACTCGAGTTTCTCTCGGTAGTTTTCCACCAAGTGACTGACCAAACCCTTTTCGCCAGAACCGTGATGCTTGAGGAATTCGAAGAACTCCAAACATGCTGAATTTAAAAGATTATCTCGAGGCATTGTTTCAATCACAAGATCTAAAATTGGTCCAAAGAGATGATCTTGCATCATCTGCTGATTGTAAAATTCATCTTGTAGACCAACTAAATTTCGGAAGAACTTCAAAGCAGCTAGAATTCGTCAGTAAAGCTCATGGTTATCCAGGAAACAATAACTTACTTAATTTCAGATATTTCTCCGGGCTCCCTAAAAGCTGAGAAATACGTTGAGCTAGTCCTTCTGATAACACGAAATATTTGCTGCGATGCATATGCTGCCTGATAAAAAAACAAAGGATCTCTATCAAATAGATGAATAAAGACACTTGATGGACAGTGAAGTTCATATTCTCGCGCCCCTTCAAATCCACCAAAGGTTTAAATAGTCTCTTCGCCGAGTCTTCATAAAAATGATTAAGAAAAAGTTCATGCTGAGGGTCTAGCTGAGGCCGAGGTCTAGCTACAACTTCACCGTTGCCTTTGGCGGGTGTTTCCACTGGTGGTGGAAGGTGGTTGCCTGGGTCCAAGAGAACCTTGATAGCATCCGCTATTTGAGCTTTTACACCTAGATCAGCTTCTACGAGAAGAAGATCAATGAGCGAATCGGTCAGCGGGGTTTGTTTCTCACTCATTTGTCGGAATATTGTTTGACGAATCATTTGAGGATCATGATCGATCATAGACACCAACACATCTGTGGCTCCTACTCGTACTCCTACATCATTATGTCGAAGAGCAAAGTTAATGACAGATAATAGACCATGTCCTAAGAAGTTGTTGTATAACGTTTGCCGTGCTGGTTGTTGTAAGTTCTTCGCAATGGCGCAGCACTGTTGTATGAATAAGACGGCCATCTTCTTCCTTTCCTGATCTGTCTCTTGTGATCCGAAAATTCCAAAAAGCTCCTTAAGGACTGTTGCATTGTTCTGCAGATATTGAACAATTTCGACTTGATTAAAGAAGATGAGGCCATTGAGAACCGAAAAGGTTGGGTCGTCCAAGATCCGGGCAAGTACAACATCCTTGAGATATTGTAGCCGATTTGTGTTATGGATCTTCCTCATCACGTTCTCATCGGGTATTTCAACAACTTCTTTGTATCTATCCTTCTTGCCTAACCAAAGTCGATGATTAGCCTTATGGCTTGGGAAATCCGGATCGTATTCTAAAGCCCCGACAACACCAATGACTGCCTCATCCGTTACGATTTCTTCGATTATGGAACTGTCGTTCAGCAATATGATTATCTTCATCATGGTGCAAAGTCGATGTAAACTCGGTAGATCTTCCATGTCCTCGGCCATTTCAACGAGAGGTATTAACCTTCGGACGTAATATTCATTTATAACCATTTTCGTAAGGGCCTCGCGTCCACCCGTTGTGCTGTTCAATCCTCTAAATAGCTGTTCCAACTCGTGCAGGTTACCAAGTGAGGGATGGGGAAGTGATGTTGGAATCACTGGCTCAGGGATGAGATCGTCTGATACACTATCTTCTAAAGAAAACTATAAGCATCATAAAGGTAGGTACAATGCCACAATCGGAGACATGGAAGGTTAATTAACTTACCCTCTATACTGATACCTCCAGGTGCACTGAGGGTGGATTGTATATTATTGATAAATCTCCTGTGACAACTATCAGTCGAATGCGCCACAATATAATAACGCGTTGATCGCGATATGCCACTTACCAAACAGCCGCGCAACCCTCGGCTTCTTGAAAGCTGAGAGCCATATCCATCTCATTATCCGGCTCTGTCCATACTATGAGAGTTTCTGGAGAAGATCCATTAGTGTGAAATGTGGTAACCATGCGCTGATCCAATATACCTTGCTGTTTCTGAAATCCATCCGCTTTAACTATCTTTGTATCAAGGAGTATGCGACCTGGTTGATCCTCCGATTGCACCATTACTGTGGGATCTGATTTTTCCGAGCCATTATCCTATATATATTCAAGGTGATTAGGCAACAAATCCCAAAGGTGGTGGGAAGAAGGATGAGGATAAGAATGACAGCCGCGCAGCAAATAGGTGCTTGCGTGAAGGTTGAGAAAGAAAGGTAGACATACGACCATGAAATCAGCTCTGCAGAAGCCAGTACCTCTATCGAACCAGTCGCCTTCGCGCAACTCATAGACCTTGACTCTTCTCTTGTCATTTGGCGGATTTTGAATAGGCCCTCCTGCCTGCGCCATCATTAAAGGTTGTGGTTCCCCCTCCAGTTCCTCTTGGACGTATTCCAATACCTCGGATGAGATATCTAAGTGTTGTTGAAGGGACAGTTGCGACTGCGTTTGAGTGAGAACGGACGCCACCGTGGATTGTTTGCGCCTCGAAGTCGCGCGTAACTGACAAGTTGGTTAGGGTGTCGAAGTGACCTCTTCGCGACGAGATAAGAATTGGGCGTAGTAAGCGACGGTAGTGATTACTTGGAAAGGTTAATCAGATTGAATCGCGATGGGATTTGGATTGTTGTGCCGGTTAATTCAAGTTGGTTGCTTTGCTTGTTGGCGTGCGGGCTCGGGATGATGAAATTGTGAGTGGAACTTAAACTTACACGCCTTACATTCAATTTCTCGCTAAAGTGCCAGGCAAGCAAGTTTCTACAGTGCAGTATCAAGATGTGATAAATATAGAAATTGGTGATCAAACGACAACATCAAGAACATGAACATGAACATCAGAGCATCAGAACATCTCGACATCAATAACAACAACACCAACAACAACAATTGACTGGATATATAAAATACGAATAATACCTGCTGGAACTTTAATCTATGCTGTTAGACCCTTAGATCTTGTACGATATATTATGATTCATGACTAATGATTAATTAGAACACTGATCCTATCAAGGTGGGATCCTTTTGGACCCGTTATCACGTGTACAGTTTTAGCTCCCTCCGATGTCCAATCTTACCTTCCCATCAGCCAATCATAATCTTACCCGATGTTCTGTGCTGGTGTTTCAAAATTGGAGATGATGAACAATTTCCAAGCGAAATATCTTCGTGTACGAAAAAGTACTTGTACTGTACTGAATTGTACAGAGGAGTTTGTATTGAAACTCTCTTTCAACTATTAGTAAGATCTTACCTACGGATTATACATCTCCTGAATGCAAACCCGTAAACCGCATGAATATAATATCCTACCTAGGTATGCGATCTAAATTGTTATCAAATTGTCGGACCCTTCCTTTTCAATCGGCATTAGTTTCACGCGCTTCTTGAGACATGGGGAATATCCAAATGGATTTTATCCCTTGTCTGACCAGGATCAGCTTCCGATGCATGATTGATTGAACGGAAGTCGGGGCACGGCATTGTGAGGGGAAAGAAGAAGAAGAAGAAGAAGAAGAAGAAGGAAGAACTTGTTCAAATATTTGAGTAGATGAGATGTTGGAGGAATGTTTGTATAAAGCTGTTATTAGATACAGCTAAGTATTTAACTCTCTTCTATCAAGAAATGCGATTGAACTTGTGCGTAGGTATTGTTCAACCCCAGTTTGTCTTCTACTGATAGTTTCTTCGTAAGGGTCCGATAAGCGAAGAATGCTGTAATGACTTTAGGTTCTCGACTTATTCGACATTCGATAGTAATATTACATCTACTCACAATACCATGGCGGATTTCTCATTCACCCTCAGTCACCGAGTTTATCAGGACATTTCGTCTAGCAAGATGTCTATTTTCAATAGCCTCTTGACTTTCTCTGCTGCCAATCCTTATCTTTTGGTGATTGGGATGGACTAGGTAGGATTTGGTTATGCAAGTACCTATGCACTGAACAACTGAGGTCTTTGCAACCACTCAAGTACCTTAACCTTTTTGATATCTCGCCGTGCCGCCTATTGGGTTCCTGGCGTACCTTTTTCACATCAAGCCCTTTCAGATCAAACTTTAAAAATTGCCGATGTTGGGAGAAGAGGTTCCAGAACCTCATCCTCGACATAGCTAGCTACCATGCACACAAATATCAATCGGCAAACGAGACGAATAGGTTCTGATACTATAGAAGAAGCGAGATCTCCTGAGTACACCTTCACCAGTTGAGGCCTTTTGTCAGTTCCTAGGAGAAGAAAACATGTGAGGGATGGATTTTTGGGAACTACACAGCTATACTATCAGTAGCTGCTGTGTAACTATAAGCTAAGCAAAAGAAAAAGCGTGGAAAAATAGGGTTTCTCCACCGACGACTCTCCTAGATAGTCCATCAAGCATCTCGGTTACGGCAGACTTAAAGTTGATGCTCTTGGCTGTGGGAAAAGTCCTTGTGTAGTAGCTCATATTGGTAGCTCAGATCGTTGGAGACCAAAAGGGAATTGGGTTTGGCACAATTGAAGAAAATACCGTGTAGAGATGGCAGGAATCTAAGAAAGGATCTCGTTCAACTTTCTCTAATAATTAGTGTAAAAGTAGTAATGAGACTCGAGCATAAGGCCATACCAGAAATGTTCAGACCAGCTTGGAATTTAACCTACAAACACTTTCAACCTCTGGCTACTGTACCTATCTAATAGCCGAGCCCAGCTCAATAAACACGTTTTCACAACTCAGTAATAGGCTACGGACATTTCAGAGTTTCCAGAAATTGAAACGATTCCAAATCCCCAAGGTCTGTGTTGTGTACCTTTTTGGAAAGAAAGAATATCAATCTTGTCAACAGACGACGGGTCAGGCTAAGTCATTAGTCTTTATCGGTATGTGATGTTATGCATCATGCATTCCAAGTGTTACAGTACTAGCAAAGTATGGCTCATATGCGCAGGCGGGAGGCGACAGTTGAACCTAGTAGGTCGATCATTTAAGATTGAGGTGTTTCAAAGTTCAACAGGATAGTGTCTGTGCCGTGCATTATCCCTCCGTTCCTTTCGAGAACGACAACCTTGATATTCGCCGATCAACCAAACCTTCCTTCAACCTACAATCTACTCAAATATTCTACCAGCGATTCGATATTCGGTGATATGGTCCTGATCCTTATTAGTCTTTGCACTAATCAGCCTGCAAGCGAGAACGACGGGTAGAGAAGAGGCCAGACTTCAGCCTCAATCGGCATTGCATGGTTCAATAATGTGGTGGTTAATACCAAGTTCTCAGAGACATGTTCAATGTTCTATTACGACATGCTAATACTTCCTACTTGATCATGATTTGAAAAAGCGAAGCTTCCATTGCTCTTCTATTTCTTCCTGCGGAGGTACTGTACAGTGTATATGACTTAGTCGAGTATACTCATACAGACTCTCCACCTATTCTATTTTCGAGTACTATTCAAATACCTACATTATGCAGGCTACATAATGACCTTACCGGTACTGGCTGAATCTTCTACCTCGTACTGACAAGTATATTTCCCACATGGCGATCTAATTAATTCCGACCGAAGGGTAGGTATTAAGGGTATAGTCTGTTTCAGGCTTTCAGCTCCGCTTTGCACGGGTGGTTCCAGTTCATCGGAAAATTCTTCAGTAGGTTCATCAGTTCTTTCATGGGTCTGATCATTCTAACTACATGCTAACCTCAACCCTACTTTCCAGGGTATGTATTGATTGCAGGGCCAAGGTAGGGCTATGAAAAATTAATAATCCTTTTATCAACAACCATCGATGCGACAATTTTCGCATTTGTACCTACTTCTCGTAGTACTGGTGGTAAGTGCTACCAAAAATTAATTCGGCAATGCTCCGTATCTATCTACCGAGTGTGCTTCGACACATGTCGGAATTACTAAGGATTAAGGTTACTAAAGATCACTAAGGACCTCGGAAGTTCCCAAGTACTCAACAAACGAAGATTGACGGTTCTCACCCGGCCATCCTAGCCGTCGATCTACCGGCACACACTTTTCCCGTGCGTCGAGTTATTGCAGAACGGGTTAATATGTACGCTTTATGATATGGATGCTCAACTAGTCAAGGCTAGATAATCTTGTCGAATTCTTTATTGGTCATTTGTTTCGATTTGCTTTCCAAAAATAGGTAGGTGGAGCAGGATGGGACCTGGTGGACTCTAACTACCTAGAAGAACACGAGGCGTTCACAATGTCTGGACTAACCTGAAAGCTTTGTGCTCCATATCAGTCTATCAGATATTCAAAGTAGGCTTAATCGGCGACGATATTGCTCTGCATGCAGAAGTTTATACTTAGCATCCCGTAAGTCTTACATATTTCCGATGCACGAGCAGGATGTATACGGTTCAAGGTATATAGCAGCCAAAATAGCTTTCATCAGTTGCTAGGTACAGGTGATGACGATGGGACGAAGGACTCGATGTGTTAAAAGAAGATGACAGGGGTTGGAATTATTACCACGTTTGTGGTCAAATTGATGAGCATATTTCTATGGTTTCTGGATAATGTCTGCCTAGGTAGGTACTTGATGGGATTTGAGATGTTACAGATCTATGGATGTTTCCGAGTAAGCACGATACAGGCAACATGCCTAGATAAGTAAATACGAAGGGAAATGATGGCAAAATGGTTACAAGAACGGGTACAAGAGTAAGGTATCAATTTCATATGGACATCATGAGCATCTTTCATATGGTCAGACTTTTGAAGTCAAATAAAAATCAAGTTTATCTCCCTTTTATCAGAATTTCCTACATCTATTGCATTTCTATAAACTTCAGCTGGATTCTAATCCAGCTGATAATCGGACTTTCAATCAAAAACACTATATCTTGTATGACATGGGATTGTGATACACAGCCAATACAAATCCATACAGCAAAGAGTACAGTGTACATATTTGGTGCAGTACCTACAGTTAATATATTATTTTCTAAAACCGTCGGCACTTCTACAAAACATTATCGTATCCTTCTACCACTCATATTTCTTATCATACATACTACCTACCTAGGATAATTTGATCAAAGGGTTGATGTTAAATAGTTTTCTAATTCCGATTTTCCTACCCAAATTCACCAAAAGCGGAGTTTCCCTCCTTTTGTACCTTCCAAGCGAAGACAAATTCAATAACCTCAAAATATATATTAGTCATCTTGGATTGTTTAATCATACTGTGTACATTTAGTACGAGTAGAAGGGGAAATAGCCACAAATCAAACAGTCTTACTTTCCTTTTATCGGAATAAAGGTCTTCATCCATCTATCCTTGAAACATTATTCATGTCCATGGAACGGTTCCTGAACTAAGAAGAACTAATGAACCAAACAGGTTTTCTAGGCCCTTCCACCTTCCTACTAAAGTTTCACGCCAGCATCTTCCACAATTACAATTTTTCAACATCTTTTTCATTTTTTTCATGGACGGTACTTACCTAGTATTTAGAAGCCATCTTTCCGGCTCCCCTCTTCACACTTCCTTTCATCCATCCATCCATACGATACTATCGAATACGCCTTCGCCTTCGATCCGTTCATATTATATCCACTTTATCCAATCATCTTCCTTATTCATGCAAAGTTAATACCATCTTAGTACGCACGTAGTACATGGCCGAGTTCTAAATTGTCAAGCTTCTACTATCACGATCATCGCAAGGTACGATAAGGAGGGAAACGGTCGGTTGCGCTTAGGTTGGTGCTGTGTAGCTTGTATATATTAAAGGCTTGCTTGCTGCATGTCTTTTGCTGTTTTTGTTCGTTGTTGTTGTTGATATCTTTTGGTTGGATCTTGCCTTGTCTTGTGGAGGACGATATACGATATACTTTTATTTTTCATACTTATACTTGGTTTGAATGCTTCGTACTGTAGGCTGAATGCTGAAAGCTTCATATTACCTCTTAATCGGTCGGATTGCTTGAATAACTATTCTGTTATTTCGACTTTCACTTCGACTTTCACTTCAGCTTCACCTCACCTCAACTTTCACTTCTACTCCAACTCCAGCTCAACTCCTCCAACATATAAACCATTCTCAAACTCAAAGCAACAATGTCGATATTTTCAAAGATTAAAGGCTCCAAAAAAGCTGCTCAACAACACAAGGAAAAGACCATCGCCGACGAAAATCAAAAGAAATCCGAGGAAGAAGTTACTAAAGTTCCATACAAACATATTCCAACACATGCTGCAATCGATGCACTCTCTGGAGCACCTTCATCATGGAAAAACGAAGATCGAACAAAAATCAGAGAACATCATAAACGAAGAGGTCAGATGACCATCAGTCGTACTCACAGTACTTTATCCACTGTATCATCCATGAGTAATACAATTGAATCCAGCTCTGTCGCTCCATCTCTACCACGCGCCATTTCTCACGACAGTTACAATCCCACATGGAATAACCGAGTGGGTGATATGTCATATTTAACAGAAAAACTTCAATCGCGGACACAACAACCAACCAAATCCAAACCTTTAAATCATGGAATTGATTCTGCTATTGGTAGAAGTCCATTATCTAGTCGTGGACAAAGTGAAGGTAATTCATATTATCTATCCTAACATTAAACAATAACTAACTATTTTGTAAAGCTACGTCCCCAGTTACTAGTTCCAGGAACAGTACGAAAACATCATCATCTTCTTCATCCTCCTCTTGTGATGATCTAGAAATAGCTTCTAGTGTACCACGAAGACTACAACCTAGACATTCATTTAGACCTGAACCAGTCGTATTCGAAGATCATGATATTTTCACCAGATTACACACCAGTACCACTCGAAAATTGGGCGAAGCACCAATCATGTCAAAACCACAAAATCAACTACCTAAACCAGCTCCAGTCATTGTTGCACCACCCAAATCCAAGAAATCTCGATGGTCTCTCATAGGAAAACACGACGTTTCACCTACTACCGATTAATACTTGGCATGAATGAATATTCGGAAGGAAACTTGAACAGAAAAATCAATATTTCTCAATCTCAATATATAAATCCAGAAGCGAAAGGAAAGTTGCAGATCTTCAAAGAATGAATCGTATCGCTTCTTGTATTGAATGGGTCATTTACTCTTGGAAATGACGCTTGTAACAATTCGATGGATCTTCCGGGATCCTTTTTCGCTCTTCGCATCCTAGCGTTACGATATTTTTGTCGTTGTCGTTGTCTATGTTTGTTTTGTTTGCTTATTTACGGGCAATACAGTAATACAGCAATACCTACCGATATACATACATACCTATGTCTTTATTGAATTAATGGCTCTTTTCAGCTATGTTGTGTTGTACAGAGATGAAATGGATGAGCTGGATGAGCTGGGCTAGGCTGAGAGATAAGGATATGGATATATTTTAAGACTAATTACTTGATAATTGGGTTAAATATCTACTTTTATCTTCTTTGGTGGGAAGATCCTTTTATTATTATATGTATTTAATGTTAATTTTTTTCTTTCTCTTTTTTATTTATTGTAGAATATATTTATTTATTTATTTATTTATTTATTTATTTATATTGAAAGATTGGGTGGAAGAGGCCTCTATATTGACTATATTACTACGTGTGTAGGCATATTAATCTCCTCTTAGTATCCTCTGAGGGGACCAATATGCCTGCTTATGGTTCGTCTAATCTAGCCTGTTTAGGTAACCGTATTACTAATCACGACACGTGATTAGTACCGGTAACTTCTATTCCTTTTAACAATTTATTTATTTATTTATTTATTTATTTATGTTACGAGGTTTGCCGTCTAGATCACGTGGAAGTGCTCTAGGCTCTCGAGATGGTTTATAACTAGGCGTCAAGCAGGGACTTAAGTAATGACAATGATGCAATTCGTAACTAATAGTAGAGTATACTAAATGAATGATCTTGAAGACGAAGCTCTATATAAAGAAAATCCATCTTCTTTATATAGATCTTCATACTCCCTTGGATCCTTTTGGATCCTTTTGGCTCCTCAAGCTCCAAAAGCTCCAAGTCACGTGTTTTCTGACGGTGCGTGCGCATGTGATCCTAAGGTGACCCAGATCACATATTAATTCAATGAAATCTTGATCGCTTTTGCACAAGGCCTCAGCTCTCCTAATTAGTCAGTTGTTACCATCGTAACATTATTGTCATTACTTAAGTCCCTACTTGATGTCTAGTTATAAACCACCTCGAGAGCCTAGAGCACTTCCACGTGATCTAGACGGCAAACCTCGTAACAAAGTTATCGATGAGGTCTTTGATAAGAACCGGGATCATAGGGTGGATACCAATAGCACCGAGAATATCCTCATGGGTATGATGAGCAACATCGATTGCGTGAGCGACTAAGTCGGCATTCTCTTCCAAAACATCGACAAGAGTGTCAAAAAACACATTTTACAAGAGATTACGAGGAGAGAATGATAGAAAGATAACAAAGATAAATAATTGGTTGAATATCTTTGAATCCTCACCTTCGTCTGGCTGCTTAATACTCGAAAAAACTGGCACGGCCAGCTGACTATGGAAAGGAGAAAAGGGAGCAAGCAAGAAAGCCTACTTATATCTCATGTGCGTATACAAAAACTAAAATGACCAGAATAACTAGGAAGGCGTTTGTTTGCAAAGCCCTACTTTTGGGTTTTCCTGTGCCAAACATCACTTCTTAAAAGAACATCCAATAGCTATAGGCTTCTCGAAATTTATGACTCTTGCCTTCGAATTAAATCTTATGGCGCTCCCCGGTGTCACGTAATTAGAGGCCCGAATACGAGCTTAGAATCAATCAGTCGATGATCTGTTCTTGAGCAATCGCCATGTCAAGGAAAGTCTTACTTGCATATCAATTTTATGTGATATTGCCCAGTTATGTGATGAGGTAGTTCGGTTACACGTAATGTGGTTCTAATTGATAGAATATTCAATAAATGCTGCCCACGTTGTCTACTTGAGAAGCCAGCCGAGGGGATGTTTGATATCGCTGTTAATATGATGTGTAGATAGCGGGCAAAGAGGTTCTCAGTAGCTAGGTGTGCACACCCTTCGCAATTGGCTCCTCATGCAAGGTAAAGAAATAGGGTACGATTTGCTCCTTAGTTCTTACTTACATGCAAATACATCTCCATTGGATTACCCTGTGGAGACTTGGAAGGGATTAGGGATGAACAACTGGCATGTGCTCGGTGGGGTTGAGGCCCAAATAAGTATGTGCGGTTCGGTGGTTGAGGCTCAAGTGATTATTTAGCGGAAGTGGAGAGGGTGGGTGGAGAAGATGAGTGTATGTTGGTGTATGGGGAACCGTCGGGAGTGGTGGAGCAGCCGGAGATATCATGGACTCTTTGCGGGGGTTAGGTTAAGGGGTATTTCCATAGACAAAAAAGTGCTAATTTTGCCATGTCTAGATCACCTCTTCAACTCTACCATGTATACATGTTACGTCATATCTAACAAATATACAGACTGGATAAGGGTGTGTGGACCTAAGTGCTATTGAAATCTTTGCCGTGACTGCCGTTAAATTTTTAAACTGATGCATCTGACATGCATATCATTTTACATTACGTGGCTCAATTGATGAAGTCAGTCGGAGACACCTACACAGAGATTGCCGCATTGGTTGCCAGTCAAGCATTTGTCAATCAGTAAGTCCTGCTAAGTTCGCTAGTCCTCATTCGAATTTCGCCGCAATCGTGTAATATATAAAGGACAAGATGAATCACATATACATTACAAAATTCACATTTCCTCACTTCAAGAACGCTTTTGTCTGCCAATAATTTCCATCCAATATTTCCAACTAAGAGGATAGCACAAAAATGAGTCACGCTGGGCAAGCTTTCACCATACTCCAAGATCAACAAGTTTCTAACTGTCACTAGGGATATTCAAATTGAGGGTCGATGGGCAGGCGTTTTGACCCGCCGTCCAAATCATGAAGAGCAAAAGAGTGAAGGCACAGAATCAAATTTCACTCTCTACACCAAGGATGAAGATGGAAAAATTGAAATACACGGAGAAGGGAATGGTCGTCTTGGAATTTTCAAGGTAAAGGGTCATGTGTACAACGGAACGGAGGTGAAATTAGTAAAGAGTTACCCTACATGGAAGTGGCATCAAGAAGGTCGTATTGACCCAAAAACAAATATAATGTATGGTCGATGGGGGAAAGCTGAGCAGAAAGTGGGCAGAGGATACTTTGCCTTCCACCTCACACACAATGGCGATGTGGAGACAAGTGCCGTGTATGTTAATATTCCCGTTTTTTGCATAACAACCATCCCCAATCACTGAAAACCTCGAGCAAAATTTAACTGGATTAACATGTTAATATATGGGGAACACTAGAGATCGACTTGAGGCTATTACAGGCGCTTGGTCCGGAACCTACACGACTCCAACTTCGACCACGAGCTGCACTTTCAAGTTGATTGGCGGGACGAGCAAGGGTGATGACCAGCTTGTCATCAAGGGCAATTCGGTCTCGCCGACACCCCAGTATACTATCAAAGGTGTGGTGTCTGCATCAGGTCAAGTTATTTTTGCCAAGGTGACTGACAGCCATGCATTTGTTTATCGAGGCACATTGTCGGAAGGAAATGATTCAATGAGTGGCGAATGGGCTGGCGACGAGAAACATGGCACTTTCCATTTTCGTCGTGCTTAGATACACTGGGATATTGCAAGGTCTCTGACATGAGTTCATAGATAGCCTATGGATGCTTATATTCCAGGGCAGTAGCTCTTGATCGATAAAATGATTAACGATATCGTCTATCATATGCATTGAAGATACAACTATGTACTTTCTTTCTAGTTCTGTCTGTTTCCTCGGTGAATAATTGAGGAAGAAAGTGAGTGAGTGAATAAATGAGGTTGATTCTTTGGGGTTTATGCGAGTAGGTAGTAGTGATATTAATAGTAAGTAGGTATGAGTATAGTAGACAGGTAGATAGGTAAGTATTTGCAGGTATATTATTTGTTACCTTCATTTAAATATGTTTGAGTAAATGATGCTATTTCGACTAGGTTGGAGACACTGACAGGGCTAGTGTAACCTTATACTTACTAAGTCTAATATCCTACTTTCTGGCCACTTTTAATCTTGGTTAATTTTTTATGTCAAAAATAACAAAAATTAATCTTTATAACTGTGACCAAAAGGGTGTTTATAGACCAGCAATTGTATTTAACTTAGAATCTACAGGTGAAGAGCACCTGTAGATGGGGATAGCTACTCTATATATACACAAATGAATGGCCTAGCCGCAATGGCTAGGCAAAAAGAAGTCATATTTATCCCTCCAATGATCTTACTTTACCGATAACCATTGATACCTAGTACTTGTCCGGATCTGATCCTCAGGTCACCTAAATCGTATACTAATCTCGAGTAATCGTATCATGTGTGGACATGGTTAAGGTACCTGAGGTTTCTTATATAATAAGGGTGGGAGGAAAGCAGGGGTTTCCGTCACATATAAATAAATATTGAAAATTTTGGATTTTTTACAATTTTTTAATAATACATAGTGTTACGAGGTTTGCTGTCTAGATCACGTGGAAGTGCTCTGGGCTCTCGAAGTGGTTTATAACTAGGCGTCAAGCAGGGACTTAAGTAATGACAATAATGATATGCAATTCGTAACTAATAGTAGAGTATACTAAATGATTGATCTTGAGCACGAAGCTCTATACAAAGGAAATTCATATTGAATATATAGATCTTCATGCTCCTTGGATCACCTTGGATCACCAGTGATCCTGAGTGATCCAGCATACTTGTTTATATGCTCTGATGGTGCGTGCATATGAGTTCTTAGGGTGACCGAAATCTCATAGTAAATTGAGCGAATCGAAACCGATTTGCACATGGCCCAAGCTTACGAAAACAAGTCAGCTGTTACCATCGTAACAATATATAAACATAATAGCTCGTCTATAAGAAATACAACAAAAAGTCAAAAAATACTTTCATCATATTAAGGATATCATCTATACATCTCTGCAGTGGTCTAGCCATTATACACCATTACCATTCATCCATCGTCTCTTTCATCTCATCAAACATTATATTGTTCCCCTTTCCCTACCACTTAATGACTTCAAGAATGTCCTCACCACTAACTCCTCATCTCACTCCAAATAAATGGAAAAATAACTATACACGCCTTCCAAAAAACCTCTATGCTTTGTTCCACTGCCCAAGGTGCTTTCCATATTCCACTTAATCCCCCCATAACTTCTCCCATCAAAATTTGAATCGATAGTACCGCTACTGCGAAAAAGTGATATATCAAAACTAATGGTTGTCTGATGATTCCCGCCAATAATCCCGCAGGTCCTTCTATACAATTTCCTCCTTTGTGGAAATAATAGAAACAACCTTTTTGTAAGGCTTTTAATTGTGGATCATCTGCTGCGAAGAGTGCATAGAGTGCTTGAGCTAGGATATTTATTATTGAAGAGAGATTTTTGCGTCGCCAATGGAATTCTTTCATAGCTTTACTTATGGCGGCTGTGTCGTTTAGATTTGGGATTTTGGAGGGATCAAGGAGAGAAGACAGGAGGACCACATCGTTGAAGGCTACCGTCATTCCACCTCCTGTCAGGGGATGTCGCATGTTCATTGCGTCACCAAGAAGGAGCACTCCTTTTTGGGTTTGGGTTGTGGGTGGAAGGAAACTATTTGGCATGCTGCGGGGGATTTTTCCATCTTCGAGGGCTTTGAGGAAACAAGGCTGTACTTGTGGAGGTAGTATCGGGACAACGGTATTGTGAATGTAATTTCGTACGCCACCTGCAGCGGGGGATGCAGAGGGAATATTGTCTGGGACATCGATTAGAGCGCGAGTTTCGTGAGTGCCAATTTGGTAGAGGAGGACTGGAGAGAAGTCGGAGAGGACCACGATTCCATGGTTTGGAGCTGGCATGGGACAGTCTATTAATTCTAGAGCGTAGAATTTACTTTTGACTATGGGGGTTTTGTTGATGTATTGTTTGCGGAATTTCGAGGCATATCCATCCGCAATTATAGTGAGATGTCCAAAATAACAATCTGCCTTCTTTTCGCCCGTTGATGGATTCGTAGTTCGTGAGTGTACTCCGAGAACTTGAGTTTCGTTATGTCCACCCGTTATCGTTTCCGTGACTTCTGTTTCGATAATTGTGATATTAGGATGACCAGCACAAGCTTTCCGCAATTGCGAAATAAATCTCCCATGATGAAAACTTCTTCCTTCAGGCCTCTTGCTCTTTTCATTTTTCGCATCCATAAAACCTCCTTCTTGTGCCTTGCCCGCATTCATAGGATACGGGATAGAAACAGGTGTTCCATGATATATAACCTCATATCCCTTTACAACCACCGAATCAATACCTTCTAAACAATGTGCCAAGCCCAACTTTTCCAGTGCCGACACGCCGCCTGGTTGGAGAAGTTCCCCAACTATGCGGTCTGGTTCCTTGAGCCAACGTTCGAGGAGGAGTACGCTGCGACCTTGTTGGGCGAGTGCGTAGGAGATGGCGCACCCGAATATACCAGCTCCGACTACTACTACATCTGCCTCGTGGTAGACGCGTCGTCTTTCTTCGTTGGCAGATTCTAGGGTGTATGATTTTGACATTGTGGTTTAGGTGAATGTAATAGAATTAAGAGATGAGAGAGGTGTTGTAGGTGGGTTCGCAGATATCTGCTAAGAGAAGAATGACTTCAATAGTTTGTATCTCGTCAAATATCTTGGGTGATAGAAAGTCAGGTCAATCAAGAAAATCGATACATAATCTTAGGAGGTCGAACAATAAACTATGAGCTGATTCCTAGTCGAAATATCAGGTGTAATATGAACTGAGTATATCCAAGAATCTTACGATTAAATTCCTACGACGACCAGATCATATTCTTCTTTCCCGATTTCTAGACTTTCTAACCCTGGAGGTTATTTTCTCGCTATCATATGAAAGTCCCAAATATTGCACCCCCTTGTAAACACGGTGTATGGAGGAATTCAGATTTCTTAATAAGTGGAGAAGTTGCCAGCAATTGGTGAATATGATTGGTTAAGATTGCAGTTGATAATGATGATTGCACGAATGTGGCTTGGCATCGGTGAAAGATTTGCGATGGTAGGTTTAAGATAACGGTTGGGAATTTGTAGTTGATTACGTAACCATCTTCCAGAAGGAATCTGTATCTGTACGCACTAGAATAGTAAATGCAGGGAAAGTAAAAAAGGGGTAAAAAGTTGGAAAGGATGCTCAATTTTAGTCGGGTTTTCAGGTACGAACACGAATTGATGACTTGATTGGTTTGGGATGAGGATATGAAGATGTGAATGTTGAGTCTATTGATCCTAGATATTTGTTGGAGATTGCATACAGTTAGTCAATAGCCTGGGAATACCTTCCTAGATGAATAGAATCATATATCATATCCCGAGTAACCAATCATTTCATCAATCTCATTAGAAGTTTCAAACGCCAGCTCATTCATCACTTCATCATGGTGATGATTCCCCGTTAAAAAAAATGATCCCCTCGCTTTCTCAAATCCCGATACACGAAAAACCGTACCACCAAAACACGTGATCCCCTCTCAAAAGGTTGAGCCCTGCATCCACCTTACCTAATCAAGTACATCCATCCCATCCACCTAGCACCTTTAACCTTACCGGGACTTTTCCTTTCCGATAACCAATTGTGGTTCGACAGGCAAATAATAATAAAATAATCGACCAGTGTGGCTTTATCCAATCTTCCTAGTACATCTCTTCCCTACACCTACTTCTTTAACACCCTCCTCATCTTTTTCTTCTGCTCACATCTTCAATTCAACTTCTCATTATTTTGAAGTTGTTTCCTTTCCTTTCCTTTCATCACTCGAAATCATGGATCTCCTATCGAATGGAACCATCTCTGCGACTCCAGAAACCTTCATGGGTATCTACGATGAGTTGAGTAAATACAATGTTCATCTCAACATATTTGAACGTCTTTGGGCTGTACGTTATTCTTCATCTATTACCCACCATAAATTTGATCATATACTAATTGATGATATAGAGTTGGTATGCCTACATGCAAAATGATGTCCTTGCAACTGGTATCATGAGTTTCGTTATGCATGAAGTGTTTTATTTTGGGCGAAGTCTTCCTTGGATTATCATCGATCAAATTCCTTATTTCAACAAATACAAGATTCAAGGGGTATGACAGCACAACAATTCCTATTATCATAGCAATACCTGCAAATCAACGTTGGCTAATTATACCTCCCGTTCAGAACAAAATCCCTACTGCGGCCGAACAATGGACATGTACCAAACTTGTACTCCTCTCACATTTTACCGTCGAACTTCCTCAAATCTACCTCTTCCATCCAATGGCTAAATATTTCGGAATGGGCACCGATGTTCCCTTCCCATCTCTCTTCACCATCGCCTATCAAGTAGCTATCTTTTTCGTTCTCGAAGATACCTGGCATTACTGGATGCACCGCGCTATGCACTACGGCTGGCTTTACAAGAAAGTTCACAAAATCCATCATCAATATTCTGCACCATTCGGTCTTGCCGCTGAATACGCATCTCCAATTGAAGTTATGGTTCTTGGTCTCGGAACTGTCGGATCTCCTATCCTTTGGGTTATGCTTACTGGAAACTTACATATCTTGACAATGTATATTTGGATTGTGTGTAGACTTTTCCAAGCCATTGACGCTCATAGTGGATATGAATTCCCATGGTCCTTGCACCATTTCTTGCCTTTCTGGGCAGGCGCTGACCATCATGATACTCATCATGAGAAATTCATTGGGAACTATGCAAGTTCTTTCAGATGGTGGGATTATTGTTTGGATACCGAGAGTGGACCTGAAGCTGCCAAGAGGAGAAGAGAGAGAAAAATTGAGAAGGAAGTCAAGAAGGCTCAGTAAATTCTTTATCTCAGTTTGTTTGTATACTGAAGATGTAGTGGAATTGGGAGGTTGTATATTTAGAGAGGGCCTACCATTTGGGCCCGTTTGAACTTTGGGTGAGAAGCAAACCCGTGGAGGTTGGAGGAACATATGCTTGGATGGACAAATAGATGACCACGAGAGATGAGTGACGAGAGATTCACAAATAACTTATATTATGGTAATGGGGTGATAGTAATTGAGATCTTCGATAACATTGTATCGTGGAAACTCAATTGCTATTCAAGGATATGCATGGATGCAGGCGTTATTGGAGAGATGAAGCGGGAGGTGGAGCAGGAGAAGGAAAGAGGATGATTTAAACTTTCCTCCTTTCTTCCTTTTTCTCGTTCGTTTTCATAGACCACATACTTATACCTATAATTAATACATCTTTTTATCCGAAGAGTGTTTTGATTGGATTTGAATTTGAATGTGACTATAAGTGCAAGTATAAATGAAGATTGAAAGGCAACGAGATATCATATGAAGTAAGAATATATCTCAAGAAGTGGAAAAAGGTTCCTAGAATAATCATCTCAGAAATCGATACAATCGTCCCTTACTACCGTATATTCATACCATCAATTATTCCATCTCGAAACTGTAGTTCCTTTCAATAAGTCCCCCCCTCCTTCTGTTACGTCGGACTTCACATACCAAACATCACGTGATCAGAATCATGTGATATGATGATCCCAATGGGCTCAGCAGTCCCAGTAGCACTGGGACAACTGGGAGCACTGGGATGCATGCCACGAAAGTATATAATCAAGATGGATTTCCTTTGTATAGAGCTTCGTGCTCAAGATCAATCATTTAGTATACTCTACTATTAGTTACGAATTGCATATCATTATTGTCATTACTTAAGTCCCTGCTTGACGCCTAGTTATAAACCACTTCGAGAGCCCAGAGCACTTCCACGTGATCTAGACGGCAAACCTCGTAACAGACTTCAACCGAGCAATTAAGTCTAATCAAGTTCAATTATATTTATTTGAGAGATATCTAACTCGTAGTTTATTTTTCATATCGATTTCCTTTAAGGTTTTTATACTTTTTGATTAAATGATTTACAAAAACCTCGTTTAAAAGATCTGTTACGAGGTTTGCTGTCTAGGTCACGTGGAAGTGCTCTAGGCTCTCGAGGTGGTTTATAACTAGGCGTCAAGCAGGGACTTAAGTAATGACAATGATGCAATTCGTAACTAATAGTAGATTATACTAAATGATTGATCTTGAGCACGAAGCTCTATACAAAGGAAATCCATCTTGATTATATAGACCTTCGTATTCCAACATTGGAGCGATGGAGCTGGGGAGCGAGATTCGAATCTCGCTCCTTCGCTCCCTCGCTCCCTCACAAGACTTATCCATGTGATCCTATAACACGTGATAATAGTTTATAATGTTACAACGTAACAGTAATCAGGATTAGAATCTTCCTTAATTATATAGATAGATAAGAGTTATAACCCCTTCGCGAGCTAGTCTATGTAGTTAAAAGAAGACGAAGTTTGCCGCCATGGCCCTTCTATCATTTGAAGCTGATTGGGTTCCAAACTGTCGGGTCGGCCCTGCTAACCCACTGTACGGAGTATGTTACGGCAGGTACTCTGCTTGTTTAATATGCTTATCGACCTTCTATAATAGGTATAGCATCTGCCAGATAAGCCTATGATCATGATAGACTGTCTTTGGAATACAAATTCAACCTTGAAACACAATTTCTACACATTCGTTGAAGATGAATAAAGCCAAGACTTTTAGAATATCAAATACTTATTTGTAGCTAGAAACTATCTTGATATTTGATTTGGAAATAGTATAATTAAACCCTTTTGAATTTCTTCTTGGAAATAATTAACCTGCTATCACCTTCAACCCCGTTCATACTTTCCAGATCTTAAAACATGGTTTCCTTCGACACCGTTCAGCCAGGCTGGTGTGGAATCGATCAAGATGATTCGTTCGGGCCAGTACTCAAAGGATGTCGAGAAAATTTCGACTTTACTCTTGTTTTTGAAGAATCAATCTTATCACTAGCACCATCTGCATTCCTCCTGCTTCTCGTCCCTGCTCGTCTTGTACAGCTTTGGGGAAGCCGGAAGAAAGTTCGCCGTGGTTTTTGGCAGTTATCGAGGTTAGTGAATGACTTTCAACTGTGTTGAGAACTCGAGTGGTTAAATTAGTTATCCATGGCGAAAAAGTCACTAACACTAAAATTTCAGATCAATTGCTTTCTGTATCTTGCTCTCCCAGATTGTATTTCTTGTACAATGGACTAAACCTGATGTCATTCGAACTCGGCTGTCGGTGGCGACGGCTGCAGTAACAATCATTGAAGCTATCTCCATTTTCATTTTATCTTTCATGGATCATAATCGTTCAGTTCGACCTTCCACCATATTACAACTCTACCTGAGCCTATCACTATTATTTTCTCTTGGGAGTCGCGGAAGCATTTTGAGATACTTGCTTCAAGGCGTTATGGTTTGATTTTTTTTTTTATGGCTACGGCTTAAACCCCAAAAGACATGCTCTGCTATTTACGACAGGAAAGACTTTTAGTTAGCCATTGCTTGCAGCCATATGCATATGCCCACGCTTATGCGTGACTGGGTTCACATACGCCCAACCTTTCTTAGTTAATACATTGATCAACTACATAACATCATCGGACCTAGATTCCAATAAAAATGATGGATATGGTCTGATTGGTGCATATATACTGGTATTCTTTTGTGCAGCCGTAAGATTTAGATCTCCTTCCCATCAGATACAAATGACTAACAGGATATGACCATAGATTGCATCAGGTCGTTACACATATGAAAACTTAAGAGCTGTTACCAAAATCTGGGCGGTCTTGTCACAATCATCTACTCAACTACGCAAAATTTGCACAGCACTGCTATTGAAGAAAGCGCATCATCGAGCTTAATAAGCACAGATGTAGAAAGAATTGCCCAGTGCTCGTAGCTATTTCACAATTTGTGGGCTACACCATTAGAATTCGCAATTGCCATTTACCTACTCGAGAGACAATTTGGAGCTGCATGCGTCATTCTAGTAATTCTTGCCCTAGATACGTGTCCAATTTCTAAGCAATGTTTTAGAGGCTAATTGGACAGCAGTTTGTTCTGGGATTTCTATGCTACTGTCTTCTAGAGTAGGAAGAAGTCAGGGAGTATGGCTTGCTGCTATTCAAGACCAGCTCAAAATAACAAGTTCAATGCTTAGCTCGATCAAAGAAATATAAATGAACGGGTTAACTGATCTGGTGTCTTCAACAATCCAGAATGTTCGCTTAGAAGAGACCACATCCTCGTTTCAATACCGAAAACTTTTGGTCTGGAGCATAGTCATTTGTGAGTAGTTCTGTACAATAAATGATTGTATGAGGCTATATCTAATACAATATTAGCGGATGTTACAAGCATACTAGGTCCTGTGGTAACTTTTGCGTTATTAACTATCATCGGTCCGGTTAGGGGGACCAGGCATTGTTGATCACGCAAGCCTTCACTTCCTTGACAGTATTATCATTGATCGGATCGCCCTTGCTTATACTGATTCAAGCATTCCCACAAATGATGTCTGCTATATATTGTCTCCTTTACGCGCATTCAAGAATTCCTTAAATTTGAGTGTCGAAAGGATGATAGGATATGTCTTCAAGACTCTCCTACTCACCGTACTTTCGTCTCAGCAAACGTTTCTGTAGGAGCACACTCTTCTCAGGTTGATATCACAGAAATGAAGCCACTGGCAGCAACAAAATCTAGCATTAGCAAAGGCACCGCGATCTCAGTGGTAGATGCAACATTTGGATGGACTAAAAGCGGACAGGCAACATTGAAAGAAATTAACATTGTGATACAAGCCAGCTCGTTAATAATGATAGTCGGGGCCAGTGGGTTGCGGAAAGTCCATCCTGATTAAATCTTTCCTTGGTGAAACCAGAGTTTCAAAGGGATTCATCTATGTTTCCTCACGGGAAATGTCCTTCTGCGATCAATTCCCTTAGCTCTACAACGCAACTGCAAGGCAAACATCATTGGTATCTATGATTTTGAGCCTCTCTGGTATGAAAATGTAATTAATGCGTGCGCACTGCAAAAGGACATGTATGATCTACCACTTGGTGATCAGACTATTCTAGGTAGTCGTGGAATAGCAGTTAGCGGTGGACAAAAACAGCGAATAGTAACATCCGCTTGTCGCGATAAAGCTCCTTGCTGACCTTTGCAGGCACTTGCTAGAGCGATCTATTCGCGAAAGAAGATGGCAATATTTGACGATGTGCTAACTGGATTATATGCTAGGACAGAAGAGCACGTTTTCAATAATGTCTTTGGACCCGAAGGGCTTTTGAATAATCTAGGTACCACCGTTATTGTAGTGACAGATAAATGTAAGATTCTTAAACTTAAATGGTTTAAGAGCTATACTGATTGATCAGCCCACCGACTTAGCAGCGCAAATCATATCATTGCCATTGGACAACAGCAGAAAGTATTAGAACAGGGAGATTTTACACAGCTAAAGTCTGCAGGAGGTGGAGGTTATGTGACTAGGCTTCTGAGTCAAGGAGAACCCAATATATCTGTCGAGAAAAAAGAAAATATCAAGCCTGAAAAGGAAGCTATTACTATCAAGAAAAATATAGAAACCGCCACCACTACCGAACTTGATAATAAACGACAAAAGGGTGACCTCAGTACTTACAAATACTTCTGCAATGCATCTGGTCCCCGCAATGTAGCACTTGCTTTAATTATGGCCGTGTTAAGTGCATTCTGCATGGTGTATTCAAGTAAGACCTCCAAAATCTCGTCGGAAGCTTTATTAACTTACTTGGTGTAACATAGCATTTTGGCTGCAGAAATGGGTGAATGCTAATCAACAGAGCCCAAATAAAGACTTCGCCTTGTATTTATGTGTCTATGTCTTACTTGGTGTAGCTGCTCTCGTGACTTTATGGGTCTTTTGTTGGTGAGACGCTTTTCCTATGTCGAGTCACTATATATATATATATATATATATATTATATGCTAACTATCCAGGCAAATTTTATTAGTTATCATACCTCGCTCTAAACAAATCTTACATCAGAATATATTGAAATCTACGCTTGAGTAAGGGTTAATCCGTATCATCAATTAGTCGTTGATCCATCCATATTTTGCTAACTCCGTCCGCATATCAGAGCACCATTATCATCTCTAACCACCACTGATGTTGGCACAACTATGAATCGGTAAAAGTTACATCCTAAATTAGAAGGGTTTGGAGGCTGACTATTTGTAGATTTAGCCAAGATATGCAACTTATTGATTCAAATCTCCAAGTATCGAGCATCAACACCATTGAAGGTACTTATTCCTTGGTTCCTTAACAATTTCGTATGACAAAAAATATGCCACAAAATACTTGCTAATACCCACATATCCCAAGTATCGTCTTGACCATCATGCGGGCAATCATCCTATGCATCACTGCTAAGTATTTTGCCGTCATAATCCCATTCGGACTTGTCGCCGTCTATTTGATCCAAAGATATTACCTCTTCACATCACACCAACTGCGACTTCTTGACATCGAAGCCAAAGCACCACTCTACTCGCATTTTCTCGAAAATTTAGACGGACTCGCAACGATTCGCGCCTATGGATGGCAAAGTGCGTTACAGAAACAGAACCATATGCATGCTCTGATGGATACAGCACAGAAGCCCTTCTACTAGCATGTATTCAACGATGGTTAGCATTCGTGCTTGACATTCTAACTGCTGTGTTTGTGATCATTGTGGTGGTGTTTGCCGTGACGGTGAGGAGTTCGATGACTGCTGCCGATGTGGGTGTAGCGCTTGCTAATATCGTTAGTACGAATCAGGCGCTTACAATGCTCATTATTTCATGGACGGGCTTGGAGACCGCCATAGAAGCGGTTTCTAGAGTGCGTTCTTTTTCTCGTGATACTCCGTTTGAGGTTCGACAAGATGTTGAAGAAATAGATTTAGAGGAATGGCGATCTTCTGGGGCTATTTCTCTCGAGAATGTCTCGGCTTCTTATAGGTGAGCTTTTATATCACTGAAACTTATATATATATATATACACTGACCTCAAGAAATAAAGTTCCGATTCTCCTCCTGTTTTAAAAACCATAAACATGACAATAGCAAGTGGTGAAAAAATAGGTATTTGTGGAAGAATAGGAAGGCAAGTCGACGTCACAATTTATCCCAGCAACCAAACCTATCCATACCCCAACTAACCAACTCATCACACAACAGCGGCAAGAGCACACTACTCCTCTATCTTCTCTAAATGCTTGAACTCCCCACCACCACCCTCAAAATCAACAATATCGACTTATCCACTCTCCCACTCTCACTCCTCAGAACCAATCTCAACACCATTTCCCAAGAATCCATATTCATCGAAGGAAGCAGCATTTTTCTGAATCTCGATCCTACTTCTTCTATCCCAGATAACACTATCATCGCTGCATTGAAGAAAGTTCATCTCTGGGATGTATTTCATGATCAGAAACATGGTATGCACATACATATACATATACATAATCTACACGCGAGATTATCACCCCATATACATTTTTCCCGCGGAAAAAACAACTCCTCTGTCTTGCGCGAGCGCTGCTTCGGAAGAGGAAAATAATTACTTATGGATGAAGTTATAAGTAGGTAGGTATGTATGTATACTTCGTTTTCCATATATATCAATCACAATCACAACTGATAATTACATATTGAAAAAGTAGGACGTCCTAAGATTAAGGTTAATTAACCTAGCTAACAAATACCTACGTAGGTTACTTGTCATATAAATAATATAGATTCCGAAACAGCAAAAGTGATACAAGAACTTATCGGTAGGTTGCAGAGTTTTTTTTCAAAAAAGTGTACGATTATTTGTGTAGATCATGTGGTTAGTATAAGAATATTATTGAGTTTGATCGGATTTTTGCGCTTTTTGATAGTGGGGTTTTGGTGGAATTTGATACTCTGATGGTATTGATGGGGAGAGCGTTGAGGTTTAGGGAGTTTTATGATGGGGGGACTTGAGAAGTTGGGAACATTTTGGGGGAAAGTTGTTGATGTATTGTTGTAGGAGTGGTAGTGGTAGTAGTGGTAGTAGTAGTAACTTTATATTTGGTTTGATATTGTTGAGATTAGTAGAAGAGAATAAATAATATATGTAAATATGTAAATGTAAAATATCTTATTCTTATTCTTTAATCTAACTTATTTCATCATTTCCTGCTTCTCTCTTTCTCTTCTTTTCCCCCTCTCTTCTTTTCCCTCTCTCTTCTTCTTTCTCTCTGTATTTGCTCTAATCCCCAAACCGCAACTCAGATCTCACACCTTAAATCTTCAATTCATAAAGTCTCTCCAAAAGACAATCAATTAACCAACCAATCAACAAAAATAACTAAAAAAGATCGAAAAATAATCGAAAATAATCGAAAAAAGTGGTATAAAAAACCCCCTATCTACTTTTCCCATCCCATCCCGTCCCGTCCCGTCCCGTCTCATCCTTTTCTGCTCCGCTCCCTAAAATCAACCGTAGAACACCATGCCTGCCTGCTATATCGAACCCAAATCTAAACCCAGACCTTTATTCTCAGCTTGTATCATCGGGGTCTGTAAAGAATAGAAGATAGGAAGAGAGGAAGGTATTGGTTTTATGATGTATATTTTGTGCTGTAATGTGAATATATAAATGCGAATGCGAATGCGAATATAAGATAAATATGTAAATTCGAATATGAATTTGAATGTGGATAAAACAGAAATGCCGACTATCCGATATAAATGCATTCCAGGAGCTATTCGTAAAGTAATAAATATAATAAGATAATATAAAAACAAAAGATGGAAAGAAAGGTATGGATAATATCTTGCGTATCTGGCCGTGTGTTTTCGTTCCCATAAATAAATATCCTAAAAATGGCGAATATGTTGCACGTCGAAATGTATGGGATGGGAAAATAGCGTATTGTAACGTAAACTGCCATTCCATTCCATGCAATGTCATGCCATTCCGCGATGTAAACATGGACGTGCAATCCTTCTCCCTCCCAGTCCTTCTTACAGAACAGAAGAAAGGAATGAGAATAAGTTATTAATATCTCCTCGAATCCAAAAACCATCAGGTCAAACTCAAACCTCCCCAACAACTACTCTCTCATTCCTCCTACTTTGATTTCCACTCCCCATTTCAATCCTCGGGCTAACACTCATTTTCATGCTTTTATCCTCCCACTCATTATTCCCTATCGCTGGACTTCCTCTACTCCCTTTCATCATTGCTTCCACTTTGTCTTTACTACTCATCAATCCGTTCGAATTTCCTGTACCCCATCGTTCTTCTGCGTCTGGGACCATCAGAGTCGGTGTTGAGGGTATAGAAGATTGTTGGATTTCTGTTCTTCTATGTGGATGACTAATTGGAATACGAATTCCGCGTACGTCACCCCCATTTTGATTCGACAGTAACCCCCCAGGAAGACTTGACCCGATGAAGCTTTCTAACGGTGAATCCCTTTTTTCACTAGCATCCCCACCCGTCATTGTCCTCATAGCTCCAAATCCAGCAGAAATAGGACTTCGTTCACTCTGTATATCAAAAGGACTTTTCAATCCCGGAGACCTATCACCAGGGTTTTTTCTGGATATTGTACCACTAGTTTTAATGGGGATGAGTAATTGACGTTGTTGACGTGAGACGGAAATTTGACGTGCGATTGAGACACCGGCTGCTGATTCGAGACGTTTTTGTTCGGGATCGCGAGAGTGGGCGCCTGGGACGTCGAGGTGGTCATCTATTTGAACATCGAGAAGTGATGGAGTTATAGAGTAGGTGGATTCTTGTTTTTGGTGAGAAATGTAGGAAGGTTCTGGTTGCGGAGATGAGATTGGGGTTGCGATGAAGCGATGGGGATGCGGACGTGGGGAAACTGGGAGAGGAATTTTACGCGGTGTGGAGATGCTGGCTGAAGAATTGTTGGTTGATGTCATAGGAGATATTCGAAGTGGAGGACGATTTGAGATGGTGACAGGGGATGCGGTCGAAGCTGATCTTTGAATCGCGGGTCTAGGTCTAAGGCCTTGATTTTCAAACATTGGAGATTTGAGAGGAGGCCGAGGTGCGGAAACTGAGGATCGAGTTGTAGTGTTGAATGATGAGATTATTGGTCGTGGTCCAGGTGTATATTTGATGGGGATTTTCATCTCTTTGGGATTTCGAGGAGCCTGATTGTTTGCTGATGTTTTCACTGGACCTCTTTCTCTCATGTTTTCCTGCTCAGGCATTGGCATTGAAATCGTAATTGAACCACCCGGTACACTTGAAAATGATGAATTAGAGTGTGATGATGAAACAGTGCTAGCTTCACTTGTTGTTGATCCAGATACCGACGACGGTGCTTGACGATTTTGTTTTTTGGAATTTATCATCTGCCATGTTGACCCCTTTTCATCGAATCTTGATTTCGTTGCCGTTAATGGTGATGCGCAATATAGAACATCTTTTCTTTGACCATTCGTGAAACCTGCATCTGCCTCTGAGCCTTCCGCGGAGGATGGTGAAAAAGGTTGGGATTTATCTGGTGACCAAGTACGTGCCATTTGAATTTGCGGTCTTGACCTTGGAGAGCTCGATGATGATCTCCTCGATCGATTACTTGGTTTCTTGGTAGATGTACTCGAAAAAGAATCTTGATGTTCATGTCCGTGACAATCGGTAAGCGTTTCGTCGTTGGATACAAGATCTGCGTGTCTATCATTTCCTAAACCCCTCGCGGATGAGGGTCTATTAGGTGAGAGGTAAGCGGGAGTGGTGTTAGATCTATTTAGCGGAGACCTTTCTCGTGTTGGTGAGTTTTCATCACCTTGTCGTGAGGGTGTACTTGGAAAGAGAGAGAATGATGAGTTGTTATGATTCGGTTCTGGTGAGGTACCCCTACGTTTCGACAGTGCCTTTTTACGAGCCTCAAGTTCTGCTTCCTAATTTGGGTTATTAGCTTATTTCAAATGGACTAGAAAGAATATAAACCTTTTTAGCGAGTGCTTCTTCTTCATTCCTAAGTCTATTAAGTGTTGCTTGACGTCTTTGGAGTAATGAGGGAGTGATAATCGAAGGATTTTGTAAGATCTCCCCAAACATAACACTATATCTCTCCATTTCTGCCGAAGGGAGTGCCAGAGCAAGCTTTGGACTTTCGAGCGATGCTTTAGGATATGATTGTGGAATTTCTACTTGAATAGAATCTTGAACACGAATATCTGGAGTTCCCGCTCGAATAGTTGTTGATGTCGAAGCTTGGATAGTTGTTGACGTTGAATCTTGGATAGTTGTTGAGTCAGAAGTTTCAATAGTTGTCAAAGTTGAAGCATGGATACTTGATAAAGATGAAGGTTGGAATGGAAAATGTAAATCAGGTGTCGTGATTGCCATAGGTGCCGTTTGCGCTCTTTTAATATCAGGTTTCTTTCTAGTTGTACTTGAACTTGAACGACCACGAGATCTACCACGCTCGGCCTCTGGTGAAGAAGGATGGCTCATGGGTATTTCTTGTTGTGACTCAGGTTTAACTTGATAGAATGGGGTCGCTGTCTTTTCCTTCTTACTTCCAAATAATCCAAACCACTTCCGTCCCTTCTTTTGCTTCGGAGCATCAATAGAATCGGCAATGCAAGACATCTCGTCCATTGGATGGGGAGTACTTGGTGTTTCTACTTCGTAAGACTGTTGATCCCGTTGCGTATTCTCTGGTGGATGAGAAGGGCTTCCAAGTGCCATACCAATCTCCACTTCACTAACATTAGGATGAAGGGTTTCACTTGCCTTGATAGAATCAGGACTTTTGGGTCGCGGTAAAGGTTCTATCACTTTTGGTACGACCGGTGAAGGTGGCGGTCGATTAGAAGGTAAAGGAAAGTTATCAAAAGTAGATCCATCTATCCCTTTTGGTACGACTGGTGAAGGTGGCGGCCGAGTAGAAGGTAAAGGAAAGTTATAAAAATCAGGACCATCTATCCCTTCTGGTACGATTGGTGAAGGCGGAGGCCGACGACTAGAAGGTAAAGGGAAGTCATAAAAAGTAGAACCATCTATTCCATGCGCTCTTAGTGGATTGAAGAATAGATCATCCCGTGTTTCCCTCTTGACAGTATTGGCCCTCTTCAGAGCATTCCCTTTTGATTTTTTGGTTCCACCTGATGTAGATGGTCTTTCGGGAAGTTTATGCTGATCTTCACGTCCAGATTCGAATTTTTGAAATTTATTGACATCTCTAATCTTGGGCGGCGGTATATCATCTGTGACATGTTGTGCGCCTCGACCTCTAAAACGGTCCATCACCGACTTCGACCTAGTAAGATTCTTCGACATGGCCTATTCCTGGGATGTGATCTTGAACGTAAAACTTTCGTGCCTTCCTGAACTAATAAAATTGGTCTGTAATGTTGATGATGACGAAGTGTGATGTGACGGACAGAAGATGGTGTAATGATTATATTGACTGAATATATTTTTCAAAGGAGCGGACGGGTTACACCAGGAGACCCTTGGATTGCGGAAAAATCGCGGCGAGAGAGGAGAAAAAGAGTGGAATACCTACTCTTTGGCAGAGAGAGAAATCGAATGCAAATCGGAGATATGACAAAGAAGAGGAGAAAAGGAATAACCAAACGGGAAGGAGCATGGTTATATGACTTATCTGTGAGTTGCATCGCACAAAAATGCCCTTCAGCCCTGCAAGCTAAAGCAAGTAAGAAGAAATGGGGTATCTCGGGATATTGTGATTTATTGTTTGAGGTAGATGGGACGTTTAATTTGGAGATTTCTAGAGAACAAGGGGTAAATTTTGAACAAGGCGATGCCAAGCGAGTGGGGAGGATTACGAAAGATACGGGTATAATCATATACGGAGGAGAGTCATATAATCACATAATCACATAATCATCATAAAAGTTGTCAGATTGTGTAGTCAACAATAGCATTAGAGCAGTTCGTCGAACGGCCTTCTAGGTTAGACAAATCAATGCCTTTAAATGGCTTCAAAACTAGGCGTTTTGTAACGGTTTGGGCCTTTTAGACATGGAGACATGGGATGAGATTGTTTGGATTGTGGAGTCTAGAATTTGTTCCCTAGGCATTTCATGGTTCGGGCAAGGGAGTTTATCCGTCCCGTACCGAACTGTTTGACGGTTTTGACCTGGGACTAGCTAAGAATGTAGAAATGTTATGCTCGCTGTAGAAGGATAAGGATTTGGGATTTCAAACTGTTTTGGATTTTCGAAACATCAGACACATATGCTTATATTATATGGTAACGTATGGTTGTTATGGTGAGATGTATATCTCTCTCAAGTTCTTACGCCCGGTGTTCTGTATTGATGTAGGTATTTGACCCTGACGAAAAGTGCCTGATGACCCTTGAGGATGCAGGCAGTGAAAACAAGCGAATGAAATCACGTTTTGATGAGGGACCATGTTTGTTGTGGAGATGGTTTAATCTTACGATCCTCGTCGTGATCCAATGATAAGATGAAGATATGTTTGCCAAAATTATCATTTTGAGGGTTTTCTGTGCCATTGTTTCAATCGAGGGAAGCGGCTCAAAATTTAACACCGACTGAGAGAAACTGGATACCTAATGTGGTACCTACCATAGCAGTCATCTAAATGACTTTATCGACATCTAAACAATTAGATGTACAATTAGATGTAACGCTCTGGATTTGGCGGTTTCTAATATCAAGGTGACAAGCACGTTTTGCCATGCTAGTCCCTCACATTCAACACCTTCTCTAATGAAACAGTAAAGGATTCGCTACCGACTTTGCCAGGCAGTAATCGTCATACAGGCCAAGCACTAACTGTACTTAATCTCCGCCGACTTGACAGTAACATCGTCTCTTCATTGTTCGTACGTATACGCGTGAGAGCTTTCCGTAAAAGGAGCCAAGAAGATCATCTCGAGGCAAAGATCATCACAAGCATTTCATGGATAGGATCTCCGTGTATTGCTCAACAAGCCTGAGTATTACAGTACTGTAGCGCCTATCTCGCCTACCTCCTTCATCCCATCAACTTTTGATACAGCTCACGATGATGCGAAACAATTGAGGAATGTCAAACCGAGCAACCAAAAGCTTGACCTTGTTTTGCCAAGATGTTCTTCTATATCTAGACGATGGTCTGATCTTTTTAATTTCTAGAATCTGTCACCTTATTCATTGACTCTTCCAAGTTCTAAATCAACTGAAGTCATCCCTAGTGTAAAGATTTAAGCTCACAGACAAGCAATTCATATCCTCACATGTATCAATGACAACCATCCCTTAAGATCTGCAATTTCTATGCTAGGGTCTTTAGACAGCGTAGCAACCGGTATATCTCCGTAAAACACAACCTGGGGCGTGGCTCCTACAGGGCAAAGGGAAGATAATTTCTAGGCGCCAGAGAGGGGAATTCATGAACTCATGTTAATTGATAGGCCATCGAAGCCAGCTGAGAGTTGAACTTCTTACAGAACATCATAGCAACAATATATTTATTCATTTTACATATTCTCTATACTTCATATGACTCAATGCAGTCAATGCATTCATTCATTATCCCCGATACGAGAATCAAGACAAACTTCATTGAGAGGAGATTTCGGCGGGTCTTCACCTCACATACTTAGACTGCGTGATTTGGTAAAGGTCTAGTGAGGAAGCTCGTTCACACCGTTGAAAGACATCTCAAAATGGAAATGGCGGACGCTACGTTAGCCTACCGGGTTTCAAAAGATCCCGCGACGACAAAGATGTAGATTTTGAAACGTCTTCAAAAATTGTAAGATCTTATGATGTTCATTGAAATTTCCAGGACTTTATACTTAAGTTGTAAGACTTTCTATCCATGTGGCCCTACGGACTGGCTTCGAAAAGTACTCGTACTGTATTATACAATTCCAAAGTCGGCGAGATAACAATATGATACAGGTGAATCCCGATTAGTTGGGACCACCACCAGGACCCTCTACTGAGAACCTCAATGTGGTTGCCGCAGATCCGCCATCCCATCCGGAATTGGTTTGAGGAATCCAGAAATGAAGTCTGGTGAAATTAATAGTAATTTAAAGACTTTAAGAATCCACAGTGTACACGACAACAGCCTTCTATAAAGTACACGGAGAATTTCGAGATGCTCAATCGACCAGTAGGACGAAATGAGAGAAACTTTAATCATGTAGTAACAGCATACTAAAGTAAACGCCGATGAAGTAGAATTCTCAATTCAGAAGCTTCGGAAATCATATTCCTATTCGAGATCAGTTGAATGCGTAGGGTTGAGAGGAAAAGACTACTCTTTGATCTGTGGTCGTCGTCAATAATGAAGATATAGAAGTTCAAGTAACATCAAAATCATCAAATTTCCCCCTTTTGGTCTTCTTTTCTACTCTGTCGAATGGAAAGAGGGTCAATTGCCACGTACGGTTGCCGGTGTCTGAGCTTCGAACTTACATACCGGCGACGGAGTAAATCGCCTGCCATATTACTTTCGTGCCATCCATGCTATCAATCCTCCGAATGCCATCTCACGATGCATCTTTTCCTCACCGTTGGTATCATTGTGCCGGTGAGGATTTGTGCAATTGTATGCGCTCGAACATGCATGATTCCTTCCAAGACATCATAATGCAACTTTTGCCCTCTACTCTGTATTTAGATAGCTAGCTACCTTCACTTATGCATAACATAGAGTGTAAGAGGCTTTTCCGCCTTATTCAATGTAGCATCGCAACGTAGCTACAGCTCCAGCTACATTAGTAAAGCTGGTGGTACCTTGAAGAAGCATCTTCATGAGACAATATGACACGCAGATGCATTCCTAGATACTGTGGCTATTTGTAACTGTCTTCTTCACGCAGCATTAGTCAAAATCCTGGAAGCTTTCCGGCTTACATATTATATTTACTACTACGTACAGCTATGTTGGCACAGCTGAAATTCCTTCCAATGCAATCAAAGTCCAAGATTCAAGATCCTCCACAACATCTTTACACAAAATAAGCATCACCCCCTTTGCACTGCTATGCTTTATTCTCCTGTGACAGCGGAATGTTTCGTCTAATGCAGATATCTACTAGGTAGTTGTGGTTCTTTGATCTTGAGGTAAGATGAATATCAAGAGCATTGGAAGTATGTACCTAGTAGGTTAATGAGGTAAATTCAATCATTATATTCACTCTGCATTCAGGACCATCCACAGTATACTCTGAGTCTCTGAATCTCTGAATCTCTGAATCTCTGAATCTCTGAATCTCTGAATCTCTAAATCACTGAATCATCTTCTCCATTCAATTCTCTCCTTTGTTCAAAGTTTGTAACAACAACAACAACAACAACAACAACAACAACAACAGCACCCAAGAAAAAAGAGGTACGGTACCACTTTATATGATTGCATCCATCAAGACCGGTGGACATCAATCACACACCGCAAACAACAACTCAGCAAATCAACCCCACCAAAGCCAGCCATCAAACTAATAAACAAGCGAGCCCATAGCAGCCAAAAATCCGACCGGGAACGCTTTTATTTACCGTTCGTTCGTTCGTTTCGTTCGTTTCGTTCGTTCATTGACTTCAGAAACATAAACTGGATCCCTCATCAAAATTTATCACAACTCAACCTTCCTCTCCTCCATAATCCATATCTGGTGATTCTCACATTATCGCAAGAATTCAAAGAAAATCTTCATATCAACAAATATACACTCTTCAAGATGTCGTGGCAGGGTACGTTTATATCGTTTTCTTTCTATCGTCAAGGTGGAGCTGTGCTTACCCCTCCTTGGGACCTTGGGACCCCTCTATGAATGGTTACTTTGAAAGGAGACGTTTACTAATGATTCCGCACAGCTTATATCGACCAAAGGTACGGAATCCATAACGAGATGACGAGATAAAGATGGAATAGGATAGGAAACTGATAGGAGTAATAGTCTTTGCGGAAGCGGACATGTTGAAAAGGGAGCTATCTACAATTTGGAGGGAAACTCTTGCTGGGCCACCAGCCCTGACTTCCGGTACGAAATCAACTCCTCGATATCTATTTATCCATCTCGTCTTCTTTCACACATATATACATAAATCTGCTGGGTTGATTTCGCATATTGATAGATGGAATGATGATTATGGGATGGATACCAAGCACAAATATACGAAATCTCACTGGAATCAAGCGCTTACATAAATTCTCTAGATCACACCCGCCGAATGTAGAGTCAAAAAGGGACTTGATGAAAGACAGATGAATTTATATGCAAATGATCCCATCTGCAGCGAGAGATATGTTCTTACAAAGGTGGATGAGGAGACTAAAGTTCTCTTTGCTAGAAAAGGTATGTTCATTCATATTTCCGTATAATTTCTCAGCCTTACATTTGTCATCTCATTCATTACTCATTCTCCAACCTTTCAACAATCAACACATACAACGTGTTCCTATACTTCCACTTCAGCATAAGTATATTCATAAAGATCCAAGCTAATCTCTCAACTCTTACGAAAAATAGGGTAAAGATGGTCTCGTCATCGGTAAAACCGTCCAAGCAATTGTCATAGCTCGATACGTCGACCCAATGATCGCAGGAAACACCTCGGAGACTGTTCAAAAATTGGTCGATTATCTTGTTAAAGTTGGCTACTAAATATCCTGTTAAATATCAAACAATGGATTCTTTCTTCTGCTGCTACTACTTTTTGCAATTTTTTGACTTTTGCTCTGCTGCTGCTGATGATGATATGATGGATGGAAGGAAGAATGAATGGATGGATGTTTTGGAAGAGGAATGAAACGGGGAAAGATTTGCATATGTGGATAGAATGATAGGGGAGGAGGATATGATGAGGTAGGAAAGGGAAGAAAGGGAAGAAGGGGAAGAAAGGAAAGGAAGGGAAGGGAAAGGAAGGAAGATACTAGAATAGTATCGATTATTTTGATTGATTGATTGGTTCATTCATTCATAGGATTGCATGCATGAATGGTTCATATTGCAATATACAATGAATGAATGAATAAATGAACGATCCATACCATATTGCAACAAATGAGATGGATATTCTCTAAAACCAACCTCATCTCCTCATCTCCTTGATTCATCTCCCCTTCAACTCTTCAATCTAAATACCATGAAATTAGGTAAGATTACACATATTAATAAAATCTTTTGAGAGAGAGATATATATATATATATTAATAGAACCTAGATAAAAGATCAAAAATATATTTATATAATATACTCGTAACCCCAGACTACTTATATCATTAGATTATAAAATTATTAAATCACCAGATCATCAAGAGAAAAGAAAAAGAAAAAGAAAAAGAACATCTTAAATTTGAATTTGAATTTAAATTTGATGTTGATATTGATCTCGACACTAACTAACACCTATAGACCTAAAAAGAAAAGCGCAAGCAATAATAACAATAACAATAACAATAACAATAACAATAACAAAAAACTATGGTATCCAATATCCTATCCAATATCCAAAAAGCTATCCTATCCTATCCAAAGATTCAATCCAATGCAACAATCCTAATAATGTAATGCATATCTCCATAAGTCCAAGCCCATGCAAGCAAGCCTTGCGTTTCATCCATATCCATATCCACTCCGTGTCCTGTCCTGCCTATCCTATCCTGTCCAGTCCTGTCCTGTTTTCAACACCGGCTTGTATCAAATATCCTAGCTATATCGAATGTGAAATATGAAATGTGAATATCAGATCCGATACTGACTGTATTATTCCTCAGCCGAGAAGGGTATCCGTGTCTTTCGTTTTAGTTTGTGTGTGTTGTATGTTGATGTATGCGTATGTCGTAATAATCATAGTTTATATCCCCACCTCCCTTCCCTCCTCCATTGCCTTCTTTTCCCCCTCTTTCCCAGCTCTCCCGCTCTCGGCTTTCCTCCTTCCATGCATCTCCCCCAAATCCACCCAATACGCCTAACTCCTCAACCAACTACTCCCTACCACCCCTCCACTCACACTCCCACTCCCACTACTAACTCTATTCCCCCCTCCCCCTCCACCTCCACCCCCAACTAAACCCTCTCCACCCCCAGCAGTCCCCGGCCTCTTATCAACCTCCAAACCCGCCTGCACCGACACCAACGGACTACTCGGCGTACTCGCCGAACTCCCATTACTCCTCACGCTAGCAGCCCTATGATGTCCATAACCCATAAAGCCACTTAGCGAACTACCACTTCTTTCCCTATCATCCCTCTGAACTGGACTTTGCCCACTCCTCGCGCTTCTATTTCTACTCAGTGGAAAACTAACCATTCTAGATTTACTTCCCGAAAACCCAAATGCTGCTCCTAATCCCCCACGTTCCTTTTTCTCTATATCTGTACCTAGGATTTTAGATGCTTTTGCGTTACCAGAGGATGAATCGGTACTCATTAGATCTTCTACGAAACTGCTGGGAAAGAGACCCCATTTTCCTTTCGAGGTACAACCGCTCCAGCACCATTGATCTTGCCATGCATATCCTACATTATAAATTCTCTCTCCTTTTGAAAATTTTAACCATCCTTCTTCTTTATCTTTGGGTTTCCAATCCCATTTTGCGACTGCTTGAAGAGAACTTTGAGGATTCATTTTTACCTCATCTCGTGGGGGTGAGAGGAGAGAAATAGCCGTTGCGGGGAATGATCCACGTTCACCATCATGATAACCTATACACCAATTACCGCCAAAACGTTCCGGGAACGTTATTCCCACAATCTTTGCACCATCTGCAAAATGCATAGTTGGTTGACCATCAGGATCACGAAATGTTTTAGCAGTAGGTTTTGGATGATGGGTTATCGTTGCATGAGCCGAAGGACGAGAAGCTACTTTAGATGCTATTTCGAACATGCAGTAAGTAGAAAGTTTGGGTTCGTGAATAGTGAATTGAATATCGAAATCGAGGACTGAAGGTGGTTGAATGCCATAGACAGTTGTTATACCCGTTACTTGTGGAAGGGGACGAGGGTGACGGGCTAGGTGACGGAAGAGGGATGTTACGCTAAAGAAGATAGTTGCATCATGGTCTTCCACTGTGCGGTGATCTTCAATGCAGAATATACACTGAATGGAAATGTTAGTTGGTTGCTGTTCCTAAAAGCTGAGTTGAAGAGAAGTGCTTACACCATAGATAGGATCATCCACTGAAGTTGTTTTAAGGTGACATTTCGAGATAAATCTTTGACGCCATCGAATACCAGTATTAGAATATATACCAGAACCTAGAAACCAACATTAGCATTCTTCCACCCTTAAAACCAAGTTGTACATACGATCAAGTAATCTATCCTTTTCCACATCATTCCAACCCACTTCATAAGCACATTTAATACATCTCGCACTCAAAGTAGCACTATAATGGCCCTGATCCTTCTGTCAGTTAAAACAAACCTAAGTATTAGCAGGGAAACGCGAACCAAATATCCAAAGAAATTTCAACAAAGTAATCACGAAGGAATCCTACATACCGAAGGTCTCTTAACAACTTTAAATCCTGTTTCCCCTCTAATCATCGCTTTAGCCCCTGGACAAAACCCCTCAAATTTATAAAACGAACTATCATGTCTCATAGGACAATCTAAGCTTTTCAATGAAGGGGTCATAGCTCTATGCATTGCTAATTGACTTTGACTCCGATATTCTGGAATGCGACTTAAAGGCTGTATTGGCACTGGTTCAGGATCCTGAGTTGGTACAACTTCTAAACCACTATCAAAAATGGGAACGACTTCTAATCCATCTTCCACTCCGTTTCCAAAACCAGGCAGCTGTAGTGTAGAAGCTAGTGATGCAGTAGAAGTTGGAGAAGTGGTTGCAGGTGCCAATCTACCCCAAGAAGCTGGATCATGTATATCAGACATAGGTGGACTAACTGGACTTTTCATCCATAATGATGTCCCAGATTCCGAAGGTTGATAGTCACTAATACCTGGACTTAATGGGGTTGCTGAAATTGGCGTTGGAGGTTTCAAGGATGCAGTAGGAAAGTATTCATTATCCGGCTTCGTTGTACTCGAAGATGCGGGCGTAGCATCTCGATCCCTCAATGAACCATTCCGCGAACTTCCCCCTTGAGATGTCTGGGCCTTGACTCCTTTTCCTTCCTATTAATTCACCATATCCACTCCCTTTAGAACTATGCCTTTTCTATCGGACTGCTAGCCGACGATATTGAGGACCACGGAGATGTGAGCATTGACATCACTAAAAGTTTCACTCGCCCTATTCTCTTCAATCGAGGACGCTGATTTTCGTAACTCGTTGTGAAATGACATACGAGACTGTTTCTTTCGCTCTAAAAATTCCTCATTTGCGCTAAGCCTTTGATACACGAGCTCTTTGGCTATGAATACTTGCTTGGGAGGTGATGTATCAAATCCATATTTAGGAGGAGGTGTAGCTTGTATTGATTCCTGATAACTTGGTTCTGGGGATTGGCCACGAGGAGGAGTTCTTGGCCCTACATCAAAATATGGTCCACTCAAACTCCATGGATTTTCCTTTTTATGAGAACTTTTGGAAGGACTTGATACAGGAACTCTATCATCGATATTTTGTCTGTTGAAATAAGGGGGTAATTCTGAAGATGCTGAAGTGGTAGGAAATGAGAACCCTGTTGCCAGTGGTCCTCGAGGAGATTGTTCCAGCATCGGCATATGTGCGGGACTCAAAGGGGGAGATCTATCTTCCATCCGAAAATGATGGCGATCCGCCTGCTCTATCCGATCCCGAAGATTGTTGAAGATAAAAGTACATTCCGTCCGACATCTTTTCGATTGGTGTTTGACATTTGTGAAAGCTGATGCTTGAAAGGATTCGAGGTTCTCATCGAAATCTTGGCATTCATCAATTTGATCCCTGAGATCAATTCTAACCTCCTTCAATCGATTTGAAATAGATTCTACCACACCATCAGTCAATAACTCCCAAAAACCTCCATAATCCCCAATAACACTCACCATCCTCCAGTAAAGCCTTAGCAAAAGCTTCACCACAAGATCCCGCAGCATCTCTGTAAGCATCCGCAATACCTTGACAACTCTTTTCCAAAGTCCTCTGTAAATTCTGTGCCAGCTCCGCGATATATTTTAAATTCTCAGGACCATGACTCGCCGTTCTCGCAATCCTCTTGGTCAACTTGATCCCTGCATCGAGTGCCTTTATGATGCCCTTTACAGGAGCGGCGAAATCGTCGGACATGTGGGCGGGAGCTTGCGAGCGTAGCGTAGCTCGCGACTATTGAGTGTAGTTCGCGGATGGTGTAGTAGCTTTGCGAGTAGTTCGTAAAAGTATCTCTGGGCGCACCACCAAACCAAGGACGACCTTGCTCACTCACGAACCGTTCCCAGTCCGGCAGTTTGCGCAGAGGCCACTCCGCTTCCACTTGTTCTAACCTTTATCGATAATCTTGCGTCTATGATTCTCAGGGACGTGTATAGAGGATCGCTTTCTGTCGATCAATCAAAAGGTACGTAATATCCGCTCCGTTTTCCCTGGATCCAGTTTCACCCAATCTGCCAATAACGAAATGGTCCTAATTCGCGGTATAAGATATAGAGAACGTTGTGTATGTAAGATATACTAGGTAATAATCTAAATGATAAATTGAACGATTGCGCACGGTAACCAGGTAGGAGATAGTGCTTCGAACGAATAAATGAATAGAGGTGAGGTCTGTGTCTAGAAGAGAAATGAAGAGGGCGAAAGGATTACTTGTTGTGTAGCGCTGCGGCTCTTTTTCATTTGCAGTATGTATATGTAAGTAACCTTCTACTTCGGTATGTGTTACTCGTCCATGGGTCGCCCAGTCGGTTGGTAGTGTAGTATATGCTGTATAACCATACTAAGAGATGGATTCGTCCAATATCGAGCCCTCCCAATGACAGGCAGGAGCACGATGCACAGAAGTATGAAGGGTAAAAGTAATCTTACAATCGATAAACGTTCGTTTTCCCGTTGTACTGCTACCCTCATAAATCAATGTCGCCCTTCCAGTTGCTGACAGATATGTATGTAGTGTGTCCTCGTAGCCTTAAAGAACTTTACCAGAAACCTAAGATCTTAGCAGAAACCTACCAGAAACTTTACTTTTCCCTTACCCTTAAGCCCTGGTGGCCCTTAACCTTAAGAGCAAGCATATAGCAAGACCCACGAAGAGCTTATTATTCTGCTTGGAAAGAAAGCCCTGCAGAATGAGCACAGCCCCTGGACCGATCAAGCCTTGCACAAACACAGCGTGGATCAGGGCTGACAACAAGTGGTACGTGGGTTCTCCAGTGCAATCCAATCGCCCGCTTCGATCTCCATACCAAATATACTTCGTGAAGCATATTGCGTAGACAATCATTAAGATCTTACAATACCTAGGTATCTTACCATATCTTACAGCATCATATAAAATAATCCTTAAACCGCAATCCTATACCTAAAGCAAAACAAAACAAAACAATATATAATCTATCCTTCCAACTCCAACAACAACAACAAAACACATCAAATATACCAATTACAGTACCTACTGAAAAGAAATTGATACGCCAAGGGTGTCTTTTATACTTTTCTTGTATCCATTGCTATCTACTAGGTCTAGCGGCAACCCCGTCCATCCGTTTGACAGAGTGGAGGGCCACCAGGCCCACTATCGATCGCTTTAGCTTCAGCCTGGGTGTTCTTCTCATCCCTTCATCACATCAATTTAAAACTCATACTGCGATCAAAGGTTAGGTTGCTTCTATAGGTATCTGCATTTATGGCCAGACTTTCTTATGTCATCGTGATAATGGAAAGGAGATTGGGCACATAAAAATTAATGTATAATGCTGTCAATGAATCTCAAATAATTTTGAATTTATCATTGTAATTTTTCCATCTTCTCTCTCTCTCTCTAACTATTTATTTACATCAGATCGTTGACGTGGATTCAATTTCTGATTGCTCTCATGTTTATTTCATCTCATAGCATTAGAAAGGCGTTCAGATCGCTTTACCCCCTCCAGGCACATCGCTCCAACCAGAACTAGATGTGCGCCTGCAAAGCCCGTACTAGTTAAATATGTAAAAGAAAACCCCAAACTCCATTGTACAAGAAGAGACGAAAAATCTAAAGCCTAAAAGGTTGCAACGGCAATTGCGATGGCTTGGCTATCGGAGTGCGAGATAGAAATGCTGATCTCCTTTACACCGGCTTCCTTTGCCGCTGTTGCGGCATTGCCGTGAAGCTATATGTTCGTTAGTGAATGTTGTTTAAAAATGAAGGAGTGTAAACTTACCGAGACTATTGGTGCACCCTTTTCGTTGTTAGTAATCTCAATCTCCTTCAAAGGTGCTCCGGCTCCCTTGCTTGCAACACCAAGAGACTTGAAGACTGCCTCTTTTGCACTCCACTTCCCAGCGAGAGATGCCTGTGGGTGGGGTGCTTGCTTGCAGTAAGCGACCTCTTTCTCGGTGAAGTTTCTCTCCAAGAATGTCTCGTTGTCGATGTTGATAGCAGCAATATCCTCTACATCAACACCAACTTTGTTACCAGCTGTTGCAGCGCCCTTTGCAAGTGATTCAACCAGTTGCTTTGTGCTCTCGGCCTTTTCCTTGTTGATGACCTTCTTGGCGAAGTTTGGAGCGTATGTGAGAGCAGACGTCTTCCTGTCAACTGATACACGAGCATCTGGGTTAAGGAAGACAGTTCCCTCTTGATCGTTGGTGTAAGGAGATTTTTCCTTGGCAACAAACAAGGTATTTGTAATCATTCCGTTGTGGAAGTAGCGGTAAGCCTTCTTCTGCCTGGCCTCAACCTTGGTACAGTATGCCGAGTATGTTTGCTCATCAAGAGTGGCGTACAAATACTTTGGATGGATACCAATAGCCTGGGCACCCTTCTGACCGAAACCGAAGGAGGTAACAGAGAAAGCCTTGACACCATCTGTTTGGATGCTGCGGCTGGGGTAAACAATGTAGTCAAACTTCTCCATAACTTGGTCGATGTTGTCGGCATTCCTGTTACCAGGGACCAAACCACTGTTGAGGACCTGCAAACAACCATTAAACATCCAAGCGCCGGCAGCACCCTTAGGATGACCTGTCAAATACTTCTGGAAGATACCCATAAGAGCGTTACCCTTTTTACGACCAAGATGCTCCATCTGTTGGCAAATGACTGACGACTCGTTCTTATCGTTTGCAACGGTTGAGGTACCGTGGAAAGATGCGACATCGAGGTCATCGATGGTAAGGCCCCAAGTAGCAAGGGCACCACGAAGCGGTGCGATGGTAGGATCTTTCTTCCAGAAACTGTTGCCAAGACTGTTTAGGACCTCGCGTTCTTGACGTAGAGCTTCGCGCTCGATATGCTGTGCACGTTCTTGAGCATATTCGCTCTCGTTGAAGTCTGTCCCTTGAGCTTTCATAGCAGAAATCTCCTCATGAAGATACTCAAGTTCTGACTCCTGCCATGCCTTGATGTTCTTCTTGCGGAGCTCAACTTGTCTGCGACGGTACTTGATATCCAAAAGTGGCGATGGGAACTTGCCTGGGTTTTCACGAGCCGTTGTGAGAACACCTTGTCCTGGAGCAGGAACAGATCGCCCAATCTTATCAGTAGCAGTGGTAGTTAATCCAAGGATACCGTAGATTGGTACACCCATGTCAAGAGCAAGCTTGGCAGTCATGATGACTTGGATACCACAACCTTGGGACTCCATGAAACCATTTCTGGTGGTGGTATTAGGACGAGACATTTCCTTGGGTGTGCGGCCGTGAGCGATTTCATCGACGGCATTGCTGGTGGCCTTCATGTTGGCAAACTCATATGAACCCTCCTCTTGGAAATCATCGAAGCCACCAACAAAACAGACGCGAGCTTTCCCTTCAAGAATAGTCTCGTAACCAATATCGATGGATTCGACTGATGTAGCGCAAGCTCCGACAGGAGTCTTAATTGGACCAGTCGAGGAGATCAACAACATGTTGACCCAAGCACTCATGGTGTTAATGAAAGACTCTTGAAGGATATCCTTTTGGAGCGGTTTGTCCAAGAAGCGATCTTTATACATTCCTCTTAGAGCCGTGGTACCACCAATACCAGACCCAATACAGTTACCTACTTCAGAGATGTGTACATACTGATAGAACTCATATGGATCAGTAATACCAGATGCCAATAAAGACTCGACAGTACAAACAAGGACGAACAAGGTGACAGGGTCGACTTGTGAGATAATATCATCCGGAATACCATATTTTTTAGCATCCCATCCAGTCGGGATTTGACCTGCGACAAGTCGGTCGAAGCGAAGAGCCTTTGGAATGAGTAGGGTAGCGCCCTTACGCATGCGGACGAGATACTCTCCAGATTCTGGGATCTCGAAGATTTCAGCTTTGTCACCGTGCTCACGTTTAAACTCTTCTGCTGTCTCCTTGGAGGTCTCAAATGGCTCCAAGTCCTCTTGAATGACAACCTCTTGAAGCAATTGCTTCTTCTCCGGGTTATAGCCTTTGAAAAGCTCGGGCTCAATCAAACGGATACCGGAGTGTTCGAGAATGTACTTCTCGTATTTGCTCTTGATATCTTTATCGTCAACCGGATCTCCGGTCTTGGCATCAACCCATCCTGCGTATGATTTGCCTTTAAGGTTACCATTGTGATTCTTGATGAGACCCATAATCCAGGCCATTTCAACACAACCTTCCAAAGAGAATTCTCCGTATGCCTCCATTTCCCATCTAGTCCGAGAGTTACCCCATGGTCCAACCTCAGCAAAACCAGTAACTACAACAACCTTTTCGAGATCAACCATTCCCTTGAGGTTTTCATTAAGTGGAGAAACTTCCTTCTTCCAGTCTGGTAATGATGGGAAGTTGTACTTGATGTTTGCGCGTGGTTCAATTGTGACCTTCTTGTAGAGCATCTCACTGTCCTCACCATTGACAATCTTATTCTCAATGGCGGTCTCCTTAGTGACAGCTTGTCGGACTTCGCTAGTCTCCATTATGTCTTTTCGGAGTTTGGTCATCAAGTCCTTGAGGTTAGGAATGAATTGTAAACCACCGTTCAGATCGGCGAAAACTGGCTCAGATTGGCAGAGGTCAACAATGTTAGGGGCCATCAAGCCCAACAAGTTGAAAGCCATTTCTTGCTGAGAGAACGTGCGTACACCATAAGCTTCGACACCTTCTGCGACAATGTTGTTGCCAGACATGAGACCAGTACCACGAGTCCAACCAATGACAGCTCCGCAGATAGTGAGGAAGCTACCCCAGCTTTCCGAGTGCCATCTGTTGAATAAGGTTTCCAATGCCAACTTGGATTCGGAGTAAAGACCGTCGTTTCCAAAGGTACCGTGATTTGGAGAGAGCGGCAAGACGACTTGAGCAGGTCTAGTTTCGAATCCTCGCTCAAACTTCTGAGTCTTCACACAACCCAAAAGACGGAGTAGATTGGTCAACATGATGCGGTGAGCAAGCTCTGATTTGGAGTCGATGCTATCAATTTCACGACCGTTCTCGGGAATGGCAGCAAATGGGATGACATAGTCGAGATCCCATCCAAGACCCTTCTTTGGATCGTAAATATAGTCAATCAAGGCTTCAACGTCTTGTTTACTACCTTGGTTGAAGGGAACGACAATAAGTTGAGATCCTCGGGATCCATGGCGAGCATACATCGATTGATAATACTCAGTGACCTGTCTGGAGAATCGACTGGTAGTTACAACAACCTTAGCACCACCACTGATCAAGCCTTGCAATACATCAGCCCCGATTGAGCCAGCTCCAGCACCAGTCATCAAAGCATTCTTGCCTTGGAAAGTGACACCAGATTTGGCAGCTTGCTCTAAGCCATCAAGATAGAGGCCTGTAAGCCTCTTGCTGTATTCCCAACCATGCTCGTCCTTTCTCTTTAAATGAAGGAATGGGATGGTCTCAACCTTTCCAGCCTTGGCATTGCCATTGATCTTTCCGTCGTTCATCTTGACTCCGTTCTTTTTGCCGGATGACGCCTTGCCATTGCTGTTCTCTTTGGGGATTATCTGCCCTTCGCTCATCGCTAAAGAGCGAATAACATCACCGTAAAGGCTCTTGATCTGGAGCTGTGATGCTTTGGAGAGCTTGTGTTGCTGCTTGATAAGCTTGTAAATACGGCTGAGATCGTTCTGGACTTTGGTTCGGTTTCCATATTCTGAAATCTTTCCACCATCAGCCATCTCTCGCACATAGTGCTCGAGCTTTCGGACACTAGATCTTGGGATCTCGGCATATTCTAGGTTGCCGCGAGCATCGATTGTTGTGTGTGGTCCGGTTGGTAATGCAACGTCCTTGTAAACAGGCGACTCGTGGAGTACATCTCTGCAGTTATCGATGAGGGACTGCCCGAGTTCTTTTGCAAGCTTATAAGTCTCGCCACGCTCAGTTGGGCAGTTATCCATGTGATATTGCATAAATTCCAGAAGGGTAGGGTTGGATCTGTTCATGATACGAATACACTGGCTAACGATTTCTCGATCAACTGCTTGAAGTCGACCGAAAATTATATCGTAGTACATTGTCAAAGCATCTTGTCGAGCCCAATTCCAGGAAGAATCGTATACTCTAGCCTTTAATGAGGTGAAGACGGGCTCAATACCTGAAGCGTAAAACTCTCCATGTTCGACATTCCACAGGTCGAGTTGCGCTTGAAGTACCTTCTCTGATTGTTGCGCACCAATGAACGCCTTGTCACCGGCTCGGAGATCCATCTTGAGGTATCTAGCGAAAAGCTCAAGCTGCTGCTTGAAAAGTGCCCTCTGATCCTTGGTCAAAGCATCAAGGGCAGCGGGATCCATCATCATTCCACCACCCGAACCACCTCCATCGGCACTGGCAGATACCGTAGAAAGGCTGATGCCTGCATTTGCTGCATACTTTTGTGAAACGTCGTCGAGGAATGCCTTAGCATCGCTTTCAGATCCTAAACGTGCTGCTGGCTCCATTGTCAGAGCCAAAAGCAAGACACCATCTTGTCTTCCAGATGCCAAACCCCATCGTGTTTCCAAGTATTTCCGTGCTGCGGTGATATTGAATCCACCAGGCATTTTTGAGGATATTAATCTCGCAACGAGGGATGATGATTGCTTCCCTAATTGACCATTGAAAGTTTGCTGCATCGAAGCTCCTAACTCGTCTAGAGGGGTATCTTCTGGCTTCTCAGGCGTTGATCCAAATTCTTTGCCCAAATCTCCCAATATTTCATTTTGCAGTGTAGATTTTCCTGTAGAAACCCCATGGTTAGCTTTTGCGACTCGAGTAACTGGAAAAGACAACTCTTACCTCCGACAAGATCCTTAATGGCCTTGGTCAAGGGAATTTCCAGAAGTGGTTTCTTGAGTTTTTGGGCAATCAAAGATCGCACAATATCTATGGCTCCAACTGGGGCATCTGAAACTTGTGCGGCCGGACCTGCACTTGGTGGAGGGGCTGCTGCAACTGGAGCGGGTGCCGAGCTAGACGATGCAGCTGGTGCTGGTGAAGAATCACTTGGAGCAGCCGCAGGCTCATCCTCCACTGGGTCGACATCATAGTAAATCTCCTTGGCATCCTTGTTGTAACATAAAATTTGACGTTGAATAGATTTTGCTGCATCGTAGGCTTCGTATTTAGAGGCGAGTGTCCGCTTAGCCATGGTACCAAGGGTATCTGCAGGACCAATTTCGACGATTCTTTCGGTAGTCTTCTCATCTAAAATGACATCTTGTGTTTCAATCCATCTTACGGGAGATGCAAATTGATATGCCAAAAGCTCAACAAGGAGCGTGTGGGCGAGCTCTTGCTCGACTTCGGGACGCATGGTGGAGGATTGTGCGTGCGGGAGAAAAATTAAGCTGTATTCGAGGGGGGTATCATAAAAAGAATTTCTGCGAAGGGATTCTGAACGTTGGTCAAACTGTCAAAGTCAGATTTTTGAATCTCAAGACAGTTCTTTCTGTTTCTCTAAAAAAAAAAGTAGTAAAGAAAAGGCTACCCTGAGAATTCCTCTAAAGTCTATATCCAGTAATACAAAAGATATAGAGACTTTTCTCTTTCTAGATCAGCAAAACAAAATGACTGATTTGATTAGGAAAATAAAAATCAAATTGAGGGTTTGAAATGAGGATGGGGATCAATGAAGCAAATAAGAAGAGGAGGGGGACCTTCTAATGTTTCAATTCTGGTGGAGCGGAGAAAAGACAAATAGTCAAGTCAATAATTGTTGTTCGAGAGAGAAGCTTTCTCGCTTTCTCGTTCTCTCGCATTATTTGTCTAGGATTACAAGGAGAGCCATCTCAATGGTTGACAACATTTTGGCCCTCCTCCCAACAGACGGGCGAGGGTTGAGACTAGATGTGAATTAGGCTTAGCTTGATCATCTTATCCTTGCTAATAAATTTCTCCCCTCAAAAGCACGGGTGAGCATTAAAAACATCATCTCAACGACCTTTTGAGTCTTGAATTGACCCAATACCAAGGGTTGAGGGAGTACGGAGTGTACGGAGTAGAGTATCCATACGACCAGCCGTTACACACTTCTTATCTTTCCTACCTACATATATGCACTGTGATATCGAACGAGGTCATGATAGAGATGCCGCATATACAACATATTAGTACAGTATAGTGCAATATAGTACAGTCAGTCTAGTAGCCATTCATATTTAGCAAAAAAAGAAAGGAAAGAGAAGGTCGGCACATTCCTCCCCTTCCCGTTGGACCCCTTGATCTGATTGTATGCATAAAGCAGGGTTAAAGGTACAAACCCAGCCTTAAATCCGGCTTGTCCAATATACTAGATAGTATAAAGCTGTAATCCATCAGCCCTCTTTTTACTTCAACAAGTCTTTTGTATACTAATCTCGAGATATACAACCTCATCACCGGACGAATATTGGACCGTTTTCATAGATTCATAGACTCCTTGATTAGTGATATTGTTATAGCAAAGACCTCATCTGTATTTTGTATCAAATATCAAGTAGAACCGGCGGGATATTTCCCCCGCACAAGGGTTTGGCAAGTGTCGAGACTATGGATCAAATATCCAGATTTACTTCCCATCAAAAGAATGTCGTGCCATGTATTTGGAATGTTGTAAGCAAATATATTGACATTCCTACTCAACAAATGATGACTATACACTTCTGGGGGAGAATCGCAACATCTAGGTAACCATGAATGACAAATCCCCTTTTGAGATCTTCATCAAGACCCTTTTAATTTTTATTTTCCCGATAAACTATGGCGCCACGAAGTAGAAAGAGGGTCAAGTAATAGTTACTGCGCACTAGCTATAGGATATTGGAGAATATACGGAATCCTCTGTAAAGGGAAACATGAACAAAGAAGATGTTCGGGTTCCTGGACTAGTAAACATTGGATGCTTCCTAGATGGGTACTAGCAGAGCATATCATTGGATCCAGCCTTTCCCGTCTGTACCTTTCTAAATTCTGCTACTGGGGAATTATTTTGGTACGTTAGAGTACTGAGTTAAAACATTGGATTTTGTTATTCTATATCATATTATATCATTAGTTTTCCCCTTTGAATCAACCAACTCGAACCAAGTAAAGAAAACCCATAAGGTGGTGTTTGTGTTACAAGTGACGTTCATGCAAAGATAACGAAACGGGACCAAAAAAGGCTGACTATCTACTCGTATCTGATTGAGTTGACCAGGACCCTTGATTTCATTTTCAACACCCCTCCTTACGCGGCTAAGCCTGGTGCCCCAACAAATCTTTAACTAAATTGGGTCTCTTCCCCCCTGCACGGGTGAATGACTTTTTGGCGTTACGTTGAGAGCGAAAGCTTTGATAGAAAGAGCTTTCCAATTTAGTACAACAGCACCACCATCGACCAATTTTCATAGGGAAGGAATCTCGAAAATTCCCTGTTCTTCTCAAAATATAACATCTTATAAAAAGGCAGATCCTAATGCAGATTGCTATCTTCTGCTGAAAACCCTTTGATACTTCTGTTCATCTGTTCATATCTCATACCTCATCCCTCACACCTCACGTCCCATTCCTTCGATTAATAAATTCTCTCCCTCCTACATATTGCCATTTTGGTGGAGCGGTTGTATCCTTGTTAGAATAAAACACTGTCTGTAACTTTTTACACCACACCACATCGAATCCCTTTCCTCCTGCTCTTCATTGAGTACCTGGAGTCCTGAGAAAATTGTAAGTACCATCTAATAATCTAATATTTAGTCTGAAATTGCAACATTTGCTGGGAGCCCTTCACTGATTCCTGTAAAACTTGCTAGAGACAATTTCATCACTTCTACACAATCTACCACTCGCCATCATGTACGGTACTGCCACCGGCCCTCAAACGGGCGTCTCAACACCACGATCTTCATCATCTCTGCGACCACTCGTCCTCTCACATGGCTCATTAGAGCACTCATTTTTGATACCCACAAATATTCATTTTCAAGCCTCCCAGATCAAAGACCGTTTTCTTGCATCCCTCCCTGAGCCCACAGACGAACTCGCACAAGACGACGAGCCTTCATCCGTGGCTGAGCTTGTTGCCAGATATCTGGGATTTGTAGCGCAAGAAGTCGATGAGGGAGAGGATGATGCGCAAGGATCATACGAAGAAGTCTTGAAACTCGTTCTGAACGAATTCGAACGTGGCTTTTTGAGAGGCAATGAAGCTCACGCTTTGGTTGCCACGCTTCCTGGAATTGATGCAAAGAAACTCAAAGTGGTCGAGTCCTACTACGCTGCGCGTGCGGCTAGCAACAGGCCCATCCGCCCTCACGAATCAGCATTGTTTAGAGCAGCCAGCGACGAGGAAGCCAAGATTTATAATATTTTTGGTGGACAGGGAAATATCGAGGAATACTTTGATGAGCTTCGAGAATTGCACAACACATATGCAGTCTTCGTGGAGGATTTAATCACTGAATCTGCTGAACTGTTGCAGAGTCTGTCAAACGACCCTAGAGCCGAGAAATTATACCCAAAGGGCTTGGACGTCATGGCCTGGCTTCATGATCCCGAGTCAACTCCAGATATCGACTATTTAGTTTCTGCGCCAGTCAGTTTCCCATTGATTGGCTTGGTTCAGCTTTGTCATTATGCTGTAACCTGCAGAGTTTTGGGGCTTACTCCTGGGCAATTCAGAGAAAGGATTAGCGGGGCAACTGGTCACTCTCAAGGTATTGTTTTAGCTGCCGCTACTGCTGCTGCGGACTCTTGGGAATCGTTTGATAAAGTCGCAGTTTCGGCTCTTACAATTTTGTTCTGGATTGGATCCAGAAGTCAACAGACATTCCCGAGAACTTCCCTGGCACCCAATATCCTCCAGGATTCCGTGGATCATGGCGAAGGAACACCCACACCTATGTTGAGCATTCGCGATTTATCACAGGCTCAGGTCCAGGAACATATCGACAAGACGAACAAATATCTCCCAGAAGATAGACAAATTGCCATTTCTCTCATTAATAGTGCTAGAAATATGGTTGTTTCAGGACCTCCAATTTCCTTGTACGGTCTCAACCTCCAACTGCGTAAAGTCAAGGCTCCGACCGGCCTCGACCAGACTCGAATCCCATTCACAGAGCGCAAAGTTAGATTTGTAAACAGATTCTTGCCAATCACATCCCCTTTTCACAGCAAATATCTTGCCGAAGCTACAACTCATATCAATGAAGACCTAAAGGATGTTGAGATTGATAGCAAAACATTGGGTATTCCCGTTTATGACACCAACACTGGAAAGGACATTCGGGATGACGTTCAGGGCAATATCGTGCCAGCTTTGGTGCGCTTGATTACCCACGACACAGTCGAATGGGAAAAGGCCACAGTTTTCCCAAATGCAACTCACGTCCTTGATTTTGGTCCTGGTGGCGTGTCTGGCCTTGGTGTTTTGACCAGCCGCAACAAGGACGGAACTGGTGTTCGTGTTATCTTGGCTGGTGCAGTCAGTGGTACGATTCCTGAGGTCGGTTACAAACCTGAGCTTTTCGACCGTGATGAGGAACACGCCGTCAAATATGCCGTTGATTGGGTAAAGGAGCATGGTCCAAAATTGGTCAAGACCTCAAGCGGTCAGACATTCGTGGACACAAAGATGAGTCGAATCTTGGGAGTTCCCCCTGTCATGGTTGCTGGTATGACACCATGTACCGTTCCTTGGGATTTCGTAGCCGCAACGATGAACGCTGGGTACCAAATTGAGTTGGCTGGAGGTGGATATTACAATGCCAAGACTATGACCGAAGCGTTGAGGAAGATTGAGAATGCCATTCCAGCTGGTCGTGGTATTACCGTCAACCTTATTTACGTCAACCCACGTGCTATGCAATGGCAAATTCCGCTTCTTGGACAGTTGCGTGCAGAAGGTGTTCCAATCGAGGGTCTCACAATTGGTGCTGGTGTACCATCCATTGAGGTTGCTCAGGAATACATTGAGACCCTTGGCTTAAAACACATTGCGTTCAAGCCAGGATCCATGGAGGCCATTCAAGCTGTTATCAACATCGCACATGCCAACCCAACTTTCCCAGTGATCCTCCAATGGACTGGAGGACGTGGAGGTGGACATCACTCGTTTGAGGATTTCCATCAACCAATTCTTTCAATGTACTCACGTATCCGGAGACAAGAGAATGTTCTCTTGGTCGCAGGTAGTGGCTTCGGTGGCGCAGAAGACACTTATCCTTACCTCACTGGTGAATGGTCAAAGAACTATGGCTATCCACCAATGCCTTTTGATGGATGTCTCTTTGGTAGTCGCGTCATGACAGCTAAGGAAGCACATACTAGCAAAAACGCCAAGAAAGCCATCACTGAAGCCGAAGGCCTTGATGATGCCGCATGGGAGAAGACGTACAAGGGTCCTGCCGGTGGTGTTATCACTGTTCGATCTGAGATGAGTGAGCCAATTCACAAATTGGCAACTCGCGGTGTTAAGTTCTGGGCTGAGATGGATGCAAAGATTTTCAGTTTGCCAAAAGAGAAGCGAGTACCTGAATTAAAGAAGAACCGCGATTACATCATTAGGAAGTTGAACGATGATTTCCAAAAGGTGTGGTTTGGACGAAACAAAGCTGGAGAAACCGTTGATCTTGAGGATATGACATATGGCGAAGTTGTCCGTAGAATGGTGGATTTGATGTATGTCAAGCACGAGTCTCGCTGGATCGACAAATCATACATTAAACTCACTGGCGACTTCATTCGCCGTGTTGAGGAACGTTTCACAACCGGTCAAGGAAAGCCATCCATGCTCCAAAGCTACGCAGATTTGGAAGATCCATACCCAACTGTGGAAAAGGTCCTCGCTGCTTACCCAGAGTCCGAGAAACAACTTATCAATGCCCAAGATGTGCAACACTTCCTCATGCTTTGCCAACGTAGAGGTCAGAAGCCAACTACATTTGTGCCATCGCTTGATGAAAATTTTGAATTCTTCTTCAAGAAGGATTCTCTTTGGCAATCCGAGGATCTCGAGGCTGTCATCGGGCAAGATGTCGGCAGAACTTGTATCTTGCAAGGACCAATGGCTGTCAAATACTCGAAGGTTGTAGATGAGCCAATCAAGGAAATCCTTGACGGTGTTCATAACTCGCACATCAAGTATTTGACTCGAGATATCTACGGTGGAGATGAAGCCTCCATCCCAGTGCTTGAATACTTCGGCGGTAAGCTCATTGAGACTGAGGAAGAGGTCGACGTTGAAGGTCTCACAATTTCGGAGGATGCGGAGAAGACCACTTACCGATTGTCATACTCCCCCACCGCTGTTCTCCCATCTCTCGAGGCTTGGCTCTCATTGCTTGCAGGCCGCAAGAGGTCTTGGAGACATGCTCTCTTCACTTCGGAGGTATTTGTCCAAGGACAAAAATTCCAAACAAATCCAATGAAGCGAATCTTTTCTCCTGTGAAAGGCCTATTTGTTGAGATCACTCATCCTAATGATCCTTCAAAGACTGTAATCACCGTCAAGGAGCAACCCAGACCGAACCACTACCTTACTGTTATTGAGGTGAAATTGGTTGGCAAGAACGAGATCTCGGTCAACATGATCAAGGAAACCACCGCAGTCGGAAAGCCGGTATCCCTTCCATTAAAGTTCACATACCACCCTGAGGCTGGTTACGCTCCAATACGCGAAGTCATGGATGATAGAAATGACCGTATCAAGGAATTTTACTGGAGAGCTTGGTTTGGTGATGAGACTCTTGATCTCGACGCCTCAGTCACTGGCATCTTCAACGGTGGTAAGGCTACCATCACCAGTGAAGCTATCAATGACTTCGTTCATGCTGTCGGCAACACCGGGGAAGCTTTCGTTGATCGACCTGGTAAGGAGGTCTTCGCTCCTATGGATTTCGCTATTGTCGTTGGATGGAAAGCCATCACTAAGCCGATCTTCCCTAGAACAATTGACGGTGATCTTCTCAAGCTTGTGCATCTTTCCAACGGCTTCCGCATGATTCCTGGAGCCGAGCCACTGAAGAAGGGTGATGAAGTTGAGACTACAGCTCAGATCAATGCTGTTCTCAATCAAGATTCCGGTAAAATGGTCGAGGTATGCGGTACCATCACCAGAGAAGGACGTCCAGTAATGGAGGTTACTTCACAATTCTTGTACAGAGGTGCATATACCGATTTTGAGAACACCTTCCAGCGTAAAATTGAGACACCCATGCAAATTCATCTCGCTACCTCGAAGGACGTCGCTGTCTTGAGATCTAAAGAATGGTTCAACTTGGACGAGCCAGGTCACGAGCTACTTGGTCAAACCTTGACTTTCCGTCTTGAAAGTCTTGTCCGCTTCAAGAACAAGACCGTTTTCTCGAGTGTTGAGACTAGTGGTCAAGTTCTGTTGGAGCTTCCAACCAAGGAGATTATCCAAGTTGCAAGTGTTCAGTACGGGGCTGGTGTTTCACACGGTAACCCTGTCATTGATTACCTTGAGCGTCATGGGTCTTCTATTGAACAACCCATCAATTTTGAGAACCCCATCCCTCTCAATGGCAAAACTCCACTCTCTATCAGAGCACCAACATCCAACGAGACCTACGCTCGTGTTTCGGGTGATTATAATCCTATTCACGTTTCTCGTGTCTTCTCTAGCTACGCAAACTTGCCTGGTACTATCACTCATGGTATGTACTCCAGCGCAGCTGTCCGTAGCTTGGTTGAGACTTGGGCTGCAGAGAACCATGTTGGCCGTGTTCGCAGCTTCCATGCTCAATTGACAGGTATGGTTCTTCCAAACGATGACATCGAGGTCAAGTTACAGCATGTCGGTATGGTTGCTGGTCGCAAGATCATCAAGGTTGAAGCTAGCAATAAAGAGACTGAAGATAAGGTCTTACTTGGAGAGGCCGAGGTCGAACAACCAGTCTCAGCATACGTCTTCACTGGTCAAGGTTCTCAAGAGCAAGGCATGGGTATGGAGTTATATGCTAGCAGCCCTGTTGCCAAGGAAGTGTGGGACCGTGCTGATAAGCACTTCATGGACAACTATGGTAAGTTTCTCAAGCTATTTCTTTCATTATCATTTTTAACAATATTAGGTTTCGCCATCACCAATATTGTCAAAAACAATCCTAAAGAACTCACTATTCACTTTGGTGGCCCTCGTGGTAAGGCAATCCGTCAAAACTATATGTCTATGACTTTCGAAACTGTTGGTGCCGATGGTTCTATCAAATCCGAGAAGATGTTCAAAGAAGTCGACGAACGCACAACATCCTATACCTACAGATCGCCAGCTGGTCTTCTTTCCGCCACTCAATTCACACAACCTGCCTTGACATTGATGGAGAAGGCAAGTTTCGAAGATATGCGCTCCAAGGGTCTTGTCCAACGTGACAGCAGTTTCGCTGGTCACTCTCTTGGAGAATACTCTGCTCTTGCTGCTTTGGCAGATGTCATGCCAATTGAAAGTTTAGTCTCTGTCGTTTTCTACAGAGGTTTGACTATGCAGGTCGCTGTCGAGCGTGATGCTTCTGGACGATCCAATTACTCTATGTGCGCTGTCAACCCTAGCAGAATTTCCAAGACATTCAACGAAGAAGCTCTTCAATATGTCGTTGCAAACATTGCTGAAGAAACTAGCTGGTTATTGGAAATTGTCAACTACAACATTGCTAACATGCAATATGTATGTGCTGGTGATCTTCGAGCTCTTGATACCCTCACTGGTGTCACCAACTACTTGAAAGCTCAAAGAATTGATATCCAGGAGCTCATGCAAACTTTGAGTCTCGATGATGTCAAAGCACATCTTGTGGAAATCATCCGCGAATGTGCGAAACAAACCGACGCCAAGCCCAAACCCCTCGATCTTCAAAGAGGTTTCGCTACAATCCCTCTCAAGGGTATTGATGTACCTTTCCACTCGACATTCTTGAGAAGTGGTGTCAAACCATTCAGAAGTTTCTTGCTTAAGAAAATCAATAAGACAACTATCGATCCTAGCAAGTTGATTGGAAAATATATTCCTAACGTTACTGCTAGACCTTTCGAATTGACTAAGGAATACTTTGAAGATGTCTATCGTCTGACTAATAGTCCAAAAATCGGAAATGTATTGGCAAACTGGCACAAATATCAAGATGGGTATGAAGAGTCTAGTGGTGATGAAGTGGAGGTTGAAGCAAATGGTGTTAATGGTACGCACTAGATGGGCTGGAGATTAGAAGGAAGAGAAAAGAACAATGAGATGAAATAAGATGAGATGAGATGAGATGATGGATGGGTATTGATTCAAGCTTTGCTTTGCGGGCGTCGGGGATTCTATAAACGCGCATATGCTTGCATGATAGATGAAAAATGAATCATCTCACTTAGATTACATGATAGATGGATCGATCGATCGATCGTTCGCAGGTTAGCAGGTTAGATGGTAGTTAGTTTATGGTTATAGCACTTGTAATTTTTTGTTGTTATATTTCGGTCTTGATGCTTATTGGTGATGATGATGATGGTGATGATGGTGATGATGGTGATGATGGTGATGATGGTGATGATGGTGATGATGGTGATGATGGTGATGATGGTGATGATGGTGATGATGTGTGATGTGTGATGTGTGATGTGTGATGTGTGATGGTGATAGTAATCGCAATATTAATGTTACTACAATAAAATCTACTATTTATTTCTCGCTATATCTTTCCTCCATCATCCTCCATCCTCTACCCCTTCTCTCCCCTTTCCTTCACACCCCCATCTCAAACCCCCTTCTCCTTCTCCTTCCCCTCCCCCCCCTCCCCAACCCTCATAACATCCGGCACCTCCACCCCCTGCACCCCCACCACAAACCCCCTATACCCATCACTAACAACCCTCACATCAAACACCCTCGCATCCTCCACATTCCCCCTCCTCACCCTCTCCCACCCCGGGAAATTTAATCGTTGCTTTTGCTATTGGTTTCACTCCTAGCCCTATTATCGCGCTATTTTGTTTTGATTCTCCCTCTTGACTATTTTTACCTTTGTCTTTGGATTTAGGTGCGCTCCATCCTACTCTTTTGATGGCGATGACTTCGTCGCTTCCTTTTTTGCAGAGGATGACAAAGTAGCCTTCGCTTTGGCTTTTGGGGAATCGAGGAGCGTACATTTTTGCTTCTTTGTCTGCTAATCCGTTGAGTCTTTTGATTACTACGTCCATTTTTAATGCGGTGACGTTTTGAACTTCGATTTTGAGGTTAGGTATCATATTTGCTGCTTTGTCGAATGATTGTATATTTCTATTTGGAATCTGTAATGCTTGCTTGAGACCTTGATAGGCGTTTTGAGGTAGTGTTGAGAATTGTTGGAGGGTGGTTGGGATTTCTTGTTTTTGTTTTTCTTTTCCTGTGGCAGATTTGAAATCGGGGGGTATACCCGGGAAAATGGATAGAGCGTGGTCTTCTGGCCAACGGGCGGATTTGATACATTGAAGTAGAGTTATCATTTGCATTACGCTTGAGAGATATCCTAGCTCGGTGAGAACATCGATGCTGGCTTGAATAATACGGATAGCTTGATCTAATACACTCGTTTGATCACCCACGTAATCGGATATGGGTAAGTCGATTCTACTCATATGAGCTTGCAAAAGTAAGAATGCTTTCACGTGAGGATCCCACATGGGAAGACCATTGAAATGAGCTGCGTCTGCTGGTAGAGGTAGATTCTTGGAGAGTTCAATGTTAATGAGATCTTCGTTGTGGCGAACAGGTAGCTCATCGTATTCAGTTGCAGAAGACATCCAGGAAAGTACGTCACGGAATGATGCATTGGGCTTAGCATGAGTGACGAGGTGTCGGATAGTTTTATGAGAGAGGTAGTAGTATGACATGATTTTTCCAAGAGGAGTGGAATCGATGTTGCCGTTGGGATAGATTTCGAGACATTTAGATTCGGCAAGCTCCTCTAGAGATTTGTCGACCATGGAGATCATATAGTCATTGGCCATTTGTTGAGCTGCGATAGTGTTATGTTCTTCAGCTGAAATTTCGAGACCGTAATATGAAGGATTTTTGTGAAGACGTCGGAAGAAGAATGTCCAGGTGAGATAGTCAAGGGCATCTTGTTTGGTGGTGATAGTTTCCGCGGATACTTCAGCTCCAAGATGGTTGTCTAGAACGTTATGAAGAGATGACTCTACTGGAAAACCTGTATGTAAGAAATGTTTGTAGAATGCTTTCTTTGAATCTTGAGTGAAAATACGTGCAATTCCGGAAGTATCGAATTGGGGACGTCCAGCACGACCTAACATTTGTAGAACATCTGTCAAGTCCATATCCTTATAACCTTCGATCTTAGCATCGAAGAACTGAGTACCTTTTACAACAACCAAATGGGCTGGAAGATTGACACCCCATGCTAAAGTGGAGGTTGCAACGAGGATCTGAATCTTGTTGTTGGCAAATAATTCTTCAGCCAATGAACGATCAGATTCAATCAAACCAGCATGATGTAGACCAATGCCGAAACTCAAAGCCTCCTTCAAAGCATCATCTTTGACTCGGGCAAGATTCAATTGAAGATCATCCTCAGACATCTTAACGAATCGACGAGGATTGTCTTCCATACCACAAAAATTAATCAAGTCTTTGGCTGTTAAACGTGTCTGTCTCCGAGAAGCAACAAAGACAATCACTGGTTTGTCTGGACTGTGGGTCTTGATAGCCAGGAAAGTTGGCCTATTCATAGACTGCATTAGAGGACAAAAGCCACGAACCTCTGGGAAACCATCGATAAAAATCTCCAATGGAACTGGTCGAACGGAATGTCTGAAATTAAACAACCCTTCTTTGACACCGAGCCAATTCCCTAAGTCCATAGCGTTGGCACATGCAGTGGACATACCCATAAGTCTGACCGAGTTATTGGTTTGAGTTACAATATAATTCATACGAGAAACAATGATCTCCAGAATAGGACCACGATCTCCACCAAGCAAATGGATTTCATCAATGATAACCAGACTGACTTGTCTTACATAACCTCTAGTGGTCCACGAACGACTGATACCATCCCACTTTTCTGGAGTAGTAATTATGATGTCCGCATCTCGAATAGTTCGTGTATCAGGTGTATTGTCACCAGTTAACTCGACCAATTTCAAGCCCATCTGTTTAGTCAATCGAGCTCCCCAATCCTTAACTCGTTCCCGCACAAGTGCTTTCATGGGAGCAATGTAGACAACCTTAGAGCCAGGCTTTTCTCGGAATGCCCACCACATGGCTAATTCACAAGCAATAGTTTTACCCGATCCGGTTGGTGATCCGAGAAGTACGTTCGCTGGTGTGTGGTACAAAGTGTGGAAGATTTGAGTTTGCATAGGATTGAAGAACTGGAATCGCTTGCCATAAATCTCTTCCAAAGCTGGGTTCTTGAGAGCGGTAATGGGCAGAGGTTGTAGATTTAACAGATCAGTATAAACACTCTCAGTGTCAGGTCTGATTAAATGTTGGAAAGAAATCGGATACACTGTCTCTGCACCCAACCATCTATCAGAAACTGCTCTCACATAAATCTGTGTAGGTAGTGGATCCGATAATGGAATAGTGAAATTGAGTTCATGGTCGTCATACAACTTCTTTCGATTAAGAATGAAAAACTCATGATGGAAAATTTCAGAAGTTTCTGAGTTCTCAACCCAGATCCAGTAACTTTCTGATGTACCATTATGACGGTCATTCCATTTGAATTCAGGTGTTATGTAAAGACGAATTCTCAAAACATCTCTATTAAGAGGCACAATCTCGGCTTCGACTCTCAGCGTAGGAAAATTGTCAAGGATCCTTGAGATTGTCTTTCCAGCACCAGGATTATGTACCATGGCACCAATTTCGGCTGCATCCATCTCTTTAAGAGTTTCGATTGAAAGGTTTTCTTTATCATCAAGTTGTTTTAGAATTGGCTGGGCTAGCTCGAATTGATGAAGAGGATGTTGGAATGGCCAAATTCTCTTCTCGATAGACTTGCATAGTGAGAGAAGCACGAGACATTGGTGGCCCCAACGACGATTAAGTGCAATCATGAACAGCGCACGACAGATTCTAGCAGATTGCTGAGCAACATAGTTTGTGTCATTGGCGAGAGCAAAGTCCTCAAGCTTCGCTCGAGATATGTAAGATTGCAAGAGAATGTTCGTCTTAGCGTGTGAAGAGTCAGTTCCACCCTTTACTTGACAAGGAGAATAGTCCTCTCTTAAACTGGTGAGCTCCTTTGACTCGCTATCTCTGGATTGAATCTGATCAAATTCTCCACTCATAGCTATCATAGTGAGGACATCAGCTTCGGATGATTGAGGTTGCATCATGGTGTTGAATATTTGAATACTAGTATGCAGGACATAAAATTGACTAGCAATACGTCCGACATCCTTACTTCTAAGCTCTTCAGTCGTTTCGTTAAAGATAATCATTTGGCTCTGCTGAAGGGTCTTGGCTGCTTGAATGCATAATTGTCGTCGACGCTGTACCAAGTTCGGATCCTCGCGAGCCTCAGCCCAGTCAATACCATAAGTCAAAGGATCTCTCTTCATTCGGACGAACAAATAGGAATATCCGAGCCATGTAACTGCTTCAGGAATCGATGTAACTGTTCCCAAACCAATTTCAGCATTTAAATTGTCAACAAGATGCTTCGAGAATCGAGATTCGATGGGAACTTGCGATGTCACAGCTTGCAGATAATGATCGAGCTTATCTGCTGTTGTACAAATCATACCGATACCAGTATCTTGAAATTGTGGTCTACCTGCACGACCAAAGATTTGAAGAACGTCCAATATCCCGAGGTCAATGAATTTACCATCTTGAGCACTGTAAACCTGTGTACCCTTGATGACTACTGCCGCAGCTGGCAAATTGACACCCCATGCCAAGGTAGCAGTACAGCAAAGAATTTTGAGAACACCACTTCCAAATAACCTCTCCATGAGATTTCTGTCGGAACGAGCCATACCTGCATGATGGATACCGATACCTTTTGGTAGTAGCTCTCGAAGTTCGCGACCTCGTGAGCTCTTCATATCCTTCACAGCTGCTTCATATTGAGGGTGATTAGAAGGATCGAATAAATCTATGCAAACTTGCTCTATAGCCTTTTCATACAACATCTTAGCAGTATTGAAAGTGTCCTTCCTCGAATGAACGAATACCATGACTTGATGGTTTTGTTCCAACATATCTCGGACCTTCTCGAACGCAGTTGTGTCGATGTTTTCTCGAGATTGTCGGGTCCCAGCTTTTCCTTTGACACCAATGAAGTGCTGTTCAAGAGGTACTGGTCTGAAGCTAGCGTCGAAGTAAAAGAGACCTGCATGGCGATTGACTTTAAGAAAGTCGGCTACATCGATATAGTTTGGAAGGGTTGCAGAAAGCCCGACAATTCGAATAAGGGATTGGGTGCTCTCGACTTGACGTTCAGTACGTGCAACCAAAGATTCTAGGACAGAACCTCTGTCATCGTGAAGCATGTGGACTTCGTCAATAATCAAAAGTCGAACTTTCTGAACTAACTCTGTATCGCCAGTGCCTTTTCGAGTGACTACGTCCCATTTCTCAGGAGTCGTGACGATAATTTGCGTTTGAACAATTTCCTTCTTAGTAAGATGCATATCACCAGTAAATTCACGAACTTGTATACCAAGCCAAGCTAGCCGACTACCTAGCTTTTGTGTAATTTCGGCTGCCAAGGCTTTCATTGGAGCAACATAAACAATCTTGAAGTCTTCAAAATTAACCACAAAGTCGGAGAAATCAGGGTTCTCTGATGGATGTGGTGAAACGTTTTCTCCAATAGCGTGAAGTATCGTGAGCATTGCTGCATCGGTTTTACCAGCACCGGTGGGAGCACAAATCAGCATGTTCTCGCTGGTTTTATATGCCACTGGATAGACCAAGCTTTGCATTCGGTTGAGAGTTTTGTAACCCCTGAAAGTTTTCTTGCAAAGACCGTCCATTTCAGAAATTTCGACTAGTCTTCGACCCGCACCCAGCGTTCCAACCTTCCCAGCAGGAACAGTATACTCTGAATATCTTTCGTGTTCTGTTCTCTCACTGCCCATCGGCAAAGCATACTTCTTCCCTTTCGAGTCTAGGATATTACCTGCATGATGCGTTTTATACACATGAGGATACCTCTCTTCATCTCGATTAAGGGCGGGTCCTAACGCGGCATGCTTATGCTCATAATCCCTTTGCCTTAACGCGGCTTCTCGTTCCTTTCTAGTCTGTAACTTTCCAGTAAAAATACCGTCATCTCTTGTCCCAACAGAACGTGAGGCAGCAATGATATCCTTCCTGTGAGAAATAACTTCAATGGCAAAGTCAATATCATCAAAGCCAATCATGTCAATCAAAGTAGACTGAAGCTCTTCTTCCCCGCTATCAGAAGCCAAGATTGCCATAATTTGTTCCTGGAGGTCGTTCCCTGAAAGTCCCTGCTTCCTCTGAGCAATATCCATACATTTGCTCTTCAACCATTGAGGTCCATAGCTGCCTGCGCCAGCGGACTCCGAGAGACTAGGAAAGTCATCGTTGATATCGCTGCTGGATAAATCGTCATCTCCATCACTAATGAAGTCCCAAACATCATCCCCACTATTCCCAGAGGTAAATTCTTCATCATCATCAAAATCGACGTCGATATCATATGATTTAGTTTCACCGTTTGTCGATTTCGGGGGCAAATTCAACTCCGCCAAGGCATTTTTCATAGCAGCAAGTTGAGCTTGCCATTGTACCTCAGCTGAATCCAGAGTTGAAGGAGACATGATTTCTCAAAAACTTTTATTAACTTCTCCAGAAATTTTATCTTGACCATGGATTAGTTATAATTGTCACAAAATGTACTCCGTAAATAAAGCTAGCTGACTCTGGCGGCGGGGAGTAATCAGTGGGGCAATTCGATTCGGGCATAAGAACTTCCGGCGTCATAAACCCCCCATGTGATTGTACAACCCTGACCAGAATTGTACGACCCAGCCCAAGTTTCAACATCAAGAACAAAGCAGAGCCACATCCTTCCCAATCTACACCTATTCTTGTCATCGATATTCCAAGGACCTTTACAATCTACAAAATACCGCAAAGATGAAGTTGCATTACATTGGAGTTCGTTCGCAGATCCAACTATGACGATGTTATCAAGCTGACCGCTATCAGATAATCAAGAACTCGGAAACGCCATCACACGAGCTTTGTTGCGTGAAAGAGTTGAGCGCATATGGTCGATTCACAAGGGCGAGGTTAGATTAATTCTATGATTTCTCTTGGGGAAGCTTAGCTAATATAATTAATGCACAGTTATGGCGAATTCATGACGGTTTTCAGTAAGACAGTCGCTGAACGAACAAAGCCTGGCCAAAGGCAAGATATTGAGCAAGATAGTAAATCGCACCTCTTCTGAATTTGACAACACTCCCAAACTAACAATTCCAGGCAACACATTCCATGCCTATGGACGTACCGAAGGTGTCTGCGGCATAATAATTTCAGACCACGAATACCCAGCCCTTGTCGCCCATCAACTTCTCTCCAAAGTCGTCGACGAGTTCTTAAACGCACACCCACGGTCAGAATGGGCGAATTCAAACCCCACCATCTCATTCCCTGAATTAAACGACTACATTGTGAAATACCAAGACCCACAACAGGCAGATAGTATCATGAAGATCCAGAAGGAATTGGATGAAACGAAGATTGTGTTGCACAAGACTATTGAGAGTGTTTTAGAGAGAGGCGAGAAGATTGATACCTTGGTGGCAAAGAGTGATGGCTTGAGTGCGCAAAGCAAGATGTTTTATAGTGAGTTTATGGGAATAAGATGAGAGTCGATAAGAGAGCATTTACTAATTCATAAATAGCACAAGCAAAGAAGCAGAATTCATGCTGCGTGGCTATGTAAATGGATATATTTGGTTGGCTATGGCGTTTTCGTCTTTTTTTTTTTTTTTTTTTGATAGCATTCCCGCAGGCAACGTTTCGATTGGAGAATGTAAATTGCAGTTCGAGGTTGGGAATATTGGTGTCAACGTGGCTTAAGGCAACGTCTTAATACTTCAATGGTACAAATACATATCTTTGGCGGCTTCCAATATCTCTTCACGTTTCTTGTTGAATTATAAAGGAGCATGTGCTCTACTTTACAAACCGCCGTCTAGTCTATACCTCAATGGAAGCCTGAATGTATGCCATTCCCATGCTCCCTCTTCATATACAATCTGAACCTCCGTAGCAGCGTCAGAATCTAGCCCATTAGCTCGTCCCATGATTTCGTAAACATGTTCCATGCTCCTTCATAGCTCTTATAAGATTTCGTGGGTATCTTTTGCATCTTTTCTTTAAACAGGCAACTCCGCCCCTCTTATTGCAACCCCGCTCCTATCAACCATGGCTCCAATATATGGGCCAATAATCGGTATGTTCCTCGCGAATCCAGCTATAGTCCCCAGGAAATCGCCAAACAAGATAAATATGCCGTATAATTCCACCAGAAACCCTGTAAAGGGCCACCTCATGAGGATGAGTGCAAGGCCAGCAAAGAAAGCTCCGGTCCCTTTAAGCTTTTGTTTCCGCGCGAAGAACATCATCGTTTTTTGAGGTCCGATTATAATGGTTAACCCGATTAAAAAGAGAATCTATATCGATATACTGTAAGCTCGGAAACTCCCTTTCCAGCTTCGGAGGACACCTAGGCACGCACATTTCCCATCGCGAGCCTGAAAGCTTATTAGTATCACCTTCCTTGGATTTTGCTGCAGAGGTAAAATTGCATACATAGCTCTATCAAAAAACATCATGACACCGCCGATCAGGAAGAACCCGCCTTTCAAACCCTTATTAGCTATGCTAAATTCGAAGCACAAACCATAGCATTGTACCTACCACCTGAACAGAAGGCCACCCCAATTTCTAAACAAGGCATTTTATTAGCATACATCCTGTCAAATAGCGTAGCATGTTCTGAACAAGACTAATTCCAGCCGGCGCAAAGTAGTCCTGAGCCATAAATTTGTTAGGAATCCAGTACTTACTCTGGGAATCTGATAACCACATAGACGGCATTTTGAATACCTTGCGAAATGGCAATCAAGAATTTGCGAGTATATTAGAGTGCTATTAAAAAGCCTTCTCGTAGTACTTCAACAACTGGTGACAGAAAGTAAGAAGAGCTGTCCTTAATGCTCTTTTTTGAAGCTTATTGAAAGAACGAGGCTTGGGCACGTCCGTGCTCGGGAATGAAATTAGCGTCATATGCGGACCACAAAAGCTTAAATATAAATTTTACTCGATGCTCTCGAGTCCTAGGTTGTCACACATTTTTTCACCACAGCTATCAATTGCTTGGATATATTGAGGATCACGAGAACGGATCAACCAGTGATCTCAGATTAAAACATGAGGTGATACTGAGGCTGATTTGCCTCCCAGTATGATTCGAACTAGTATACAAAAGAAAGGACCCTACTGCTGCCTCTTGGGGTTTCATCTTAAGCTATTGAACACTTGAATTAGGTAAAATATTATGATTGCCACGACGAACCAGGACAATTTGTCCTGGTGACTGAGTTTCATTCTCTATATGTTCTCGGTACCCCGTCATCTCTACTAGAGTAGGCAAATATCATCCATGATCGCGATTAAGCCGGAGCGCATTCCTGAACCAACCATTGAAAGATGGTTGGCGGGTAGAATGAGCTTGACTTTGTCGGTCAGACATATCCTCGTGCTTCTTTGACCCTTCCTGGGCCCCTCTTTGAGAATCACCAGAAGCTGATTGTATTCATCTCCATCGCATAATTTTCCTCTGCTGTCATGTATTATTCCTCTCTCGACTCTATTGCCTGTATATACAGCCGTCTCGTAAGATAACCATCCAAATTGAGCGTTGTCTACCGATCCTTGGAGGTGGTGAAGTGTGTCATTGTGTGTATGAGTAAAACCTTTGGCCGATGATTACACTTTCTCCAAATGAACCAACGTGGTAAATTGCCTTCCTCTTTCACTTCAAAACAGTATGCGCTCCTCGTACTTCCAAGTACTGCTCTGCAACTCCTTGACCCAAAGATCTAACAACCCCAAACACTTCCTTATTGTGATATCGTAGCCTCGTCTTAGGATCTGTGTACGGTGCTGGTAGCCCTGTAATATCGCAATAATGCTTTGCATGTGCTAATGATGGCGCCGACTCGATATTTGTATACGTCGCAGTAGGCGCATTAGAATAGCCGTTCGTCCTCATATTCTTCTCCAACACCAACTTCGATAGGTTCTTGGAAGCCTGCGCAAGGTTCGGCTGAAGCATAGGTGCGCTCGTAGGTGCGGGTGTCATATCGCCATCCGTTGAAGTAGTATTATCTTCAGAGAAAGGTGTTGCGGCACCACTGTTGTCTTGTGTCGGCATAAGTGATGCTTCCTTTCGAACTGCATCACCAAGAATTGTCTTGATATTCTTGTTGCGACGTTGATTAGGTCTCCAATGTGGATTGCGAAATGGTTTTCGTATTGAATGAACATCAAGCTGATCGATGAGTGCTTGATGAGCCTCAGCTTCTGGAGTTGCTGGTGCCATGATTGATGACTTTTGGTGGTTGTTCTTGTTATTTGTTTGAAGCTGGATTGGTTCGTACTCCCTTCTTCAAGCTTCACAACAGCCGACCAATCAGGCTACACATGAAATTCATAGAGATATTTACTCCATTTCCTACCTAGCAAAGGATTGACCTCGTCAAACATCACACTTCACAAATCATATCATACAAAGAAGATTAAAGAATATGGTAAGGTCGCAGTATGTCGGTCTTCTACACAAAATAATGACCATATTATAGGAAAACCCTCATGAGCATCAGCAAAATTTGCTACTATCACGAATCATCACCAACGTAGTAAGTATTCTTCAGGACGCCCAAAGTGGTAACATACTAACTCACTCGCAGGAGAAGCTCAATGAAGCAATTATGCTATTAAACAAGAATCTGCAGGTATGAGTTGTCTATCGGTCTCCTGTATTTGGCTACTTTCAGCTGAACCCATATTAGGAGATCAATATCGCGAACACAAACGTTGTTTTAGTTGCAGATATGTTCAAGAACTATCAATCTAATGTTCTCTTCCATTTAGAAGGTAATCAATTCCTCCTATCAAAATATTAAGCTAATTTGTTGAAAGCTACCGACAGTCTTAAGGAGCCATCGTGAAAGTACTGACGAGAATTTTCGCGGAAAGGGAGCAGGCGTTCTGTGGTGGAGGTTGAATCCAATGTGGTTATCGATTTAATGATTTATTAGGATGTATTTCATGACTCTAGGAGATATTCGACGAAATTTGGCGCTATAGATAAAGTAATCGTCTCCACATGTGCATGTAATATAGTTGATATCTTTTTCATGTACTTCAGCCTCGTTACAAAAATCCAGCCTTGTGAAGCGGCAACATAAAGAAGAATAATTACAAGTCAAGTGCTCACCATTAGCTCATATAGTATTTTTTTAATTATTTCGGTCGCAAAAGCATACGAACAATGATCTAAACCACAATTTAAATCAACAAGTCCCTTTTCAGGAAGATGTCACCCTCAGCCATGGACATTGATGCGCCTGCATCGGAGCAACAGAACTTATTGCCTCCACCTATACTTTATCCTGCTAAGGATCTTCACTTCGACAAATATGTTGAGCCACAACCAGATGGGTATCAGAAGGCGAAGTCGAGGGGAGCTAATCAAGCTACGATAGTAATTGACAATGGTAATTATGCACCGCGCATTATGGTTGGGACAATACAACTCGCGGATACTAACATTTCTCGTCGCAGGCTCCTCGGTGACTCGAGCTGGCTGGTCTTTTGAGGATTCACCACGTCTCGATGTCCTACCACTTTTTTCGAAGTACAGGGACAGAAAGTTGGGCAAAACGTATTCGTTTGTTGGCGCCGATGTATACGCAGATACTACGGCTAAGGGCCACATGAGAAATGCCTTTGAAGCAGGAAGCGGAATTGTGAGCAATTGGGATGTTATGGAGCAGGTATTAGATTGTATCTTTCTCAAATTAGGGGTTGATTCAGAAGGGCGAGTGGATATGCCTATTGTCATGACAGAAGCTGTCGCAAACTTACCATATTCAAGGAAATGTATGAAACTTACCAGGAATTAACGGATTTTGCTAATGATATGGAATAGCTATGACGGAGATCATATTCGAATGCTATGGAGCACCATCTGTGGCCTACGGAATCGATTCTCTATTTTCTTACGACTACAATGCTGGCAAGACAGGTCTTGTTGTATCTTCTTCTCACAGTTCTACACATCTCATTCCGGTCTACAACTCGAAAGCTATACTTACCCAAGCAACAAGATTAAACTGGGGTGCATCACAAAGTGCTGAGTATCTCCTGAAGCTTATCAGGCTCAAATATCCTAGTTTTCCGGGGAAGCTAGCTGCTACTCAAATGGAATATATGGTACAAGATCATTGCTATTTATCACGGGATTATGATCAGGAAGTAAGCAAATATCTCGACTGGACAGGACTGGAAGATAGAGATCATGTAATTCAATACCCTTATACAGAGGTGATTGAGGTACAAAAAAGTGAAGAAGAGTTAGCAAAAATTGCAGAGAAGAGGAAAGAGAGTGGCCGAAGACTACAAGAACAAGCTGCCAAAATGCGATTAGAGAGATTGATTCGCAAGGAACAGGAATTGGACTACTATAGACATTTGCAAGGCAGATTAGTGGATCAAACGAAGAAGGAAATTAAAAGATTACTTGACGCCGAAGAGTTGAAAGACGAGGCTGCTCTGGAGAGAACTATCAAAGAACTCGACAAAAGTATCCGCAAAGCCAGGACTAAGGATGTTGGTGGGCCTGAAATCGAAGAAGAGGTCGAGGAACCTGACTACTCTATGCTTGAAATCCCGGACGACCAACTGGATGAAGCAGGTCTCAAACAAAAACGTCACCAACGTCTCATGAAATCTAACAACGAAGCCCGCGCCCGAGCTAAAGCGGAAAAGCAAGCAGAGAAAGCCCGCATCGCCGAAGAACAACGCATAGACGATGAGAAGCGAGAAAACGATCTCGAAGGCTGGCTCCAGGAGCGTCGGGAAGCTCGGGCGATCATGCTTCAAAAAATCAAAGACAGAGAGCGTCTCAAAGCGGATCTCGGAAATAGAAAGAGTCTCGCGAGTCAGATCCGCATGAAAAGCATCGCTAACCTCGCATCCGATAATCCGACCAAAAAACGCCGTCGCGGAGGCGATGATGATAATTTCGGTCAAAATGATGATGATTGGGGCGTGTATCGCACCATCCAAACCGGGGATGGCGGCAGTGATGAAGAAGAAGAAGAAGATCCAAGTGTCATGCTTAAAACCCTCGAAGCAGACCTCCTGAAGTACGATCCGGAATTCACGGATCAACACACACTAGATGCGCAAACTGATTGGACCAAATCCCTCATCCATGCTTTCCTCCGCGGGCCCCGTCCCTTCAATTCGGCTAGCACAGCAGAAGCCCACCAACTCCATCTAAACGTCGAGCGGATCCGCGTCCCAGAAGTAATCTTTCAGCCCAATATCGCCGGTTTAGATCAAGCGGGCATCATCGAGATCGCAGCCGATATACTCACGCAGCGGATCTCGGGATCAGGGATGAAACAAGAGGATTTCCTCAAAGATATCTTTTTGACGGGCGGGAATACACTCTGGCAAAATTTTGACGAGAGATTGAGAGAGGGATTAAGGGGACATTTAGAAGCGGGCACAGAAGTGAAGATTAGGAGGGCGAAAGATCCATTGCTGGATGCGTGGAGGGGGGCTGCGAAGTGGAGTTGTGGGGATCGGTGGAAGGAGGCCAAGATTACGAGGGAGGAGTATGCTGAAAAGGGTGGGGAGTATATTAAGGTATGTCTTGTTTTACGGTTTTTTCCTTTTTTCTGGTTTCCTTTCTTTTCTTTCTTTCCCTTTCTCCCCCTCCATTGGTTGCCGCTGGGTGAAAAAGACAAGAAAGTGGGCAAGGTGGAGAGTGTCTGAGCCTCGAGTGGAGAGCAGGAATATCTAATATGTAATAAGCAACCAAGTTCACTAATACATCTGCAGGAACACGATCTCGGAAATGCGTATTCGTGATAAATTCACGGAGTACCGTATGTACTGTATTGTAATCAGCGCGCCAAGATGAAAGCATATCATATTATATCATGGAGCTAGCTAGCCTACTTATGACATGACATGATATGTTATGGTATGGTATGATATGAGATAAGACGACAGAGACACTGAGGTTGGGAAATCCGGTTCGGCTAATTTAGGCGTTTGTTATTGTCAATGAAAATCTATAGGTTGATAGATATCAGTAGTCATCGAGTTGATCGGTCAGTTAGTCAGCCAGTCAGCCATTCTGGCTTCTTATGATGATAGGTAGGAGTCACGAGTTAATGGATAGATGGATGGATGGATATCTTCTTCATCTTTTTTTTACTTGTATGTGATGGTGATGGGAAGGAATATTATATTACAGGGAGAAGGGAGAAATAAAAAGCACAGAGTTCAATCATGGAAGAAATACAATAGGTATATGAACAAGACGTAATGACACTATGAATCGTTCAAAAATCGAGTTTTTGAATGAAATTTTTGAAATTTTTCCATTATTTGCCTTTCATCATCACATAAGACCAGCAAGTAAGTGGTGGCCTAGTTAATTGGACATATCCACATCTCATCCATCCATCTATCCATCCATTCATGCCGGACTTTCCATCCATTCGCCCATCGTATCCCATCCATCCATCCCATCACAAAAGCCGAAAAGTTAACTGATATTTGATTGCTCGGAACGACTCACTTTTGCTCCGCTTTTACGCACAACGTCCGAAGTTTCCGCAGCGTGCGTAATCCACCGTGGACGAAACACACTCCTTCATGTGGTAACCACATTGAATAAACACACGTGATAGAAGTGAAGAGGTAGATAAGGAAGAAAGAAGGATAAACGCCATGGCAGGGAAAAAGTGGCAAAAGCAAAGCCGGAATATTGATTGAATAAAACACCCGTGAAGTGTGAGGTACCACTTTTTATATAAGTAGGAACTCCACCCATGTGCCCTTTCGCAGTGAACCATCCCAAATAGCCTCCGTCTTTATCAACGCCAAAAAAAAGTAGAAGAAGAATAAGTTAGACCCTGTGTGTAAGATATTACATGGACATGGAAGTTGGTAGACCGTCATTGGTCAATTGTCCACCGCCCAGTTGTGACCGAATGAGATTTTCATCATTAGTGTCGTCATCCTTGAAACGCTTGTTTTCTTGGTGAGGAGGATATGATTGTTGCTGTTGCTGGCCTTGCTGCTCTTCACCAGGGTGCTTAAGACTGGCTGCTGCTAAAGTTCTGGCGGCAGCCGGTTGAAGTGCACCCATTGGCGCCATTGGGGCGATGGGTGGTTCATGTCGATGCATGTGCTCTAATGGCTCCATTTGCCTTTGTTGGGGTGGTTGGGGATGAGGGTGTGTTGATGTATGGCTTAAGTTAATGTTTGGTGGTGGTTGTGGAAATTCACCTTGCGATTCAATGAGTCGAGATTGTAGTCGGATGATGTACTCGCGCAGAGAGTAATTCTCGGCATGGATTGCCTTGTAGTTATCCTCCAATGCATGAAAATCACGAACTTGCTCTTCAAGCTTCTTGATATATCCTTCTTTACGCTGACGGAAAGCTCTCTGTGTGATAGATTATGTAAGCTTGGGTAATGCGCTGGAGGGTTTTTTTTTTGGATGACATGAGAATTGACAAAGCAAGAGAACCATAAATCTCAACCCGACGTAAACTTTTTTTTTTTTTTAAACGAGCGATACTTCGCATCATGACAACCTCACGAATAATGCGTCGACAAGAAAAAATCACGATATGAGTTGAAATTACGAACCTGGGCTGCGCGATTCTGAGCAGCGCGCTTCGATTGAGAAAGCTCGCGTTTTCCACCCTTTCTACCATCTGCATCATCTCCTCCGCTTTCCGACATCATTTGTCCACCGATGGCAGGATCTATATTGTGGTCGTGAGGTGAAGCGCTGCTCGAAGCTTGCACGTCGTGATTGTAGCCATGTGTCTGAGTATTATGGTGCTGGGACTGCGAGGTCAGGTTTAAGAGCTGAGCTCTTAAATCTGAAGGAAGAAGTAAGGCGCGTCAGCAAAAAGCAACATAAGCATGGTAGTGGTATTGAGTGGAAGAGAAATATAGATTGCGGCGCAAAATTATACGATAGTAATTTTGTTTACTCGACTCGTATAGCCGCATATACCTATAGTGGGATGGGGGACAAGAAACCGTTGTTGTGCTTGGTTATCAAAGAAAGGGAGGGGATATTATACCATTATCTGCACTCATTTCCTGCGCGACTGAGTCAGCTTAAGATGCAATAGCTTTTTGAAGGTTGTATTAGGTTTGCGAACACGCGAATGAGAAAGCTCGAGACTTTTTGGAAACTGAAAGTTGGAAGGAATTGAATGGAGGGGTATGACAAGTGAGGTAAGTCAAATTGTCATGCCCACCATCAGAGTTTATAGGTAAGGTAGTAGATGAGAAGGAATGACAATGGCTCAAAGTAAACATGATGAAAGGGAAAATACGAACTTGATTTTGCATCTGTGCTACAGGCGCGGGCGCAATTGATTGCATATTTGGAAAGTGATCAAAAGCGTACCTAGATAGGTAGTGGGTATTGCTTTGGAACTTTTTAGTAGCTGAGGGGTTGATGATTTTCGGACTTTTGCTGGGTTTTGATTTGCTTGACAAATAGATTTATCAGAAAGTTGACGTGACCTCGGATGATGACTGGGGTTAAGGGAATGTCAAGAATAAGTAATAATTGTAGTATGGATGTATGGATGTATGTATGTATGTATGTAATGTAATGTATGTAGGAAGTAGAAGTTGGTAAACCTTCGTAAATCGGTGCCACGGAAATGATGAAGTAAAGTTAAAAGGCTGGATGATTCTCCTTGTCGATTGTCTGATTTCACCGTTACCCGGGCTGGCTGGATGGAGGTTGGCTGCTTATACGGAGGATTCCCTCTTGAATTCCAAAATTAAAGGTGCGGAAAGCTAAGTGTACTGCTACCTAGTGGGAGGTATGCACTACTCAACCGCGAACTTCCGGGAAAAAAAGAAAAAAATAAACACGTGATTGTGGTTGTTTCCCTCTTTGGGTATGAGTTATAGGTATTTTTCGGTCATATATATATTTATATCGTCAGTCCGCAACGAAATTTAATACCGGTATCGATTTTAACTCTCTAGATGGGAGGATGAAAATGATGAGTAAGGAACTTAATAAGATGGTTACGTCCAAGGGAGTATTTATGGTTCATTTTTCTACCTCGAACTAATTTCTTTGCCTCATCGCATTGGAACGTAATCGAGTTAATCATTTAATCTGCTTACATATCTTTTACTAATTCGTACCTTCCTTTCTCCGACCTTTCCGGCTTTGTTGCGGGCCCATCATGGAAAGCGATTGTGACCAGGGTTTCATGAAGACATCAGACTCGGACTTAATTAGAGTTGACGCAATGATTCGTTTCTTTCATCGGGGATTTCATGCTAATAACCGATTAGTAATCATCTCTGTCATCAAGAACTCATACCGCGATACCACCCCAGAATTGATCGTTGTTACGAGATACGAGACTATTGTTAGGTACACCGTAGTAGATTGAATATATATTCGTTTTTTCTTTTCTTATGTCTGCACAATATTGACCACCAAGAATCACTTCACATTAATACATACCTACTCCATACACACAACTGTTGCAACACAATACAAGCGCCTTCACCAATCTCACTCGGTCTTTCGCTAGAATTTCTGAATCCGACACTCCGGAATTCCATGTACCATCTCCTTCCAACCAGGGTCCGTACAACAAATGCACTATATCACTGATAAGCTTGAGAATGTAGGACTCATGGGAATCGAATGAGGGCTTGCTTGAAGAGATTGCCGCGCTTCAGCCTTACAGCATGATGTTCAAGGTTACCATACATCAGTAGGTTTTTGTTATTTCGCTGTCGGAGCCGATTAATGAATGATAACTTCGCATTGGCTTTGTCATTTGAACTACCGGCATGTCTTCGAATTCTTGGCTTTCGAGAAGAAGTCCACCAAAGTTTGTCCCGTTCCCATTACCTGAGCTCTTACATTTTAGTAAGTAATTGTTCCGCCGGAGTCGGCGAGATATTCAAGCCGAATCATTGCACTTCTTTCCTTGTTGCTTCCATACCCCTTTTCTACCAATTAACCCAGCGGCGAATGGTGGAATTATGAAATCAAGAGTTTGATACATACCCTGGCACCAAATTGACAAGAATGCATGCTTGTTCTTAGACCCCGTAGTACTGCAACGCTGACTTTTCCTTGCACATGGTAAGATTAATACACTGCATTTTTCTTCATCAGCACTTGAATATATTGCACTCCTTTTGGTAGCGCAAAAGGTCAATTCTAATGTTGATAAACTGCGACTCATGCTCTTCAGGAAAGACAAAAATGGCAGACGGACGGGAAACCGGGGACAAAATGATTACCGATAACTGTTTTTTTACCTACCCCTCCACGCAATGCACTCTTGTAACAAAACTTGTCTGCTTCAAATGTGCCGCCCCAACCCTGGTGGACTTATTTAGAGTTCAATGATAAACGCCGTTTGCTGTATGGGAAACACAAAGTATACGATAAATCATCAGTTGCCCTCTCGCGGGCGGGGAAGTAAGCTGACTGCATTTCAAGGTTCATGTCACGTGTGAAGGCGTTGTCATTTGGTGCTACCGAAATTATGAAGAAAGATTGATTGGCATCGGTGAAATTGGAGTATGATAAGACATGCGAAGAGGTAGTAATTTCCAGCTGTTTGACGCACAAATGGATGGGGCACTAAACTTGTCACATTTGCCCGAAATGTTTTGAGTTTTCAGGTATACATCTTTAAGTTACACAAGATACGCCTTCTCCGACGTGATTGCATAGAATAATGGCATTTTGCGAATTCCCGATCGTAGATATACAGTTACTTGCATGCTTTTGAGGCCCTTGACTATTGAACTGTTACGCCGAACATTCGGTGTACACAATCTCCTAGTCATGGACAATTGCATGATTTTACTCTAGAGCGGGAAGTTTTCGGACTCTTTCGTATAGCGGAAGCGTCGACAGGCTTGATGCGACATTACATCCTCTTTTAAACAATTTCGTGTACAATATATATAGAATATCGATCTAGTAACCGATTTCCTGTTCTATGTCGTCCACAACTTAATCGAATAGCCTAATGTACATGCTAAAGTTAGCAAATATCACCTAACTACTGCATTCAATGCAAAGCATCATCCTTAAAGCTGGGATTAATAGATTCCAATGGTGTTTTCACTACCTTATCACGCAACACAATCACCAGGCCCCAAGTACCTTCGTACGTTACCCAATCAGCTCTTACGAGATGCGGTCTTCCAATCTCGATCTCGTCTCTTTCGACTGGTTGCATTCGCGTGGGATAAAGTACCATTGTGATGGAATCTCCTAGCGTTACCATGCGGAGGTTTTCAATGCTTTTCTGAGCTTCAAGATGTCATCTGCAAGCTAGAGGAGTGCAGATAATACCACACGCAGGAGCCAGTCCCACCTCAGCCTTATCAGTACTACGGTTTTGCTTCATGACAGCCTCGAGGATGAGCTCGTGCTCGGTCGCCGATATTTCTTCGGGTTTCCTAGATGCGAGGTGAGAGGTTATTGGGCTATAGGTCCATAATCTTTATAATAGCTTACAAATCCTATTACAAAGCTAAGTGGTCAATTGACCATATGTACTAAGATCATACGTAAGAAAGTGCAGAACTGTGGATTCTGACTTGTGAAAAATACAGTAAGTCAATATTGAAAGCAGATTTTGAGATGCTTCATATAGACAGATGAATACCAAGATCGTTGTGCGAGAAGGTCGGCAAATCAATGATGGGTATTTGTTGGTACACTGTAGCTGACTCATTACTTTTGTGTGAGCAACTAACCGGTATTCCTAATTCGTTATGGTTTCATGTCTATCCAAATACTAATAAGGGCAGTTAGATTATAGGCCAGTGAAATTTAACACTTGACTTAATATAGCATTTAGACACCCATCAAGCAGAAGCTCGATTTCAAAGCCCACGATTTTTTACAATTAAAGTGGGTACCTAGATTCAGATTACTTGTCCTGTATTATGTCATTGTCACCTCACTACAAATCAGAAGACGAGTTGATCTCTATATATGGAGCAAAGATTAATCACAACTACAAATACAAACTGCGAACTGCTTCTACTCCAGTAAGATCAATTTATGAGATGTGCAACAAAATATCTAGATGATGAGTCAAGTGACCTGAAGAATCCTATTGGTTGATGTTAGTCAAACTGTCGTTTTCTTTGGGTAGGTAGGTACATATCTAGCTAGCTAGCTAGGTACTGTGTTATGGTTTGGTTTCATCGTCTAGGTAGTATCGATATCAGACTGATTTTTAGATGTGCAACAAACAGGAGATGTTGAGATACCTGCTTGTCGAATGGAATGACTTGAGTTAGTTTATTGGTTGGGTTCTGTAGCTGGCTGGCTTGTTTTTGTAGCCCCGCTTTGGAGGGTTTCTTGCATATTTTCGTGATTTGAGGGTTTCATCTGATATCTGATGTTGAAATTCTTGGATCATATTTATCGGATAGTTGATGTGATATATGATTTTGTCTAAGCTTGTTCGATATTAGAATGGGATCATGTCAAATATCAGAGTTGCAATGGAAGATAGATTTATTCTACAGGTCAAGTGACAGGGGTTATGGTGTAGGATACAGTGTCTCCTATCTTCCTATCTGTTCCTGGAGTGAGATTTTTCCTGATATTTCAGGGCCTGAATCGACAACATGCTAGGGAAATGAACCGTTAGATGTATAATTCATTATTGGAACATACATTGAACCAAGGGTCTTAGAGGAAGTGAAGCTAAGCGCTAAGGTGATGACCTCCTTATGAGATCTACCAACGAAGACGTATGAAGGGGGAATTCATAGAGCGGCGTAGATCGCACTTAGGTATCACTGGAAATGGAGATTTGTTCGATGAGAATAGACACATCATAGGGCTTATCAGAGGAGCATGCTATGGAGGTAATGGAAGTTCATATTAGCAGAAAGTAAGAAAGTAAGTAATTTGGAGCTGGTGGAGCGACAGGTGTAAGTACTGTAACTATATGTATGATAATGAAGACATTAATTCTACATTGCTTCTCTTCTTCTGCGAGGAATACGTAGACAGGTAAATACTAGGTAAACTATCAAGTTTGATGATGCGCAAATAATGACATTCGTGATTTTATAAGAAATTAGGAATTCGACTTGACACATGTGCCAGCTCCTCACCGGGAGCAGTGGTCGCGGGGTCGATGACTAAGCATTCGCGATCGAAAAGTTCTGGGTTTGTAGATTGCTGGGACCAACACTTCAATCCAGATCGGACCATTCTGCGCAAAACTTAAGTGCACCGGGCACTTCACCCGCAACTTTTTTTTTTGAATGAGAGATGCAATGGCTTTGTTACCACTGAAATGCCATCCGCCTTGCCTGTGCCTTCTAAAGGTGCATTGCGAGCACTTCGCAACATCGCCCTTGGAACATCTTGCACAGTCGCATTCAGCACTGGTATGCTAACAGAGGACCGTCGACGACGAATACACGGTGCGAAATTAGTACACGACAATGCCAAGAAACTTAAATCCTCAAGGCATTACCACGAATCGAGTTCACATTTGGCAGAAACGTTTGAGGAGCAGGTTTTGAGGTATAAGGATGATGGATTTTGGCAGGCTGGCAGCACCGCCTCGAGCGATGCCCAAAGTTCCGAGGTGGTTCTGGTCAAGGATAAAACGGCTGGCGAGACTACAGAGCCGGTAACTTCAATACCACCTTCTATTCCGTTTAAACCGCCACGAATCGAAAGACTGCCCTCCCCGAAAAAACCAGATCATGCACAAAAGCCTGAATATATCGATGAAGATCGTCAGCTGCGCCTGGCAAATGACATACAGCAGATTCTTGGAGAAGAGAAGGACCCAACTGCCATAGGTTCTGCATTGCGCCGATTCTCAGAGGCATTCGAGGAAGGTTTGGATACAGGATCTAGTGGCATGCAAACATGTCTCTTAGAAGCAGCAATTGTACTATCTACGGCCTGTCGGACGAACTCTATGGTGGACAAAATGGAGAAAATTCTTGACATTGTTCTAAAATCTACTACGCTTTCTGAGTCTGACTTCAAGCGATTCGAGCCACATATCATCATTGAATCTCTATTAAAGAACCCGAATAGTGGGGCTGGCCTCGATATCTATCTTTCTAAGCTGCGAAAAGCTTCTGCTTTGTGCCTTATGGAGTTCAAGGAGAAGCCAGGGCCACTCTCAAACAAAATGAGACCCGTCCTAGTAGAAACTTGCAATTTGACCTGCCGTTTCGACATGTTTGATTTGACCAAGCAACTATTCTGGCGCATTGAGGCTACCCGTGGGAAAACACCTAATCACGCCATTGGATCTTTTATAATCGCCGAAATACAGACCAAACAATTCCGTAATGCTGTCTCTCAATTCTTGAGATATTTCATCAAGTCAACACCAAGCCAAGAAGAACTCTACCGTGTTACAGATGCTTTATTCGAGAGAGCGCTTGAACTGAAGCATTTTGCCAGAGCTGAACAGATCCTGATTGAGGCGACGAAATTGATCAAAAGCGACCAGTTCACAAGGTCGAACAACTGGTTTCAAAAACTACTCGGCACCGAATGGCGCAGGAAACGGAATATTCGTGAAACTCAAGAGAGGTTCGATCGCCTTAAGACAGCCATACCGACACTTTGTCGCCCACAAGCTGCATATGCCGTCATCATCCAGTTATGTGTAGAAGCAGGAGATTTTGGAGCAGCGGGCAAATACCACGAACAACTATTTCAAATAAGCGGTTCATGCGAAGATGATATTCTCATTCGTGGCCAAATCGCCCGTGGCAAGGCGATGTGTGAGGAGTGGGATGATGTGAAAGCCAATTTCGCTGAAATGGCAAAACTCAACCCCAGAAACAAAGTCTATGGCGATATCTTTCCACCAATTCTTAAATTGTATGCCAAATCACATTCCGTGGCCGAGACAGAGAAATTTCTTCGTTGTTTCCTTGAACAATACCAAGTACCTTTGACACCGTATGCTTCCAACATCATGATCGGCGAATATGCAAAAGCCAAAGAACTTAGTTCCATCCTTCGTTGGATAGAATATGCAACCTCTGTTTCTACATGTTTTGACGCTGATTCGTTCAATAACATCCTGAGCCAGCTTTATAAGACGTGGGATTTCAATTTCGAGCAAGTATATGAAGTACATCGTGCGATGTTGAAATCTTCTATGGACTATACAAATGATTTCACCTTAGCGCATCTGCGTCAACTTGCTCTTAAAGATTCGAAAGGCAACCGAGAAGTCGCTGCTAAGAAATTAAGGGTTATTCCGAGAGGGACTAGATCTATAATGGATGATAATTACCCTCGGCGGCAAATTTTTGAAGAGATGGGAAAGGGTAGTTTCGAAAAGGTCGTAGACATATATAAAGCTGCTAGTAGTCAGGAGGTTTATATCCATGGCTCGGTTCTAGCTGCCACAGTAAAAGCGTCGTTGCATTTGAACAACGGCGATTCCCACATGGCTATCGAGCTACTCAGAGAAGCTAAACGGAAAGGTTATGCTTTGGACGATGCCTTTATTACGCTTCTTACTCATCGACTGCCAAAGTTTATGGAGTCTGCTGGAAGCAGTCGTCTAATTATGTTCTTAACTTCTGCCAGAGAAGCGATTGCCAAGGCAGAAGACCATGGGCTTACTATCACAGAAAACGTGTTCAATGAGGTCACCAATATCCTTGTCAAGAACGCATTTTTTCGAGACGCAATAGTGTTCTGGACGGAAGCCTCCAGGACTCATAGCGCAACAGTTCGACCTAATGTTGTCAGCCTTACCATCCTTCTCAAGGCTTATATTGCCATCAAAGATCCCAGTGGCATCATTTGGATCACGAAGATGTTATCTATTCATCAAATCATACCGGATGGGCGAATGAGAAGCATTCTGAAAAACACGCGACAAATACTGCGGAAAAGGAAGTTAAATTCTAGACAGCATGAATTTCTTCAGGCTGTAGAAGAAGCTTTTGTAATATTTGCGATGATGCGAGAAAATGATTACAAGGAGAAAATTAACGCTAGAAGCAAAACTCTTGAAATCATGGAGAGAGCTATTGCTACACAGAAGCCACCCTCGGAACAAGAAATCAATAACTGGGATGACTTTGAGGAGGAAAGTTTAGACTTGAATGAACGAGATCAATCTGTTCAAGGACCAATAGACGGAGGTTCGTTTTGAGGACTCGGAAAGGAGTTTGTACATATATGTGTATAGAAATTATTGAGTATATAGAGTACATAGATTTTGAATAACAGAAGCAATTCTGCTCCTTTGTCATGGATACTCGTAAACAGATGGATGTATTGACCCCTCGCATCCCCCACGTAAATACAAGATAACAGCTCTTGGCGCTTAGGAAGATGATATAAACACGAGTTATAATCGTGTCTATCTATATTTCAAATATGATATACCAAAGGAGCTTTCAAATATCTCACTCATTAAACCATGTTTGCATTTCAACTTAGCTGACAACCTTCAGAATATTTATATTCACTACACTTGTTTCCTCACCCTTTTCAAGCTTCTCCATAATTAATTCTATTGACAGAACGATCACAAGGTTAAGCGAAAGAGCTCCCCGACCATCAATCAATCATCCTGGAACCTTGTTGCTCGCCTTGGTCGGACAATCACATCTGAACTTGAGATTCTGAGCGTCCAGATACACCACAAGAAAGCAAGCAAACAGATCGCATTTCGATGCTGGTGGTTACAGGATGTCAATTGTTGCAGAGTAAGTGGTTTATTGTTGTTTGGAGATGATTGAATATTTTTTTGGTTTCCTTTGGGGTTGACTTTGGTGTTTTTTTTTCTTCGCGCGGGGGTTTTGTGAGATGAGGGGTTGTTTTGGGGGTTGGGAATAACTTGGAGAAGAGTTAATGATTTAGTTATTTGTTGATTTGATTTTCCTAATACTCTTCTATTCAATTCTTCAATTCTATTTTTGCTCCTTGATTCAAGTCGCATACAAATCACTAACAATATCTGCCATATAGCCAAATTCGAAAAGTCGACGCCCAGCTCGACCGCGTCCAACTTGCGCCCTTTCCATACCCCGCAGATGAGAGTCTTGTTTCTGCGCAACATGCTAAAGTCGCTTCTTCGCCGCGGATAGCTGAGTTACAGGCTCTGGTTAAGGCATTGAGTACTACGTCGAGTTCTGCCGCGCTGCTTCCCGGTCCGAGGATTAGTAGATTGTTGGAGCAGGCTGATTTGAAGGGTGCTGTGTATAATGAAGAAAATGAAGATGAGGATGAAGATGACGATGACGAAGACGATGAAAGAGAATTTGGGGCTAGTAGAGCGGGTATAAATGCATATTTGAAAAAATATGAGAAGGAATTGGAGTGGTTGTTGGTTAGTAAGGCGACGGTGCAGACGTATGGCTTGATATTGAATACGTTGTTGGAACAAACAATTCCGCTTAGTGATGATATTTGGTATTGGGATGAAGTGCTGGGCTCGTATACATATTCGGGATTATACACTATACAGACTTCGCCGCAGAGATTGTGGGACTGGGGAAAGGATATTTATAGTGATTCGAGGGAGAGGTTGGTGCATTTGAAGGAAGCGCCTGGGAGTGCGGTTAGGAAGAGTGGTAGGGATGTGAGAGAAGGAGTTGCAGGTCAGTGGAGTGTTTTCTATGGGTTGGTGAGGGAGAGTATTAGGGAGAGAAGTGTGGTGGAGGTTCAAAAGAGAGTCATGAGTCCGGTTGCGATTGGAAGGGCAAAGGCGAGAATGAATCAGACGAGGTTAAAGAGATTCAGAGAGATGGGTGCTAGTGGATTGGGAGTTTTGATGGATGAAGCGTTGAGTTTTGATATCGATGAGGAGGGTGCGGCTTTAAAGGCCGAAGAGTCAGAAAACTCTGAGTGGAAAGATGTGGTAGAAAGAAGTGTAGCACTGATGGATAATGTACTTCGCAATGTTACGGCTCTCGAACAAGGAGTTTCGGATTTCGAGGATACTGTGTTTGCTAGTGTGGAGGACGATCCGGAGATCTCGAGTGCGGATATCTCACCGGAAACAAGAACAAGCAAATTGTCCAGAAGACTACAACATATTCTCTCTACGCATGTACCAAGGCATGTTACGAATTCACAAAGGCTTGCATCGGCTTATGGACGACCTTCAAGACTCGTTAGATACTGGTTACCGGCTAGCATGTTATTACTTTCCTCTTCGACTATACTACGGATCTTGGTACACAGAAAAGCAGAGATCGTTACCTGGATCAGAGAACTCGGATCTACCATTCAAGACTTTTGGATGAACTGGGTAGTCGAACCTACCAGGAAAGTCATTGGAACCATTCGTCATGATAAAGGTAGCGAGGTAGCCATCATGAGCAAAGAGAGTCTCAAAGGCGACATGGAAAGCCTTGAACGTATGGTGGTAGATTTCGCTCGCGACAATCCTGAAGCTGCAAATTATGGAGTTGGCGCTTTAACTGATTCTCAAATCTCTGAAATCAAAGCTAAAGTCAAAGCAGGTGATCTCACCCCCGTTCTTCGCGCTTATGAAAAGGATATGCAACGTCCATTTGTAGGAACGGTCAGAGGAGATTTGATTAGAACAGTTCTGATTCAGGTGCAAAAGACTAAAGTTGATGTGGAGGTTGCGCTTAATGGTATCGATTCGCTGCTTAAAAGTCAAGAACTTGTCTTTGGCTTTGTAGGTCTCACGCCTGGTGTTATGGTCTGTTTTGCTGCTTTCAGATATTTTGCAACTTTACTTGGCTCACGCAAGGGGCTTCGAAGAGGCGAAAGGGCTGGAAGAACAGCAAGAGTTTTGAGAAATATCGATCGTATCCTAACGATTGCTACACCTACGCAAAACAATCTACTCTCTTACAAAGATCACGGATTACTGTTGTGTGAGGTCCATGTTTTGAGAAAGAGAGCTCATAGCCTATTTCCTGGGGATGTGGAGAGGGAGTTTTTGGAAGATGTGGGAGATCTTTGTAACATCAATAGTGGTATACAGGTGCAACTCAAAGTTTTGGAGAGAATTAGGTGGAGTTATGGAAAATGGTTGAGATAGCTAGGGGAAGGGAAGGGAATGGAAGGAAAGGAAAAGAAAAGGAAAGGTAACAGATTCAGGGGTGTACAGTACCGCAAGAATATTTGCATAGCGAGTGACATTGATACGATACGATTAGATGATGGGATGGATAAAGGAATAATGAAATATGGTCGCAAGGCTTGGAGATTCCAAACTACTAGGTATCATCCTATTCGATTGACAGTGTGTGTTACTATTGTATACATGAAACCCTTTTAGAAGCTATATTTATAAAGATTTTGTTGGGATCAGCATACCCTGACACAGTGCTGTTGCTCCAATTGAGACTACATTCGATGCTGTAATCTTGATATACTATGTGCTTTCAATAAAGAGACAAATAATTGGTAATATCTATTTTATTTTTGAACCATAATGTGCTGGAAAACTTCCCCTGTACCTGTCAGATCTTGAACGTTAGCCAACATAACGCCACAACCAAAGTTGGTAGACGCCACATGCTCGTTAAAGGACGCGGATACACCTAATAGATATGATAACTTGCCTATCAGATTTTGAATTCACGACCTAGAACCGGACCTTCCATATCCCGCTGTCTATCAACAATCATCAGGAAAGAACCTTGCCATTACTTATTACATCAATCATACTCGTATTCTGTTGAGATTAATCAAGGTCTTTCATACGGTCAAGAGAGCAATCACAGCATTGGCAGAAGGGAGGTGCCGTATAGTGAATCTCACATCGTTCACATCGAACTTCTCGAAATCGACATCTTACTTGCAAACTTCCTCTCTTCAACATCAACCAAAACACCCTTACACACGATAAATAAAGTACCTGTCTACGACCCACAACACCCTGTACCCCACACACCCTTCCAGCGATCTTAAATACGGTGGACGAATTTACTTTGGTTGAGGTGCAGACCAGACCGAGAACTAAGGACACGGACGAAGTGATCAGATCTTGAGGATTTGACAACGCCGCACCAACAAGGCTATCCAAATATACGAAAGACGGTACTTGAGTCAACTGCTCGAGTGCGATTAATACAAGATGGCCGGGACGAGGAATTACGATTTTTTGGTATGTTCTGTTTTACTCTGGTCGGATTTGCTTGGGGTCGTTTGCTGCTGCTGCTGTTGTTGTTTACCCTTCAATCTAATCAATCTATCAATCTATCTATCTCTACCCTCTCCTCCCCCTATCCTATCCCAACTCCCAACCTCGCATGGAAATACATTTACAAATGCATATTATACAAATTCTAATGATATGATGTGCACGCACAGATTAAACTCCTCTTGATAGGCGATTCCGGTGTAGGAAAATCATGCTGTCTCTTGCGTTTCAGTGAGGATAGTTTCACACCTTCTTTCATCACTACTATTGGAATTGATTTCAAGATTCGTACGATTGAACTCGATGGGAAGAGGGTGAAGTTGCAGATTTGGGATACGGCGGGTCAGGAGAGGTTTAGGACTATCACGACGGCGTATTATAGGGGGGCTATGGGCATTTTGCTGGTTTATGATGTTACGGATGAGAGGTCTTTTACCAGTAGGTTACTCTTTTTATTTGTGTTTGGGGATGGGTTTGAGGAGAGGTGGAAGATTTTATGGGTTTGGGAAAGCAAAATGGACGGATGTGATGCTGTTGGAGCAATAAGGGAATTGAGGCGGAAGGCAGATTTGAGCATCAGTCTTCTTAGGGGTTAGGCTAACATCTCACAACAGATATCCGCACCTGGTTCAGCAACGTCGAACAACATGCGACTGAAGGCGTAAACAAGATCCTCATAGGCAACAAATGCGATTGGGAAGATAAACGAGTTGTATCAACCGAACGCGGTCAACAATTAGCCGATGAACTTGGAATTCCTTTCCTTGAGGTATCAGCCAAGAGTAACATAAATGTGGAAAAAGCATTCTATAGTTTGGCAGCGGATATCAAGAAGAGAATCGTGGATACGAGTAAGATAGATCAGGCAACGCAACAAGGTGTAGACGTAGGTGGTCAAGGTGGTGGAAATGGAGGTAAATGTTGTTAGAGGGATTTATATGATGTATGTTTGTGGGAGGATGATAGACGTCTTGATGTGATATGCTAGGAAAGTAAACGGAGGAGCAGCAAGAAAGAAGACTTTTATGATTCATAGATGAGAGGAAGGGAGACGGGAAACCGAGGGAGGGGAAAACGGTTGAGCATAGTGCAAAAAGTAAGACAAATGGTTTTGTTGTGACTGGTGTGTTGCATAACGTTACTATTACTTGCTTGCTCGCTTG